ATTTTTCCCCTTTCATTCGTCAAGTTTTTTCAGATCAAAGTTTATAGCCTCGTTCAAAAACAACTGCACGCATAGACAGTGGCGGATTTAAGGGAGGCAGATAGAGGCATTTGCCCCTCCCTCGACGAGTTGCAGCAGCCTCTTTTGAAAAATGAGAATCAGGTGAAAAAGTTTCTGAGACCGGTAGGTTAATTTGCTTCAAGGATTACCTCAAAGTTATGTTGTTTATTCCGAAAATGGATCTTAAATTGTTGTATACAGCGTACTCTCGAAACCAGTTTTTGAAAAATTTTCAGCGCCCCCACAACCAACTGCCCCTCCTTCAAGTTTGCTCTGGATCCTTAATTTGAAATTCTTTACTGAACACGAAAGGCCATTGATATTATTTAGAAAAAGAGGTGGACCAAAACAAGAGCCTCGTTACCCTGGGTACCAGACTCACTTTTATAGCTATATAATGAGTCTGGTACCCAGAGTAGAGCCTTGGGGGACCCCTTCTCGATATTCCCAATGCTGTAATCAAATAAATCAGGTAAATTAAGGAAATATTTCTCTAGCTCACTCGCTAGGCTGCATTGTGTTTTTTGATGAATTTATAGTCTAACTGCAAAGTTTCTGTAATGATTTGATATAAAAAATGGCTTCTTCCATTATCATTCTCATTACCATTAACAAGCTCATGAAAAATGCTACCCTGATTTTCAGCTGAAATTCGTGTTCAGATCACCCAAACCAATCTCTAATTTATCATTTATCCATCTTTAAAGATCGTCACTCTCCCCTCTTGTGCTCTAACGTTATTTACAAGTTTACGTTTAGTGGCTGCAGCGCCACTTATTATGGTAAAACATCTCGAAATCTTATGATTCGATGTAGAGAGCACTTGGGAATCAACCAACATGGCCAGGGTGTTAAAACCCCTAGCCCTTCCTCCCTTCACGATCTTATTTGGACACGTAGCTTCTGTTGAAGATTTTTCTATTCTCTCCAAAACAAACAACTCCTTGGATCTACTTACTCATGAAAGCCTCCTCATACACCGGGACAGACCTTCGCTTCATTTAGCTCTTTCGTATTTAAGTTGATTTTCTCTCGCCTGTAATTATACTGAAGATGGCTCTAGCCAGAGTTGAAACGTTTAATCTAATTTAATGGACTTGTCGTAATTGAATTGTCTAAATTGGAACTGTCTTAATGTCTTAATGGATTTGTCTTAATTGGAATTGTCCACGATGTAACAAGAAGTTGACGAATACATGATGTCTTTTTTCTTCGTCGTACTGGTTATTAATTTCATTATCATGCTGTCCTTAAAACATTTAATTAAATGTTAGGATGGTCTGAAAGCTGACTTAGGTGATCCCCATACCACAGAAAAGGATTTCGGCGGAAGGGCTGTTGTTGTTGTTGTAAATTTATTTTAATTCGATATAAAAACAATGGCTAACAATATATACATAAATATGCAATGTTGGCTAATCAAAATCGAACATAACTACCAATTAGTACTTTAAAGTAATTATAGATACTAAGTTAAAGATTATCTTGCATTTACTGGCAGAAGCTGACAGGCACTACATTTGCAAATCGGTCTGTCTCGTTGTTTATTACATTCTTAAAACTTTTCAAATTTTCTGCGGATTTCAGATTGTTGGGCAGGTCATTCCAATTCTGTGGCCCGATGGACTTAAGACTATTGGATCCAAATGTTGTTTGATTAGGTCTAGCATGGGCTAAGTTATTTGGATTTCTTAATGAATAATTTGACGAACGTAACTTAAAAATAAATATTTCAATATTTCAATTCACAGAATTATTTGACGAACAACGAGCATCGTGCATTTATATGACTTCACAAGCAGATCGTTATACGAACTTTTATAATCATTATAGAGAAATCTTAGGGCGTGTTCTTGTGGGTCGAAATCAAGTTTGTAATCCAACGTTACTCCTAAAAACTCCACTGTCTTCTCAGATTCAATTTTGTTACCATTAATTACTATTTGTTCTCCACTAGTATTTGTCTTGTTTTTCCTAAGAATTATAGCATGAAATTTTTTAGGGTTTGCAATCATTTCATTTTGTTCTAACCATGATAAGGCAATTCCCGTTTCTTTTTGCAAAGTATTTACAAGATCACGCATGTTTCTAGAAAAGTAAGCAAGCGTATTGTCGTCTGCATAATTATAGAGCGTTGCTTGCTTTATGAATAGAAATAATTCATTTATGTAAAAACTGAACAGAACAGGTATCTCTTGTCGGCTCCTTCGATGTTTTTAAAGCCTGAAACACGTAAAGAAATAAATATTTTCCCTTCAGTCTCCTTTTCAATAGATGAATCTAGCTATGAAAAATCATTTATTCAGACAGTAAACAAATTATAACTCATAATTGATTTTATCTACAGTCGTAGGGCTTTTCGTCCAAATAGGTTGTCTCCTTTCCTTTCATAAAGAAACTTTGTGACAGTTTTTATCATAATAAAATATAGAATTAAACACAAATTTAATTTTACCACAAACCTCTCTGACCAAACATTGTAACATAAACGGAAAGATTGAAGCGAAATTAAAAGTATATCTAAAGTTACATCTAACAATACAACAAGAACAAAATTCAAGGCCAAACACCATTTCATCGTACGACGCAATCCATTTGAAACGATTTGTGCGAATCATAAAGTATACGGTGGCAGTCTCCGCGCTGCCATTAGGCTAGCAGGGGCTATAGCCCCTCCACTTTTTTGCAATAATATGTTAGAAAACTTTTTGGAAAGTTTACTCTAACTATGCTCTAACGCAACATTGAATCGTATACTCCTAAGTAGTAGCAGTTCTTCTTGACTGGGAACCCTTTTTGTTTATTTTCTAGGTGTTTTTCTTGCTGTTTTATTATCCCAAGTTAATTTTATCTATTTTTATAGCTATTGATTTCTTCTCAGAACCAGACCTGTTATAAAACTTCAGTAGAAATAAGCAAGTATTTTCTATAAGGGGCGTTTTCCTGCGTTCTAGAGTGCGTGGCCTAAAAATTTTTCAGTCACGCCCTTTTCAGCCCACCCACATTTGACTGGTTTGCGGTCCTTGTACGGTGGCATCTAAAACCATTTTTGTTAGCCATTTCATTGAAACTTAAACTGCCAAATAGCAAAACAAAACAATATAAACAAAACAATACGTAACCCTAAATCAAGTCATGGTGCAAATTAAACTACAGTATTCATAAATGAAATGAACATCTATCGTGCTAGTTTGGCAAAAACCTTTATAACATGCTACATGGAAATGAGGCAGGTTCATAGCAACCCCTTCATCGATGGTATCAATGCAACAATCAGCAGTAATATAGCCGCATTTAAATTATGATACAATAACGTACCGAAATGTGACGTCATCGAAAATATATTTTAGAATTTCTTAATTTTGATTTCATAGTCTGAAAAAAAAGCAATGTATATTAACTGAAGCGAGGCTACAATCTTTAAACATAAGTGTCTGCAAAATTTTTAAACACAATCGGCTGAAGTGTTTATAATATGATTTGGCATCAACACCAATATTGCCCGTTCTGTCTCTTCCCATTTATTCATAGCTAAGTACGACATTACACACATTTTTTAAAAGATCTCTCTTTAAGTAATTTAAGAATCGTCAGCTGTCGAAACAAGAAAGTTGCGAAACAATTACATTGTAAAAAAAAGCAATGATACAGAAAGTTTGTGAAAATTGTTCAACCTTATCGGCTGGCTGGCATAAAAAATTAGTCTCAGAGAATTAAAATATACTTTTCCCATCTAAGAACAACATTAGAACGGAAGCAACTCTCTAGACAGAAATTTCACGTGCAATCGAAAACAACACAGACATGAAAACCCTCTAAACAAGCTTCTGTTGGAAAATTTCTAGCGTGAGAAATTAGATATAGGAAATTTCTGTTAACATAATGACGTCAAATTAAAGAAACTTTTAAGAAAAAGCATTGGAATTTCCTAAATCAGGGCTCGTGCCACAGGAGAGGCTATAACCCCCAGTTTTCGCTACATAAAAGACTAAAATCAGCTTGAAATATTTATATAGATAAACCTTTACACTCTTTTTTACATATAAGAACAATTTCATAAGAACACGAGCCTCAAAATTAGTCAAAAGTTAAGAACATATTAAGAACAAGCTGAGGCTGAGCTTCTGCAAAATGCAATTTTTAACAACGTTTTCTCTCGAAATCGAGGACTTTTGGCCATGTGAGGGTGCTTTTTCGGTGAATATTCAAACCTGTCGGCAAATGAAGGATGTCTCGTAAAAGATGCCACTTGACAATTTCTGCAGCTTGTGTTTTTCCTTCTTACCCGTTTTAGAAAACCCTCGTGAAAAATAAAATATTTCCTGAAGCAAACTGCTTGCTTTCTCATAAACAGGGTTCATTCCATTAAATATAGAATAAAATCCCATTTGGCAGGCTTTTACAAAGTTTCATTATGTTTCATGACAAACTGCATTATTCGGACAATCTATACTACCAGTTAACGCAACACATGGATGTTTACAGGGCATGAGCTGCACTGTGAAAGAAAGGAACGGTGCTCTATTTTGCTGAAATGCTGAGTTCCTTATACCGTTCCGTTGCCGCCGAGAGGTTTTCGAGGCCTTGGGACAGCAGCGGAAGACGATGCCCCATGCGAGGGAAGCGAGCATAAAATTGTTGCGACCACGCCTTTTGAATTAGCTCAAATTTATTCATTTGTTTAAAATGATTTACTTTTCTCAAACATAATTTTGATATGGAATTTCAAAACGGAATGCATTGCTTTATGTTTAACTATTTAGACGTCGATGCCCTGGGTCAATTTGCTTCCCTTGCCCCCCTCTCTCGGCGGCGAAGATTATGCCCCTTCAAAAGTGAATCGATTGTTGACATTTGACATCAAAATTCGGAGAAAGTCCGCAGTTCTGATTGGATAATTTGTTCAAATTTGTACAAAGACAAATCTAGTAGCGCCTAAAGACTCATTGCTAACAATGAGCCATTGCGCCACGCAAGCATCCCATAATGCATTTAATGGACCGTCGCCACGCCCGGAAAGGCCCATTGTTAGCAATGAGTCTTTAAATTATGACATCAACTTCTGACAACACGACAACATATGCACAGGGAAGGCTCCGTCCGTATTTAGCAGCATATCGTTGATTGCACAAGTTTCCTTGAAACGTGAATCTCATTGGCTTACAGGCAGTGACAGGATTTAATCGTGGTAAGCTGCATCTCTCTCTATACGCATTCATAACAGTCTTTTTTTCACCGTGCAGATCTTTTTCGATTGTAAAATGTTGCTATCAAATAGCTCAATCATAATACGTTGTGCAAGATTTCAAATTTAAATCCAGTTTAAGTTTTTGACAATGACAGCAAATAATTGTTTATTGCTATCGTCATTCGGAATGCAAATTAGTCTTCCTACCAAAGTCTTTTCTTAGTTGTTCATTTACAGCCCCAGACGAAATGTACTTCAATAAATTTTACATCAACAATTTTGTTGTTACCCATTTTAGAAAACCCTCGTGGAAAATAACATACATTCTAAAGCAAATAGCTACTCGCTTGCTTCCTAATGGGCAGGGTTCATCGCAGTTAGTAGTGTATGCTATTGGACAGGCCATTACGAAGTTGCACCATAGAGAAACTTGTGCTATTTGAAAACTCTATTCAACCCGGTAGCATTCTTTATTGCCAGCACCCTTCGAGATAATACTGTTTTTATATTTCACTTCACTCTGCATTTTGGCCCCTTAAATATCAAATTGTATTTAGCGTTGACTGAATTGCTGGACTGGACTGGCCTGGCCTGGCATTAGACGTTTGTCATTCTTTGTGACGTATTTTTCCCTGTTTAGTTTGTGCGACAGATATGTCAACAGCGAAAGGAAATGCTTCCATTTTCATCATTTGATCACAGAATAAGAATAAGTGATTCAAGTCTAGTAAGTAAATCTTCTTGCCATTTCCGATAGCTTTTTGCTCGCAGTTTCACTACCGCAGCTAGGCCAGCCAAAGCGAGAAGCCGTTAATCCGTTTTGGCGGGAAGAACAATCGCTCTATCAGCCAATCATTGAGGGGACAGACTGCCTTTAAAGGCAGTGTCGCTGTCTTCATTACCGAAACAAAAAATAAAATTTTCATTTCAGTGTGCTTTCATTTAGCAACAAAGGAGGCATCTTACTTTCTATTGACCAGCCATCCTAATCTGTAACGCTTCTCTACTTTCCAGGAAAACAATCGTTTCGTTTAAATACGTGCATGGAATTTGTAGCAAAGGCTTTGGAAAAGATCTTGTACTCGTTGTTTTTTTCAGAAGCTTAAATGGTGGAAAACACGATCCCCGCGAAGACCACTGTCTGGCATAGTCAGACCCGTAAAGAGCTAGACCTAGACACAGCATAATAGAAAATACTGTCTTTTGTGACTTTACAGTCTGACATAGCTATACTACTGGCAGACGACGGACTTGAACCAAAGAGTGACGGGAGCGTGCTGCCAAAAATATAGCAAAATTATCCACTTAAAAATGACGAACTACAACTGACATATTACATTACGTAGCAAACATCGCTTTCATCAGGAAGGATTTTATTTAAACACAAAATTAAGGTTCTCGACAGTGGAGCAGACCCATTTCTTTAGGCATCAATGCATTCTGAAGACCCATATCTAGGCATTTGGAAGACTTCCAATCCACCCATATATGCGGTACGACCCAGTTCAGCTACACATTAGATTTACCCCCACCCCTGCTACACATTAGATTTACATCTATCTCTGTAATCATATCTACAACTGTAGGTAGCGAATTCGATTGCTTTATAGATCGTTTTGCCCAGGGGGGGGGGGCGGTAACTCCCATTTTTGGGGTACATTTTTCAAGTAGAAAATAAATTTTAGGAAAAAAACCAATATGCTTATAAATTTTGGGATTTATTTTTAGCATGGCCTTCAATTTTGGTGTATTATTTTTAAAGGAAAGGTAATATTTTCTAATTTTCTCGATTGAGTTGTTGGATTTTTGCAAATTTGAATTAAATTTAAGGGTATGCATTTCATATTGCATCCAAAAAGTTTATAAACTTTCGACCACCTTGCATTACTACTAATTTTCTCGACGTTGATACAGAATTGTAGCATGCAAACAATCTTTTGGTGGTACAAAACCTGAAAATGGCTTTAAAAAGCAAACATTTGAGTAAACTAAAGCTTTTCGTCTGACACTCTTTAGAGTTTGAAACGTCAGAACATAGATCCAAAACTCTACGCTTACGGAAATACGAAAACTCTACAACAGTCATATATTTCCTAGCGTAAAGTTTTCGATCTATGTTCTGACGTTTTAAACTCTGAAGAGTGTCACACGAAAACCTTTAGTTTACTCAAATGCTTGCCTATTCCAAAGCCATTTTCAATAATCGTAACAGTACAGCCAATGTACGCAAATCATGATTTTCTTTTTTTTTTGTTTTCTTTCTAGTGCTGAAGAAAAACAGAAAAGAGATGATTTCCTTCAGGATTTTTGTGGTTCTGCTCGTTTTCTTCATTGTACAGCAACAACAACATAATTGTGAAGGGTTACCTGGAGTAGCAGGACGCTATTTAGATATACCACCACGTGGGCGTTCATTTGAAAGTGGCAATGATCAATCCGTCGCACGTAAACGCAGAGAGACCGAGCAGCTGGAACTGCTTGAACTGAGACCCAGAGATGTCGAAGATGAAAACAAACCATGCCCACCTTGTTAGATTGACTTCATTTTGCTTACGTATGTGCTTGTGTGCATTTATCATTTTATAATCTTTTCAGCTGCATGAATAAGAAATTTATTTGTTTGTTTTGTTGATGATTTTCTTTCTTCTGATTGAGGATCCGACGCCATTGCCAGCTAAAAAGTTGAAAACACTTCCAAAATATACGATAATTTGTCCGTTATTTCTTTTATTGATTTGTACGACAATTTGTCTGAAATTTCTTTCATATGATGAAAACGAAAAGTATGTTACTATCATATAAGACAGGAAGTTGTCAATTATATGCCACAAGGTTAGATTGACAAAATGTGTTGCAGAGGTTCGTGAGAGCAACTAAAGAATTTCAGTTCATGATTTTACTCAGGTAAATTTGTAGTCCACCCCCTCGCTAACAGTCGCTAACAGGACATGTTCAGACCATGATATAACCATTGCTAACAGGACATGTTCAGACCATCATAAAACGATTGCTAACAGGACATGTTCAGACCATCATAAAACGATTGCTAACAGATCATGTTCAGATCATGATATAACCATTGCTAACAGGACATGTTCAGACCATCATAAAACGATTGCTAACAGATCATGTCCAGATCATGATATAACGATCGCTAACAGGACATGTTCAGACCATCATAAAACGATTGCTAACAGATCATGTCCAGATCATGATATAACCATTGCTAACAGGACATGTTCAGACCATCATAAAACGATTGCTAACAGATCATGTCCAGATCATGATATAACCATTGCTAACAGGACATGTTCAGACCATCATAAAACGATTGCTAACAGATCATGTCCAGATCATGATATAACCATTGCTAACAGGACATGTTCAGACCATCATAAAACGATTGCTAACAGATCATTCATGTCCAGATCATGATATAACCATCGCTAACAGGACATGTTCAGACCATCATAAAACGATTGCTAACAGATCATGTCCAGATCATGATATAACCATTGCTAACAGGACATGTTCAGACCATCATAAAACGATTGCTAACAGATCATGTCCAGATCATGATATAACCATCGCTAACAGGACATGTTCAGACCATCATAAAACGATTGCCAACAGATCATGTCCAGATCATGATATAACCATCGCTAACAGGACATGTTCAGACCATCATAAAACGATTGCTTACAGATCATGTCCAGATCATGATATAACCATCGCTAACAGGACATGTTCAGACCATCATTAAACGATTGCTATCAGACCATGTAAAGACCATGGAAAGCCATTGCTGCATATACTGCAACACTTGATACTACAATATTACGAATGGATCTGGAAATCGTTAACGAATGGATTGTTCGTTATACACCTTCAAGTTCAACAATAGCCTTTATTCTAACAAAACTTACCAAATATAAATCGCTATGAACTATATACTAGACAATAAACTGTCACGTTAGTGTTTGTAGTTGTTTATAGCAAAAAGTTTTTTTGGCAAGTTTTAAATCGCATCATAATTACTTTGCACTTATTCATGCTTAACCTTAAATAGCTCTTTCATAGTTTGTTGAACCTATTGGCAAAGTGACGAGAACCTTGTAAAGAAGGACCAGCTGTGGAAAGGCACTTTGCAGGTTGTACTTATCATCAACTGAAAAAACTGATTGGAAGCTTTCTCTATTCAAAGTCTTGGCCAAACGATTCGATTTTTTCGCTCGATCTTTCTCTCGACATTTGATCTCAAAATTGAATGAGTTCGAGCATGGGTGGCCAAACGATTCGATCTTTCGCTCGATTTTTCATTCGACTTTTCACTCACGCCAACAAAATGAAGGCAAATAAACGCAAATCGGCTGCCGTGTTTATCTTGCGTGAAAATATCCTTTTACAATCTCTTCACGAACGCGAACGACATACAGGGGCGAAACTACCGGGGGAGGGGGGGTGTGACACCCCCCCAATCCAAAAAATAGTCGATTTCGCAGGGCGCCAAGAAGGGCTTTGTTGCCACGCAGAAACGCCATCTCTGAAGTTCGTAAAGGGCCGTTCACGAATTTTGAAATGGAAATATTATATTTGTTATAAACCTCCCTTCCTGACATTGCATTTTAGAGAACGGAAAAGGTATGTCAGGAAGAGCTCCGTTATTAGCAAAGCGAAAGCATTCCTTACCGAAAGTCATAGCCAATGGATGCAATGATTGATGCATATGTTTATGAGGGCAAGATTGAGTCCATATAAATTAATTTAAGTTGTAAATTATTTTCATGACAAGCACGGTCACTTTGGTCAAGATAGGAATTTTTCTATCATTTTTTCTATTACTTTTTAACAGTGCATGAACTAAAAAACATAATAAATCGTTAAGATACCGATTTTGCTTCATCTAATTGCTAACTTTTTCACGTATATTTTTATTATTTTTCTTTTATTTGCATTAATTCAGTAAATCATTTTTTGTATCATTGCAATGTTTTAATTTTGGATGTGTAAACATGGCCTTCTTGATACAAGAAACTGCACATTTCTTTTCAGGAAAAAAAATTCTCCCAATCAAAACAACATCTTCCTCTGTCATTCACAACTACGTACAATCTGAAACGAAAGGTTGCCGTTTCTTTCCTTTCCCAACGTGTAACACTAGAGTTTTAGCATGACATCCCCCTCCCTATTTTTCCCAATAAACAATAATATTTTCAATAAACAATCAGTTCTTTTAGCACAATAGTATTTTGCTAAATTTTTGTCTGAAAGATGCTTTTTAGCCCTTTTACAAGGTATAATTTCAAAAAATTTCTTCACGTCGGACCCAACCATGGTGGGTCCTCCTACCTCACAAAACTCGACTCTTAGCCCCACTGGGCTAAATTTCGTTGCGCTGTCTACATCATGTACCCCCCCCCCTAATTAGCTGTATATAAGCTTAATTTTGCAAACCAACATTAAATGAAGTGAATATAAAAAACAATTTACTCTCACGTAGAGAAATAGAAATTTCATAGGCAGTGAAGTTTCAAGTTTGTTTTTATTGCTTAGAGGTTTGTCCTTGGTAAAGGCCAGTGTACACTGGTAAAGCTTTCACTAGTAACCTATAGACAAACCGTTGCTACTAGGTCTGCAGGGCACCACTCAGTTTTGCAGGGCAGAAACCCTTTTCACCCCCCCCCCCAAAACTATTGGCCAAGTTACGCCCCTGACGACATAAGACCCTTTTCGTCCGTTTCATGCAGGAACCGCCATTAAATACTTATTTCGTTTAAATAAATTACTATTTTCAGGCAAAATTTTGTTTCTTTTGATTAATTCCATTCTTAAAATGAAATTCATCACTTAAAAAGGTCCCCTGGACCTCAAGGCTCCATGGTAGTATGCTTCCCTGCCCAGCATAAGAGATGACAACTGCGCACACGCACATTCGACTCACACGACAAGGTGGCCAAACGATTCAATTTTCATTCGACAACACCTTTTTCACTAGACTTTTTTGATAGAGATCAAACTTCACTCGACATCACTCGACGCCAATCGACTTGTTCGACAAGGTGGCCAAACGACTCTATTTTTCACTCGATTTCTTGTCGAGTAAAAAAACCGAGTGAAAAATCGAATGGTTTGGCCGGGGCTTAAATCAAGACTTTCTCCTGCAGCTCTTCTCTCTAACTTTCCTAAATTTACGGTTATTATTGACGAAAGAGCTGTACTCATCTTTTGATTTTTCGTCATCCAGGCCGTGCTTCGCAACCTTTTTGAATGACACGGCACACAACTGCCTTTCAATTGTTTTTTGAAAACATTCAGGGTTGAGCAAGGCAAAATCTGTCAAAATTGCCTTATGAGCAGTGCTGAGGAGAGGGGGGGTCAGGGGGGTCATTGACCCGGGGGCCCATGACTTTATGGGCCCACAGATAATAACTTAGTCAGAAGTTGATAAGTAGCAATTCAGCTTCTACATTACCAAAACCTTTCAATGATAGAAACAAGCAGTAATAGTATCAACTCCATTTATGTAACTCTAACAGAGCTAGTAGCTTTAGATAATTGTCTAGATAGTTCACAAAAAAATTTCAAGGCTTTGCATCTATAAAAAGGTTAATTATGGAGCTATAGTCAAGTTTTTCGGCAATTTCATTTTCCATGGACATTGAAACCAGTGAGCTAAGCCTGTTTTGGTCAACGGTAAAGCGAAGATAATACTTTATGAATTTGAGCTTCCTGGACGATATTTCGCCTGATGCAACACTAGAAGGCAAAGTCAGAAACAAACTTAATGCAATGAAAAGATTGGGAAATAAGCGTTGCAAATTCAAATGCTTTAGCTTGTTCACAGATAAAACTGAACTAAAGGATTTTTTAACCTTGAATTTTAGGACATCTTCTTTGGCTCTACTAACCGCCAAGAGCCCTAATAACCAGTAAATTCAGTTGTTTAATCAATTCTTCATACTACAGTCATACTATTATTTCTAGTCACTTGCAGTCTTGGATGCATAAGATAGCAAGAAAAAATGTTAAAATAAAGTTTATGCAAAGCTAAAACTAAGCTAAATCCACTCTTTCGGTGTTCTCAAGAAGAAATCGCTAAAAAAACTAGAGATTGACTACATGTTTCTAAAGAGTAGATATTTTAGGTGTCTTTTCAAGGGGTACTCATCGAGTGTGAAAAAGCAGGAGCTGTAGTGGGCCAAATTCCCTTTACGGTTGCCTTCACGTGGCTTTTCATAATTTTTCCTTATCGTTTGATCTAATATAGTTACTTCGTCTTGCGTCAAAAACATAATATCTATCAATTTTTAGCATTGTTTATTGGCGCCATATTGAATTAAAAAGTATGGTCAGGAACAATTTTTTTTGACATTATGAGATATCGGTCACTTGTTTCTCTCAAGTATACACCAATTCGACTTACGGCCTCGTTTAGGAAATTTCACCAAACTTCATCACAGAATAGGGAATAAGCAGAAGGGTAACTCTCGTCGGTTCCTTTGTTGTTTTTGAAGCCTGAGTCAACAATAGAATTCCTTAATTCCCCTTTAACCTCGATTTCATTAGACGAACTTAGCCATGATAAATTAACATTAATTAATCAGCTATAAATGAATTATGATACATAACTGAATTTGTTTACTATCATAGGGCATTTCGTCTTAAATAAAGTTGTCTACTTTCATTCTTTTTTAAAATTTCCCCGACAGAAACATGCTAAGCCTCGTATAAATTAACGCATGCGCTAGTTTTTTTAGGCTTCACCTGATAGGCAGGAGTTCCCCTTCTGCCTAATTCCTATTCTGTGACTTCATTATGTACGACCTTTTTATGCTCAGATTTGGTTTTATCGTCATTATTGGCTGGATACAATTTTTTCAGATTGTTTGTGCTTGTATTGTGGATTTAATGCAGAAATGAGGCTGTAAGTTGAATTGGTGTATTACGTGCTTCGTCTAATTTGTTTAAGATAAGAATAACTTCGCGGGAAACATGTCTAGCCTCAAATAAAAAAAATTGAAAAATGAACAAAATCTGTTTAGAAATTTGAAGATTTAGAGGAAAGATTTTATCATCAAATTATTCCTGCAACTTAAATGGTTTACAAAACTGTTGTTTAGTGGTCTTAGAAAGAATTCATAGTATAAAGATGTGGAACGATTAATGTAGATAAAAACATTTTTATGATGCCATTTGATGTTCTCGTTTATTTTGTTGAGATAATATATCTATTTGCCAAAACTATTTGCGGTAGATTCTATGCTATTGGCATTTTTACCAACCGTTCGGTTATTTTGTTATTTCATATTTCATATTGGGAACCATAGTTAATTCATATTTAAAAGCCAAAAAATCTAAATAGTTATATTTTCTCCCCGAAAACTTTAATTATTTCATATTTCAATTTCCCTTTATAGGACCTCTTAACTTCATTGCGGATTGCGGCATTTGGTTGATTTTTGCACGGTTTTGCGGCTTTTGCCCCCCCCCCTGTTATAGGCCCCCTTTAAATTACCAAAGAAGTAATAGCCACCATCGCAATTTTCCTCGGACCACGAGCTTTCTATCGTTCGTTTTGACCCGGGGCCTATAAATCCTGTCCGCGGCCCTGCTTATGAGACGTGAATCTTGTATTCATTGAGCTGATAGCTGTATCTACTATCACGATGATATACGGATTCCCTATTTCCTTCTAATTCATCCATGCAATTTTCCCCTGGCATCTTTTTCTTTCTGCGTATTCGTCGCTCGACAAAATTTTGCTCTTCTAAGTCATGGCGAAAACAATAACTTTTTGCGTCTTCTACAACACCAGCGAATTCATTTCGAAATGAACTGAGTTGAACTTTAGCTGTCGGAAATGGGAGTTTATAAAATAACTGAGACCAAAGCGTTAATTTCCTTTACAAATTTAAGCAATGCGAAGATTCCGATAAATACTCTAATGAAAAAAAGTAAGAAGGGTAGAGCATGCCCAATTTTACGATAGGTTTAACAAATATGCGACCTTTTGGACAGAATCGATGAAAACCTTACATTTTGTCTGATATTTCAAATTTTCCGACAAACGTTGGATTTTCCGACTATCCGACAAAATTTTAAGAGGAAGGCTGCCCCCCTGCTCCCCCAGCCACTGCGCCCCTGTTCACGTTTCGATGGGATTTTAGCCATCTACCATATCACAGATATTCTTGTAAACACGGAGCTTCCCCTGGGCATGCTTTGTCAACTAGCAATGTCATACACTTCAAGCTTTGCTAGAATTCTCTATGTCTAAAATTGGAACAAATCACCCAATCAGAACTACGGATTTGTTCCGAATTTCATGTCAACAATAGATTCGCCTTGGAAGGGGCATAATCTTCGCCGTTATCTGAAATCGGAACAAGTCGTCCAAAAGTATGACAAAAGTCAAGGACAAGCAGAACAACTCAGACAACATTAACAACACACAGTGTTGAGGATCTTGCGCTGCATAGTGAAAATTAGGAACCGTATTGTCTCTAAAGATCTTGGCAAAACAGAATGCTACCTAGTTGAATAAAGATTTGAAAATAATGCAAGATCCCCTTACATGAAAATTCGTAAAAGCCTTCAAAATAGGATAAAATTTTATATTTTTTTGAATTTAATCTGTAAACAGAGAAGCATGGCATTGGCTATTTTCTTAGAAAACATTTTATTTTCCACGAGAGTATTCTGAAATGGATCAGAAGCAAACTCAAGGTGCAGAAATTGTCAAGTAAATATACATCTGGCGATTTAAATGAGCAACTGAAAAAAGGCTATGACAGGAAAGCTAATTTGCAGCCATGAAGACGATTGCAATAAACAACGATTTTATTATTATTGGAAATAATTTAGAATGAAATAGCATTGTAAAATCTGGCACAACGTATCGGAAATTGAGGTAATGGCAACAGGCCTAGCGTTTCGCAGTCGAAACAAACTTTCAATAATAACAAGCCGATAAGAAATGTTCGAATGTCGATGCATCCTAAAAAATATCACTTTAAATAACTTGGTAGCCTAACAAACAGCGTACCGAGAAAAAGTTGATCTCTACCATCAAGCAAATGAGCTTCACGTTTCGATGGGATTTTAGCCATCTACCATATCACAGAAATGCTTGTAGACACGGAGCTTTCCCTGGGCATGCTTTGTCAACTGCCAATGTCATACACTTCAAGCTTTGCTAAAATTCTCTTTGTCTAAAATTGGAACAAATCACCCAATCAGAACTACGGATTTGTTCCGAATTTCATGTCAACAATAGATTTGACTTGGAAGGGGCATAATCTTCGCCGTTTTCTGAAATCGGAACAAGTCGTCCAAAAGTATGACAAAAGTCAAGGACAAGCAGAACAACTCAGACAACATTAACAACACACAGTGTTGAGGATCTTGCGCTGCATCGTGAAAAAAAGGAACCGTATTGTCTCTAAAGATCTTATCAAAACAGAATGCTACCTAGTTGAATAAAATTTTGAAAATAATGCAAGATCCCCTTACATGAAAATTCGTAAAAGCCTTCCAAATAGGATAAAATTTTATATTTTTTTGAATTTAATCTGTAAACAGAGAAGCATGGCATTGGCTATTTTCTTAGAAAACATTTTATTTTCCACGAGAGTATTCTGAAATGGATCAGAAGCAAACTCAAGGTGCAGAAATTGTCAAGTAAATATACATCTGGCGATTTAAATGAGCAACTGAAAAAAGGCTATGACAGGAAAGCTAATTTGCAGCCATGAAGACGATTGCAATAAACAACGATTTTATTATTATTGGACATAATTTAGAATGAAATAGCATTGTAAAATCTGGCACAACGTATCGGAAATTGAGGTAATGGCAACAGGCCTAGCGTTTCACAGTCGAAACAAACTTTCAATAATAACAAGCCGATAAGAAATGTTCGAATGTCGATGCATCCTAAAAAATATCACTTTAAATAACTTGGTAGCCTAACAAACAGCGTACCGAGAAAAAGTTGATCTCTACCATCAAGCAAATGAGCTTCACGTTTCGATGGGATTTTAGCCATCTACCATATCACAGAAATGCTTGTAGACACGGAGCTTTCCCTGGGCATGCTTTGTCAACTGCCAATGTCATACACTTCAAGCTTTGCTAGAAATCTCTTTGTCTAAAATTGGAACAAATCACCCAATCAGAACTACGGATTTGTTCCGAATTTCATGTCAACAATAGATTCGCCTTGGAAGGGGCATAATCTTCGCCGTTATCTGAAATCGGAACAAGTCGTCCAAAAGTATGACAAAAGTCAAGGACAAGCAGAACAACTCAGACAACATTAACAACACACAGTGTTGAGGATCTTGCGCTGCATCGTGAAAATTAGACACCGTATTGTCTCTAAAGATCTTGACAAAACAGAATGCTACCTAGTTGAATAAAGATTTGAAAATAATGCAGATCCTCTTTCATGAAAATTCGTAAAAGCCTTCCAAATAGGATAAAATTTTATATTTTTTTGAATTTAATCTGTAAACAGAGAAGCATGGCATTGGCTATTTTCTTAGAAAACATTTTATTTTCCACGAGAGTATTCTGAAATGGATCAGAAGCAAACTCAAGGTGCAGAAATTGTCAAGTAAATATACATCTGGCGATTTAAATGAGCAACTGAAAAAAGGCTATGACAGGAAAGATAATTTGCAGCCATGAAGACGATTGCAATAAACAACGATTTTATTATTATTGGAAATAATTTAGAATGAAATAGCATTGTAAAATCTGGCACAACGTATTGGAAATTGAGGTAATGGCAACAGGCCTAGCGTTTCACAGTCGAAACAAACTTTCAATAATAACAAGCCGATAAGAAATGTTCGAATGTCGATGCATCCTAAAAAATATCACTTTAAATAACTTGGTAGCCTAACAAACAGCGTACCGATAAAAAGTTGATCTCTACCATCAAGCAAATGAGCTTCACGTTTCGATGGGATTTTAGCCATCTACCATATCACAGAAATGCTTGTAAACACGGAGCTTTCCCTGGGCATGCTTTGTCAACTGCCAATGTCATACACTTCAAGCTTTGCTAAAATTCTCTTTGTCTAAAATTGGAACAAATCACCCAATCAGAACTACGGATTTGTTCCGAATTTCATGTCAACAATAGATTCGCCTTGGAAGGGGCATAATCTTCGCCGTTATCTGAAATCGGAACAAGTCGTCCAAAAGTATGACAAAAGTCAAGGACAAGCAGAACAACTCAGACAACATTAACAACACACAGTGTTGAGGATCTTGCGCTGCATCGTGAAAATTAGACACCGTATTGTCTCTAAAGATCTTAGCAAAACAGAATGCTACCTAGTTGAATAAATTTTGAAAATAATGCAAGATCCTCTTTCATGAAAATTCGTAAAAGCCTTCCAAGTAGGATAAAATTTTATATTTTCAGAATTTAATCTGTAAACAGAGAAGCATGGCATTGGCTATTTTCTTAGAAAACATTTTATTTTTCACGAGAGTATTCTGAAATGGATCAGAAGGAAACTCAAGGTGCAGAAATTGTCAAGTAAATATACATCTGGCGATTTTAAACGAGGAACAGAGAAAAGGCTATGACAGGAAAGCTAATTTGGAGCCAGAATGACGATTGCAATAAATAACGATTTTATTATTATTGAAAATAATTTAGAATGAAATAGCATTCTCAAAATCTGGCACAATGTATCAGAAATGGAAGTAATGGCAACAGGCTTAGTGTTTCACAGTCGAAACAAACTTTCAATAATAACAAGCCGATAAGAAGTGTTCGAATGTCAATGCATCTTAAAAAATATCACTTTAAATAACTTGGTAGCCTAACAAACAGCGTACCGAGAAAAAGTTGATCTCTACCATCAAGCAAATGAGCTTCACGTTTCGATGGGATTTTAGCCATCTACCATATCACAGATATGCTTGTAAACACGGAGCTTTCCCTGGGCATGCTTTGTCAACTGCCAATGTCATACACTTCAAGCTTTGCTAAAATTCTCTTTGTCTAAAATTGGAACAAATCACCCAATCAGAACTACGGATTTGTTCCGAATTTCATGTCGACAATAGATTCGACTTGGAAGGGGCATAATCTTCGCCGTTATCTGAAATCGGAACAAGTCGTCCAAAAGTATGACAAAAGTCAAGGACAAGCAGAACAACTCAGACAACATTAACAACACACAGTGTTGAGGATCTTGCGCTGCATCGTGAAAAAAAGGAACCGTATTGTCTCTAAAGATCTTATCAAAACAGAATGCTACCTAGTTGAATAAAATTTTGAAAATAATGCAAGATCCCCTTACATGAAAATTCGTAAAAGCCTTCCAAATAGGATAAAATTTTATATTTTTTTGAATTTAATCTGTAAACAGAGAAGCATGGCATTGGCTATTTTCTTAGAAAACATTTTATTTTCCACGAGAGTATTCTGAAATGGATCAGAAGCAAACTCAAGGTGCAGAAATTGTCAAGTAAATATACATCTAGCGATTTAAATGAGCAACTGAAAAAAGGCTATGACAGGAAAGTTAATTTGCAGCCAGAATGACGATTGCAATAAACAACGATTTTATTATTATTGAAAATAATTTAGAATGAAATAGCATTATTAAAATCTGGCACAACGTATCAGAAATGGAGGTAATGGCAACAGGCTTAGTGTTTCACAGTCGAAACAAACTTTCAATAATAACAAGCCGATAAGAAGTGTTCGAATGTCAATGCATCTTAAAAAATATCACTTTAAATAACTTGGTAGCCTAACAAACAGCGTACCGAGAAAAAGTTGATCTCTACCATCAAGCAAATGAGCTTCACGTTTCGATGGGATTTTAGCCATCTACCATATCACAGATATGCTTGTAAACACGGAGCTTTCCCTGGGCATGCTTTGTCAACTGCCAATGTCATACACTTCAAGCTTTGCTAAAATTCTCTTTGTCTAAAATTGGAACAAATCACCCAATCAGAACTACGGATTTGTTCCGAATTTCATGTCGACAATAGATTCGACTTGGAAGGGGCATAATCTTCGCCGTTATCTGAAATCGGAACAAGTCGTCAAAAAGTATGACAAAAGTCAAGGACAAGCAGAACAACTCAGACAACATTAACAACACACAGTGTTGAGGATCTTGCGCTGCATCGTGAAAATTAGACACCGTATTGTCTCTAAAGATCTTAGCAAAACAGAATGCTACCTGGTTGAATAAAATTTTGAAAATAATGGAAGATCCCCTTACATGAAAATTCGTAAAAGCCTTCCAAATAGGATAAAATTTTATATTTTTTTGAATTTAATCTGTAAACAGAGAAGCATGGCATTGGCTATTTTCTTAGAAAACATTTTATTTTCCACGAGAGTATTCTGAAATGGATCAGAAGCAAACTCAAGGTGCAGAAATTGTCAAGTAAATATACATCTAGCGATTTAAATGAGCAACTGAAAAAAGGCTATGACAGGAAAGTTAATTTGCAGCCAGAATGACGATTGCAATAAACAACGATTTTATTATTATTGAAAATAATTTAGAATGAAATAGCATTATTAAAATCTGGCACAACGTATCAGAAATGGAGGTAATGGCAACAGGCCTAGCGTTTCACAGTCGAAACAAACTTTCAATAATAACAAGCCGATAAGAAGTGTTCGAATGTCGATGCATCCTAAAAAATATCACTTCAAATAACTTGGTAGCCTAACAAACAGCGTACCGAGAAAAAGTTGATCTCTACCATCAAGCAAATGAGCTTCACGTTTCAATGGGATTTTAGCCATCTACCATATCACAGATATGCTTGTAAACAAGGAGCTTTCCCTGGGCATGCTTTGTCAACTGCCAATGTCATACACTTCAAGCTTTGCTAAAATTCTCTTTGTCTAAAATTGGAACAAATCACCCAATCAGAACTACGGATTTGTTCCGAATTTCATGTCAACAATAGATTCGCCTTGGAAGGGGCATAATCTTCGCCGTTATCTGAAATCGGAACAAGTCGTCCAAAAGTATGACAAAAGTCAAGGACAAGCAGAACAACTCAGACAACATTAACAACACACAGTGTTGAGGATCTTGCGCTGCATCGTGAAAAAAAGGAACCGTATTGTCTCTAAAGATCTTATCAAAACAGAATGCTACCTAGTTGAATAAAATTTTGAAAATAATGGAAGATCCTCTTTCATGAAAATTCGTAAAAGCCTTCCAAATAGGATAAAATTTTATATTTTTTTGAATTTAATCTGTAAACAGAGAAGCATGGCATTGGCTATTTTCTTAGAAAACATTTTATTTTCCACGAGAGTATTCTGAAATGGATCAGAAGCAAACTCAAGGTGCAGAAATTGTCAAGTAAACATTCGTCTGGCGATTTTAAACGAGCAACAGAGAAAAGGCTATGGCAGGAAAGCTAATTTGCAGCCATGAAGACGATTGCAATAAACAACGATTTTATTATTATTGAAAATAATTTAGAATGAAATAGCATTCTTAAAATCTGGCACAACGTATCAGAAATGGAGGTAATGGCAACAGGCCTAGCGTTTCGCAGTCGAAACAAACTTCCAATAATAACCAGCCGATAAGAAGTGTTCGAATGTCGATGCATCCTAAAAAATATCACTTTAAATAACTTGGTAGCCTAACAAACAGCGTACCGAGAAAAAGTTGATCTCTACCATCAAGCAAATGAGCTTCACGTTTCGATGGGATTTTAGCCATCTACCATATCACAGATATTCTTGTAAACACGGAGCTTCCCCTGGGCATGCTTTGTCAACTGCCAATGTCATACACTTCAAGCTTTGCTAAAATTCTCTTTGTCTAAAATTGGAACAAATCACCCAATCAGAACTACGGATTTGTTCCGAATTTCATGTCAACAATAGATTCGCTTGGAAGAGGCATAATCTTCGCCGTTATCTGAAATCGGAACAAGTCGTCCAAAAGTATGACAAAAGTCAAGGACAAGCAGAACAACTCAGGCAACATCAACAACACACAGTGTTGAGGAACTTGCGCTGCATCGTGAAAATTAGGAACCGTATTTTCTCTAAAGATCTTAGCAAAACAGAATGCTACCTAGTTGAATAAATTTTTTAAAATGATGCAAGATCCTCTTTCATGAAAATCCGTAAAAGCCTTCCAAATAGGATATAATTTTATATTTTTCAGAATTAAATTTGTAAACAGAGAAGCATGCCATCGACAATTTTCTTAAAAAACATTTTATTTTTCACGAGAGTATTCTGAAATGGATCAGAAGCAAACTCAAGGTGCAGAAATTGTCAAGTAAACATTCGTCTGGCGATTTTAAACGAGCAACAGAGAAAAGGCTATGGCAGGAAAGCTAATTTGCAGCCAGTAGGACGATTGCAATAAATAATGTTTTTTTCATGTATAAATATTAAATATTATTATTGAAACTAAGTTGCAACAAAAAATATTCTAATTGAGCTACAACTTAATACTCCATCTCGAGTCAGAGGCCAGAGGAAAGAAAATACGTGATCCCCGTGCAAAACTTTTTTACTGTATTCCTTTTGGTGTAAAGTGAAAATTTGTGTGATCTAGGCCATGCATTATCAGTTTGTTTGTTTCTTGTACCTGGAACGTTATAGCATGAAAGTTTATCGAATATTTATTTAATCACATAATTAGGGTGAATGAGTGATAATGCTTTTGAGAACATTTGAAATTTGAGGCGCCAAAACATCAACCCTTATTATGTTTTGACTGGAAAATTACATAACAAGATGTTTTTGAAAAAAATTTAAATATTTCTTGAATAACTTAGATCTTTCATTAAGTTCTACCCTGGGTACCAGAGTTTCAGTGATCGAAAAGGGTGAACCCTCCAAATTCGCCGTCTTTTATCACTGAGACCCCTCTTTAAAAGTCCTTCAGCTAGAAAACAATAATTCCCTCCCCCCGCAATGTCATGATTTTCTCTCATCTCTTATTCTACGTCAGAATTAAATTTCCAGTGGTTACTAATTAGAATTAATAGCAATATTCCAATAACATTTTAAGCCAGTATAAAAAAGTGATGCAACAAACAACTTTGGGGAAACTTACTTTTTATTTTCGGGGCCCTTTCCCGACGAATTGGCCCAGGCCCTAAATTTGGAGCCAGTCCGCCCCTGGTTCTGTCAATATTGTGCCGTGTTTTACCTACGTAGAAAATGAGCTGGAAATGAAAAATTTTATCCACTTTATATTTTGGACCAACCCTCAATGTCGAAGTTACGTATCTAATAATTCAGAAGAACATTAGCAGGGGCGGATCTAGAAATTATTCTGAGGGGTTCTAAAACGTAAGGCTTGGTAACCCAGGGTGTTGCTATGCACAAACTCCGTACCCCTGCTAATAAGCCATAATGAAATGAAAGCCTTCCATAAACTAAAAAGCCTGGATGCCTTGATTTATATAGTAATTTTTGGTATCAGCTTTTATGCCAATTGAACGCAATTTGCAGCTCGCCCCTCTTATATTCACTTAGGGTACAAAAGTATAGAAACTGTAGTCAAAGATGATATGATGGCCCGCAGTGGCAAAAGGCCCGAGCCCACAAATTTTCAAAGCAAAATTTAATTTTTGACTCTTTGCAGCCATTTATTAGAACTTGATCAGCTTGACGAAAAAAATAACGTGGCTGGTGGAATGAAGCCCTTGAAGTGCAGTGCAAAAGTTGAACACAGGGATTCAAACACAGCATTCAAACCAAACAAAGAAGGCCCTGAACGTTTCGCTATGGGCCTGGCGTTTTGAGTATTTTTATGTATTTGAAATTCTTAGAGAAAAAAGGATTCGCAGGAATATAAGTAGGTATAAAAAGGAAACCCCTTTTGGTCAATAATAGTAAGGGCAAGTTTTTGAGATGTTTTTTATGTAGTTCTTGAATGATTAAAAAAAGAATAACAAGAGCTCGGGCAAGCTTTATCCTCTGAATATAAATCATACCTCATGGTCTATGAATAAGACGTGAAACACGGAGTTGAAACTTGAAACCGTTCTGTTATATAAACCACAGCGTTTACAAGTTCTGCCGTTACAGCATCGAGCATCAGGTAAAGATCGTCAAAAGATCCACGAAAACATATTGCAAATTTGCGCCTAAGCATTCGTCGCGTGCTGTATCATAATTCAACTCCCCCTGGTCAACCTCAACTCCCCCTGTTCAAGCTCAACTCCCCCTGGTCATAAAACCACTTATACATTTGACTGTAGATTGAAGCGAAGAAACTCCCCCTGGTTTGTCGGTATTCTTTGATGTTTTGGATTTTTGAAATCCATGGGTTCTCGCGCCAAAGTTTAGAACCCCTCGACCTGGCACCGTGATTGGCTAGATTAACTTCCACGGGTGCAGAAACTCGTATAATTTACAGGCCACGGGTTCCTTAAGTGGCTGGATATAAGAGGAGACAATGCTTTCCGAGTCTGTAGAATGCTATACAGGACAACCAGGGGGAGTTTCATAACACTTCAATGCATGGACTGAAATAACAATGTTGAACAGTTGTGAGACGGGGCATTGAAGCGGAAATAACAATTTCAGGAGATGTGCATACTTCCCGGTATTATTTAAATGGTTTAAATAATAATAAACAAAATTGCGGTAGAATAAGCTTTAATCCCCAAAAAGTTTTTTCTCAAATCTGAGGGGTGCTCGAGCCCCCTTCGCACCCCACTGGATCCGCCCCTGATTAGAACAAAATTCAAGCTATATTAAAAGAAGCAGTCTATTCTGCCATCACCTTTTCTGAATGGATCATACTTTAGATGGTCCCCTAATCGAGTTCAGTTCCTGCTCTGTGTACTCTGATGGATTAATACTGGCGCTGAAAATGAATTATAGGACATGAGATTCTAAAACAAATATGATACAGATATAAATTAATTTCATAAAAGCGTGAAAGACGTGAATGAAAATGACGTAAAACCGAACCTTTATGTAAAACCACTTAAAAAGGGGGTTTTACAAACGTGAGTTCGTATGTCGTTCGCAGAAACGTACACGATAAATACTGCAAAAACTGTTATCCAATTCGCTAATTTCTTACACTTCTCCTAATTCATCAGTTCACGGCAAACGACTAAAAATATCTTAAATGGCTAACGGCGAAAATGTAACGGCAAACACAATTCTTCAAGCTAGCGACAAGGTACACTGAGTTCGACAAAGCTTACGGCAAGACTCAACCTAACTATAAAGCCAACCCTTTTATACCCTAAGAATAATACAATTTACAGAAGCTGATGCAATTGCAGCGCAATGATGCAATTGTCATGTGATGTCCTGCAATGAATGGAAACCCTGTGTTCTAACATTTAGATTCTTGTTAAGCAACGTTGTTATACAATACATGCGTGTTCTTGAAAGAAAGAAGTTCAACCAGTCCTTCACTTTTTTATTCGTTAAAATCTACATTCATAAAATATTGATTTAATTCGTTATCCATTGTAAAAAGCTTTCACTCCTATCAATGTTGCAACGACTTTTGAATTATGATAGGCTTTCAATTTTAAATTTCATTTTCTGTTTATTGTAATTAATACCTTAAATAAGAAATTGGGTAATTGAAACATTTTTAGATTAAGATGGCCTCTCGAATATCAGCTCACATTGAAGAGCTACCGTCATTAATTGTATGCTTTACATGCATACATCACTACTGTATAATTCTTTTTCTTTTATAGGATATGAATATGGCCAGAAATTATGTATTTCTCCGTTTCCCATTGCATTCATTGCTGCCATGATATTATCACAGAAGAGAACAGAATTAGAGAAGAGAGATTAAGTTGTTTTATTAGAATTACAATTAGAGAAAAATTAAGTTGTTTTATTCACAGCAACTTTCTGTAATAGCTGCAACAAGTAACTGTTGAATTTGCATATATAGAAATTTCCACATTCTTGTTTTTCCACATATAGAAACTTCCACATCTCATTTGAAATTTTGAAACTTTAACCCAGCAGGCATTAATATTTGAAAACTCTGTTAATTAACTATTGCAAACACTAGCATTGGATATATACTATGATCAGGGGCGTAGCGTTCGGGGGGCTTGCGCGTAATGTACACCCCCAACTTTCAGAGAGCTTGTCGGTAGAATTAAATTTGTAGCAAAATATTAATGTAACAAAAGAATTTCTGTCGGTAAAATATGATTTTGCACCTCTTACACCCCCCCTCCCCCCAGCGAGAATGGTCACGCGACGCCACTGACTATGATGACTATGATTTGATCCTATTTCCTTTAAAGGCTTTGATAAATCTCGTAATTGTATTAAGCGTATGTTGTTAGTATTTCTGAGTACAATTTGATAATGAGAATAACATTTTTAGTTAAAAAATATGTTAAATTTGTACCCTTCTAAAATTGTTTATTGGGATTTCTCCTTTCTCTTTTATTTCCTATGTCAAAATTATCTTCATTATTTGAAATTATATTAATTACAATTTGGTGAATATTCATAAAATCATTCCCCCATGTTGTTGTAAAAAGAACAGAAACATTTCTCCAGTTTTTCCTGTTAGCCATATTTGTTATGCACTGGAATATTTTATGGACTGGACTCGAAGTGGTGGTCCTTTATTCAAAAACAAAAGAGAATGCAGATGAACAATTTCAATATCGCTCGAGGAGAAGCTCTTACGTAATTTTGGACATCCGCGACGGGTGTAACATACATCTGGAGGAGATGCAAGCCTTGCTTTTGCCCCTTCTTTTTGCCCCTTTTTGCCCCGTAACGGAGAAGACCTATTAAATTACCATGGCAACCGCGTCGTTTCGGAACAAAATTGAAAGAAATGGAACAAGTTTGAGCAACCAGCCAATCAGATTGCAGAAGATGTTCCGAATTTGAGAAAATTGGAACATCAAATTCGGAACATCTGCTGCAATCTGATTGGCTAGTTTGTTCCGAATTTGTTCCGAATTTCCACTGAAACCTTCTCGAGAAACATGACTCAGTCAGTTGCTCTAATGGTACGTGTTTTCGATGGCTGCCGTCCATTGGAGAAAGCTGCGAGAAGACTCAAAGGTTAGTTTGTGGTCAACTATTCATAATTCAGGAATTATTTTAGGTAGAAGAAAACGATTATGCCATTAGATGGCATAAATATTTCTTTGAAGTAATTTATCACAATATTATTTTATTCAATGTTGAAGAAATTGCAAGTAGGCCAAATCCGAACGAAGATTTTTATAGAATAGAGTAAATATTCTTGGCAATCCAGGACTCCTAACCAGTTTTCAACTTTGGTAGGACCGAACGAGAATCTCTGTAGAGAAGAGCCAAAATTTCCTAGCCTTCACTGATTTACGTGTATTTATTGTTGTTTATTCTCGGCGTATTGCGGTGTTTCTTGTTTGCTACATTTTTATCGACTTTTCGCCGCAAGAACTCCTTGGAGCCCGTCGAGCAGCCTGCTACAGTGACCTTTTCTTCATTCATACAAGAGCCAAAATGCCTAGCAATCCAGTACACCTAACCACCTTGTTTTGTAATTATTATTATTTCTTTCGTTTAGGCTTACCAAACAATAAATCTAGTACGCACCAACCCTAAATGTAAATAGTATGTAAATGTTTTTGTTCAGACTTTTTGAAAGTAAGGTTGACAAAGTTAACAGCACGAAACAGGGTGTTGCAATTTAGAGGGAGCATAGGGGTTTTCTGCCAATATATATATACAAAGAAAACTGAAGCATGTATCCTGTTTGTTTGTTTGTTTGTTTGAGTGTTTTGAGCTTTGTTTTGGTTGGCAAAAATATTTCATCATTCAAGTACTGCTTTGATGGTCAGTTTTATCTATCACCTAAAATTCCTAACTATTTGTAAGGTCAAGCAGTTAGCCAGATATGTTCCTTGAGTTGAGTTTTAAACCTTCTATCATATTCAAGCCAAGCATGATTCAAATTTGTGTCACAAGATAGTGGAAATGCAAAGCAACAAAGTGACAATCTTGATGATCAAAGTAATAAATTATTAGATAAAAAGAATATAAATAGTCATATGAATAGAAAATATTTTGGAAATATCAAAAAGCAACCATGGTTATCTACACTTAATACACTGACAAAATATATCACCAAGGGAAACATATTTTGCTAATAATCATGTAATACTAATCAATGCAATGCAAGCTTGATTCTTTGGTGCTATCATCAAGATTGTCACTTTGTTTAATAATCATAATTAAAATAATCATTTTTTATCTTTCTTGGGTATTCTCTTTGGTTTGTCCTTGTATGTCAGTGTAGGTAACCATGGTTGCTTTTTGATATTTCCAAAATATTTTCTTTTCATTTTACTATTTATATTCTTTTTATTTAATATTCATAATTAAAATAATTATTTTTTATCTTTCTTGGGTATTCTCTTTAGTTTGTCCTTGTATGTCAGTGTAGGTAACCATGGTTGCTTTTTGGTATTTCCAAAATATTTTCTTTTCATTTTACTATTTATCTTCTTTTTATCTAATATTCATAATTAAAATAATTATTTTTTATCTTTCTTGGGTATTCTCTTTGGTTTGTCCTTGTATGTCAGTGTAGGTAACCATGGTTGCTTTTTGATATTTCCAAAATATTTTCTTTTCATTTTACTATTTATATTCTTTTTATCTAATATTCATAATTAAAATAATTATTTTTTATCTTTCTTGGGTATTCTCTTTGGTTTGTCCTTGTATGTCAGTGTAGGTAACCATGGTTGCTTTTTGATATTTCCAAAATATTTTCTTTTCATTTTACTATTTATATTCTTTTTATCTAGTATTCATAATTAAAATAATTATTTTTTATCTTTCTTGGGTATTCTCTTTGGTTTGTCCTTGTATGTCAGTGTAGGTAACCATGGTTGCTTTTTGATATTTCCAAAAGAAGTGTGTTATGTCTTTTTCTGCATTATGCAATCATTTCATAGAAATTCCTAGTATCCTTTTTTACTAGCATTTAAATGTATTTTGAAGAAATATTTCCCAAAAGCTGCTTTGCTAACAAGATAAAATATAGAATCAGTTAAGGAAAATTTTTTGTACCTCTTTATGATGCAAGACTATAACTATATTTGCTCTTGGGAGGGGCACCAGTCGCTTAAAAAAAATAACAAATCCTTTTTTTCCAATGAGCAATCTGTTTTGTTCCTATTGTTTTTGAACAATTATGCTCCCAATAATTCTATGCTTCCTACAGCAATGTGATAGTTTTCATTTATGGATAATTTTATGACTCAGAAGTTGATAAATGTAACATTTTATAAACAGGTCTTTCCGTAAAATGTGCATAATGTAATGATTCATAGTGAACATCAATAACTTTAGTTTGGAATCGCTAAAGCCATAACTTTAATAGCCATATTTATTTCTATAAAAATGAGGAGCATTCTATGTGGGACCATGTGGATCTTTCAAAGCCATCATACTTGGTCAAAGAAGATTAGTCTGTGTGGTAGACAGATAAAAGCCTTGCTTGCCCAAAATTTAGCAAGTTGTACTTAGATGTGTATTGTAACTTTGTCATATGCCTTTGTAGTGATAAAATTTGCAGAGGTCTTGTTTGGCTCTCCATTGTTTAGTTGTTATTAGGAAAGAAATTTATGCTTATTTGATTTCAATGGTTTGTAATTACAATCTTTGGTGGTACGGATTCTGAAAAATGCTTTGAAAAAGCAAGCATTTTAAAAAATAATTACTGAAGATTTTCCTCTTATTGTCTTCAGAGTTTGAATCATCAAAATAATGATGGAAAATTCTAAGCTAGGAAATATATAAGCCCAGCTTAAGGGGACTTCCAGGTTTGATTTACAAACAAAGTGGGTGTTCAACTATTGTTTACTGACATGTTTATGAATTTGCTGATAATGCACCTTAGATGGCAAAAACTCTTCTTTTTTTTAAAAAAAGGGGGGTAACACACGCCTCACTCCCCCCTTAACTACAACTCTTGTCACTAAATTAAAGGTGCTAAGTTTGTCAAATCACTAAAGAATTTAGAAAGAAGGGGCAGGAGCAATTTCCACCTTTTCCTATTTATGGAGACTCTCATCTTTTATAAGAAACGTTTTACAAGAAGTTCCAGTAGCCTTTTCCAAAACTCTAGAAATTTAAAACTTTTCTTGAAGGATTGCCTGCGAACTGTTTTTAAAAAAAAGCTTTTACCTTTGAAACTTTTGAGAAAATGTGTTTCATCTGGAAATGTGCATATAGAGATTGTCCTTGACTCAAGGATTTAAAAAATCTTTGAGCGGTTTAAAAACTCAGCAAGAAACGTTTTTTTCAAATTTAAGGAACATTACTCCAAGTCGAGAGAGGAAAACTTGGTTCATTGTTGTATCAAATATTTTATTTTGTCGTGGTTGCTGTCGGGCCATCTTGGATCCGTTGCGGCCATATAGGTGGATGTCCCGAGGTGTCCCATTTGGGGTTACATGCCGTTAATTGCGCATTTGGATTTCGGATGCATGCCATCTGATTCTGTGTCATCCCTGCCTGGCTGCGGGAAAGGGGCTTCAAACTGATTGGATTACAAGAGATCAGCACACCAACACTTTGATGTGCTTTAAAACCTGATTGGTTGGTTTTTCAAAAGTTGCAACGTGAAAATCCTTCCAGAGGTATGACAAACTCTGGTCACACCTCTAGCTAATTGCACATTTTGGTTGAGGTGTCGTGGTGTATTGCAATGTGTTTTCGCCCGTTTTCGCTTTCCCTTCAAGGCGAGTGCTACAACCAGAACATGTACTGGTAAGCTGAGTTTTTGATAAAATTCTTCATTTTTGAAGGACTTTAAACTTATCAAGAATCAGTGATAGGTGTAATAAAGTTTCCGATCCGAGTTGCAGGTTCAAAGGAATGCAGCTAGCTGAAACCTCGAAAGCCTTGTCAACCGTGTAAATTCCCACCCATGTTTACTGAGCTTGTTTACTTGGCATATAGCCTAATGTATCGAAATTTTATTCATAATATCTTACTTAACATTTTTTGTAAATCTTAACCTCAGGTTAAACCAGATGTAGGATACCGTGATAGTAGCGAAATCGGAAGTGTCACCAAAATTTGCCCACCATTGAGCGCGGCTTGAAATTTAGGATCGGGTTTTTCTAAAGTTTTTTGCGACCTATAGTTTTCAAATTCGACCTAGCAAAATTTTTATTCACTTTTTTCAATGATTTTTGGAACTACAAGACCTTTTCCTCTTATACCCTGACCGCATTCAACGGCTTATGGGCACAGGGTTACCCTTCATAGGGCGCGGAAGCCTAGCGGATTATACTGGATTGTTTGATTTCGATAGCGTGTCATTAAAAGTATTGTGGTTTGGACGGGGGTTAGTCTGGCGTCCTGCGATGTGTTTTCAAAAAGTTAGTAACGACAACTGCCGGTTAGATTTGAGATTTACCACTAAATTTAAAGACATACGAAGCTGAAATGTAAGTAATGATTGCATTATTTATTTACGCACGCAAACAGTTGGCAATTCATTGAAATTTGACTGAAAGTGCTCGTAATTTTCAAAAATTGTATGTTAATTCTTGCAAAATGGCGACATTTCTTCAAGGGTTGCAAAAATTTGGAACGCTTCACGAATTTGCGTGTCATCCTTGCGCAGGGGCCATGCTAATCTTCTCTGTATCGTTCCAATTTTAGTATATGTGAAGCCGAAGCTTGCACATTCATGGGTAGCTCCCTTTGCTACTAATAACTTTGAACCCCGACACGTGTCAACGTTAAGGGCTTTTGTAGTGCTCTTTTTCCACGAGCGCATGCGTTTAAAGGGTATTTTAACTGGAATATTTATCCTGTTTTTCGTTTTTCGTAAATTTCTATGTAAAAATCGTGAATTTTTACGTTGAAATTAGTTTGAAACGTCGGTAGGCCTTTGGACGTCTTTCCAAAAGTGTTTGTGATTCTTTGTACAAATATCTTGTTGCTGCCACATTTTCAGACAATATTTATGCCGTTTTGTAATTTTTATTTTTAAAAATAAAAGCACCAACACACTGGCATAAGGTCTAGGCCCATTCTGTCTGAAATCAGCTGAATGATGGGAAATCAGCAGAGTGATGGTACATCAGTGGTGCGTGTAAATTGCTTGATTACCGATAATTGATGTTTATTGACTCATCGTGGGTCGCAAGTTTACGCTGAAATGAACATTGCCAGTAGACTTGGAGTCTTTGCTAGATTGTTGGCCAATATAAATCTCAATGATGTGGGCAAGATCTGCAAAAATTCCTTTCATTTCCAAGTTAATTAGATCAACAAGGGAATTAGCACAGGACAATTTACCAATTAAAAGGCATTTCTACAAATTACAGGGAATCCTTGCCATAGGTCTTGGTACACTAAGCTATATTTTTGCATAACTTCAGTAGCATGCCCCCAAACCCTTGAAACAACAGTTTAAAAGTTTGAAATTCATCCAATTTTATTTCATCAGCTAGGGTAAGTAATAGGCTTTTCAACCAATATTGCTTTGGGGGGAGGGGGGATATTTCTGTATCTTATGGCTGGAAACCTTTATTTCATCAAGATCTTTCATTGGCTGCAGGGTGTTCCAAGGACTTTTGTCGAGGATTGCAGATAAAGTATTAGTAGATTTTTCCTGATGGTACAAGAAAAATCGGTAACCATTATTTGCTTATGGTTTCCAGTGAGTAAATCCTCAAACAAAACAAAAACAGCAATAAAGACCTAGCAAATAACAAAGGCACATCAACCTATGTGTAAACTAGCCAAACCCGTGTCAAACAACTTACCAATTTGAGGCAGGGGGCTTACTGGTATCTATATTTTCAAGGGGCAATTCACTCTTGCAAATAGCGTATGAGATTTTTCCCTAACACAAATGGATTTCCAGGGATTTTCATATAAAACAATAGGATTTTCACAAAAGGTGTACGAGATTTTCTGCCCCTTGTATATTTTTGTATAGCTTTGCCTGAAAATGTTGCAACATTTTTTTAAAGGAACCAAAACAGCATACATGGCAGAAATCATGATATCAATGGCAGCACCAGTGGTGGGCGTTATTGGGTGGGTTCTGTGTTTTTTATTCATTTGCTTATTTATTATTTCATATGTTTGTTATTTATTCATTTGGGGGCATTCCCTATTGTAAGGCATTTTCTGACAGTAAAATGGGCATTGCCTAAACAATTTTGTTTTGTCCCCCGTGCCCCCATCACCACCTCTACATTAGCTGAGACCACCACTAAATTGTCTTGTCTTGCTCCATGAGCATCCAATGTTGTTGCAATTATAGATCAAGTTGCAATTGTTAAATGTAGATTTATTGGAAGAAATATCAATGATGACATTGTTGGGAGCATTTTCGAATTCCTTTTGCTTACAAAATGTAAGCATTTTTTAAATGTCGTAAGAAACTGAAGAGATGAATTCTAATGAAAATTCTTAAATTAATTAGATAAATTGTATATATATATTATTGTATGTTATACTAAATTCAAAGTTCTGCTATTTTCTATGCTGTATTTGATGACTTGCTTTGTTTGAATCAGAAACTTTTGTTTGGTAAATATTCCTGAGCAAAAACCGACAATGTGAGTTCCCAAGATTGATACTTTATCAAGGATTCGCCTCAAAAGAGAGAGTTAGTTAATTATTTTTTCTTCATTATAATAAAAGGATGCAGTATGTTATGACAGGTTTTTGTAAGTTGAATTTAAATTTTTCTAAATTTTATTCAGCTTGCCAAATTCCTAGTTCCAATGTCCTATCAATAGTCCCTTGGTACAACTCTTTCTGCCATTATGTAAGTAAAATTTGATCACTGTTATATTGCTTAACAATTTACTACAAAGAAGCCCCTTCATGATTTTTCATGGTTTGGTATTTATCATTTTTCTTTCAATTTTTTTCAGCTTTCAGGAATACCTTTATCGTTTCCTATCAATGGATAGTTGATATAAATTTATATCACTGCCCTTTTACAAAGAGGTGAGCGAATTTGATCACTATTATGTTATGTTGCTTAACAATTTACGACAAAAAGCAACCCCCCCCCTTCACCCAGCCCCCCTCCACCAGGGAAGATGTCAAAAATAATGAGCTTCTAGGAGTCGAGGAGCTCAAGCAAAGACATCACTGTAGAGGCTCTCAAGGAAAGGCATCAAACTGAAAACGAGAAGACTGTATTTTTTTTCTATCTTTTGCCTAATTTCATGTTTTTCCTTGTACAGTTGCATTTCTGTCAAATGCATTGAAATCTTGTTCGCATCTTTTATTTGTTTATTGATTTTTTACTGCTCCTTCTACAATTTGCTTGATAATTTGATAGTCTTTACAATAACTTTATGCAAAATAATTTTCTCCAACATGGTTTCTGGTATTTAAAAATTTAAAATTCCTTGCACTCCTTGGTTATTTTATTTTTGAGGCCCTATCTGAAGACACTGCCTTCAGCTGGCAGGGAATTCCCAGATGGGACAAAGTTGATCATCTTGCAGCAAAATTGCTTTCCCTGTGAGGTATCAGTGTCACCATCACAGAAGCTCAGGATGCAAACGATTGTATAAGGAGCTGGACAACTATGACAAGAAACCTCTTGTCTACAAATCGGTGGTGCACAAGCCTTCCAGCCTGGCCCTGAATAAAGCCCAGATTAATCGCTGGTTCAAAATAAGTCTTGGCTCAAAGAGGTTACAGTGCTTCTACAAGGGAGAGTCTTGTCTTTAGTTTGGTGATTACCATGACTCCACTACCTGTGCCATGACCTGTTAAGTGACATTTTACATCTGCCAAACCAGTGACATCCTGACCCAACAGACGGACCAGGGTGGGCCTCAGTTCAGTCACAGCTGTGTCTGCACAGCTGCAAGTCTCCACCTCTCCAGTCTTCATCCTGAGCTCTGCAGATGACCTCTCTCAAAACACTGCTTGGCGTCATCAAAGACTCCTGGAAGGGGAGAGAAGAACCAGGGACTTGAAAACGTACTCCTGCAGTTTTTGTAAGCAGCCAACAGCTTCAGAGGGACAATTCCAATACTACAGGTTTAGATATTGCCCGAATGCCCCGGATGCCCCACCACCTGAAGTCTGCAAAGCTGCGAAGGAAGAAAGGAGGGGGAGGACCGTCTTCTGGAACAGCTCAACAGAATGAACTGAGCCATGTATATTTGTACATATTCAAATTAGTTGTTTCTAGTTTTAAATGCCTAGTTGTATTGTATCCCAATGCACAGAAAATGTGTTTATCTTGTTCCTAAGATCTTTGGTTGCTGGTTAGGCAATCAGCTGAATGATTTGGCTCCCCATCATTGTTTTGAAGCCTTCACAGGATGTCTTTTTTAACCAGTTCCGTCCTCAGTCAAAGAGTGTGATTCTGTCTGAGCAATCAAATTCGCTTTCTAAGATAGCATGGAATAGACTCCAAATTTTGTAGCCTTATTCAATACCCTATATTTAATTGACAATTCTGCTATTCTGTTTTTTTTTCAATAGCCCTTTATGACTTCTCAATGGAATTTTTTTTCTTTGTGAATTACATTTATTTACACAATACAAGCCTGTAAAGATTCGTTTCCAGATTCATTCTTGATGAGATATTTATTTCCTTTAAATTTAATTTAATATTTAATCGATTAGTCTTGTAATTAATGATATCTTGTGATAACCAAAGAGATGCTAATGTTGGAGATTTTTTTGCTGCACGTTTCTAATTTTTGAGTTTCTGACAGTCTGGTCTCAACATGCAGGGCTCATTCAATTTCAATGACAGCTTTTTTTATTATAGGATATCTTAATTACTTTGTCACGACCTGGACCTACTCATTGAAAATTATTTAAGAAACGGGTTTTGCAATGAGTTATCTAGGTGCAAAATTTTAATTCTAAGAACTACCACAGGCCCATAAATAATTGGAGTAAGATTTGACCATGGGAAAAGGTGCAAGGGGTCTTAAAGTCACGAAGTCGAATTCTCGAAATGAAGTGGACGGCAAAGACGATAGAAGGAAGACGAGAGAATAAGGTTTGTTGAAAAAATTAGAGTGGAGCATTATTTTTGCAACGGATAATATCTATTTTTGAACATTGAAAAACATTTTTGAATTACGTTGTAAGAATGGTATCTTGGATTGAAACATTTATAGGGTGGTGTCGTGGGTTTCACCCATGTTTTGAACGCTGTTATATATATATTGTCCTTTACAAAAGCAGCTCTGATGGCGAACCCCTCTGATAACGATATGAGAAACATCTGTTCCATTCCATTATTAAAGCTTTAAAGAGTCGGAATTGTGGGTATAAAACGCCGGATTTTTTATAAGAATACTTTAATTTTTGCCTGGAGGGTGCACTTGACTAGGAAATTGACGGCAGTATAACCTCTTCCAAAAAAATTTATGCAATTCATAATACTCTCCGCCATATTTTCTAGGGGAAAACTGCCTGTCCCGGGGCACGTGTCATCAGGTCAAGTATGGGAGTGCCCCCCTCCCGTGGAATTTTTGCCAAAAAAGGATATTGAAAAAGAGTTGGAAGAGTGATTTTGAAAAAGAATAGTTTTAGGAAGAAGATAAGACATTGCACATAGAGATAAAACATTTATAATGTATCAGGTTGCTGTTAATCCAAATAAAATATGCTTACTGGAAAACTGCAAATTAGAATTCAGAAACTCTGTTTATGAAAAAGTATGAAACTCAAAAATAAGTGATTGAACATAACTAGCAATGCCAAAATAACATTGAACAACTTAGAAATTCAGCAACTCAACGTGCTTAAAAAGCAACTCAATTTTGGAAGAGAAGAAATTTTTGATAAATAGTGAAAACAAGTAAAGCTTTAAATTCCATGTGCGTGTGTGTGTTGCTTTATATATCTATGAAGAGTATGAAACACCGGGTCAAGGACTTAGTTTTAAAGACTTTGGTGATTTGATTTTTAAGCCTTGGCACGTCTGAGTTGCATACGCCATGTCTTTCCATTCCCTGTCGATGTGTGTGCTGGAATTTCCAGTTGATGAAGTCGAGCTAGTTAAAATTTTTAAACTGAAACATCACTTACAAATATTATTTGTTTTTTAAACTGTCTCGCTCATCTATAGCATAAATTTATTTCGCTGTGTTAATGAATGAATTAAGAAAAGGTTAATTTTCTTGTATGATCCTCACATCATGAACGTAAAAATGATTCCTGTATTTCAAAGCTTCGTAGTGCTATGAATACATAAAGTGTTTTATATCAGGTAAAGGTTTACACTATAATATTTCCATCATATTTTGAACATATTTCTCTGGACATCATATTTCCATTATATAAATCCGGAATATAAACACTTCAAAATTTCTTGGATTGGTGATTACAATCAGTTGTACAATAGATTTCTTCCATCGTAGAACTTTTTTCTGACTGGTCTATCATCGTATAAAAGTCATCTTCTTCGAGTTGAAGCATTCTTTAAATTCGGAACAAGTTGTTCCGAATTTGAACTTCTAAGCCAATCAGATTGCAGAAATTCGGAACAAATTGAGTGTCTAGCTTGTTCCGAATTTCTGCAATCTGATTGGCTCAGAGGCTCAAATTTGTTCCGAATTTCAAGTGGCAAACTACTCGAGATCCATGGCATTGGCTCGTATCTCGTGGTACGTATTTTCGTCAATGTCGGTTCACGTATTCGAAGCTAGCAGGAGAGTTGTTAGATATAGAACAAGTTCTACCGTGTTTACGTGCAAGTAAGCAATCTTTTATGTCATGTTGGATTATTATCTCGAATATAACGCCTTCTTATAAGAATAATGCCGTCATTTCGATATTTTTCGCGAGGAGCTGCAAAAAAACGAATTCCTTCATGACGAAACTAGACTGCTAGCCCACTCAATCGTTCAAGGTAGGTCCCTCATTCAAAAGCATTCTGGACATCTCATGAATAATTATACACTACAGTCATCGCTTCTATTCTTTCCTTCGTTATCTTTCTTTTAGTTCATCGTATGCATCGTCGTGTAGTGTAGGCCTACATTTGGAGACCAAATTCTGTTTTCAAATAACCTAAGTGAATTTAATCATTGTAATCTTGCTAAACAATGCACTAAAAAGCCCCTTAACTTTTTGTCAAGATTATTATCAATGTTTTTTGTTTTGTAATTGATATGTAACCAGAGAAACCAAAACAGCAGCATTAGGGTTTTTATTCACTTGCAAGGTGTTAATTGGGGACGTTCCCTTTTGTTCAATTAGGGCATTTCCTGATTGATAGTAAAATGATTGTTTAATGATTTTATTAATTGGAAATGAAAAGATGTAAAAAATGTAAAATTTACTGGAAAGAGTATTTATTAAAGGATTTTTAAATTCCTCTGGCTTTCAAAATTAAAGCATTTTTTAAATTTCATGATTAAAAACCAAGAGATAAATTCTTTTGAGATTTCTAGAATGAATCAAATAAATAGTTTATGTAATTACATAAATTCAAAGTTCTGTTTTCTAGTGCTATATGTGATAAGTTTTGCTTTGTTTAAATTAGAAACTTTTATTTGGTTAAATAAGGTATTTGTTTAAATAAGATGTTCCTGAGCAAAAACCAGCAATGTGAATTGCAAAGGTTGGCAAAGGATTGGCCTGGGGACAGGGTTCTCAAAATAGGGGCTTAGTTTATCATTGTTCCTTCATTTGAAAAATAGGGGGCAGTATGTTGTGACAGGTTTCTATAAGTTCAATTTAAATTTTCAAAATTTTTTCCAGCTTCCCAGATCCTTAGTTCCAGTGTCCCATCAATAGCTGTTTGAGACAACTATTCTTCTATCATATTATTTTTAATTCATTTATTTTGTTTTAGTTTTGGCAGGCTCTTCAAGTATGTTAATAACATAACACAAAAAGTTGTTCTTTTTTGCAGTGTTAGCTAACACTGTTTTGGCTTAAGTTGATTTTGATTTCTTTTCAGAAAGGAACAAGCAATGTCACCAGCCTAATGCCAAGTAGGAAATCACCTATGCTCTTTGCTCCCGAAAAGATTCGACTTGACCAAGTCCATATCAGATTGAAACTGGATTGGTCATTACACTCTTAGAAAAACCTTTGGATCTGTCCCCAATATAATTGCCACGAAGAAAGTTTGTAAAAAGCTAGCAGTGATTCATACTCTGCAACTTTTTGCTGTCAGTCTTGGCAATGGACTAGGAGAGATTCTTAATCAGTCAATACTTGCTCAGAATCATCCACCATTCTCTGTCCAAAGGCAGAGGATTCAATGGATCAGTATGGGTTGCCCCAACCGATGTGCTGTACACTGACACAAACTGCTGCCATGAGAATGGTCCATCAACCTATAAGCTGCTTGTTGAGCAGCCATGACCTGCTCACTAACACAAAAATGATCTTCCTGTGCAATCTATCTGAGGCCTAGTGTAGTTGCTGGTTCAAAAATAAGACTTGGCTCAAAAGGGGTCACAATGCTTCTGCAAAGGGAGAGTTTTGTACTGTAGCCTAATGATAACCATAACTCCACTGCCTGTGCCATGACCTTGTGAATATTTTGACCCAGAAATCAGGAAAGGTTACAATTTGTAGAAGAGCAGGTAAGCCTAGCTCACAAGCACCAGTAGGCCATAGTTCCTCCAGCAGCAGTAGTTGTGCCCCAGTGAGCCATTCCTTTGTCTGAACCACAGCATGTCTTTAGCTCACTAGTCTTCATCCTGAGCTCTGCAGATGACCCTTGAACCTCTGCTTCGCATCACCAAAGACTCCTGGAAGGAGGAAGTAGAATCAAAGACCAGAAGACATACTCCTGCAGATTTTTCAAGCAGGCAAAAGCTTCAGATGGGCATTTCCCATAATATGGGTACCAATATTGCCCTAACGATCCAAGTGCCCCACCTCCTGAAACTGGGAAATATGTTTAGAGGCAGGAGCAGGAGAATCGTCTTCTAGAGGGAATGAACAAAATAAACTGAGTTTTGTATTATTGTACATATTTGAATTAGTTGTTTATAGTCTTATCTTTGAGTTGTATTGTATCCTAATGCACAAAAAATGTGTTTATCTTGTTCCCAAGATTTTATGTTTGTTATTGAGCAATCTGATTCACTTTAAATTACATAGAAAGGACTTGGAATTTTATGGCCCCATTCAATACTCTTGCTCAAGTTTAAAGTTGCACTTGATTTGCAACCTGAAATTTTATGCATCCTAGAATCTAGTCCTTGACATTGACCCATGGTTATAAAAAGTTAAAAAGTTATAAAAATAGACAAGCAGTTGTTAATTTTGTGTTTCTTGGGTTTATGAATTACTTTGTGATAACCTGGACCTACTAGTTAGAACTTATTTGAAAACAGGTTTTGCAGTGAGTTATGCTAGTGTAAAGTTTTAATGACTGATTGGCGCAATCCTTTAGCATTGATCATTCGGAAGTATTTCTGAAGTTTTATATCTGTTCGGCTGAAGAAAATTGGTTGTTCATGGAAAACTATAAAAGTTCTAAGGAACTAGTTAGCATGATATTGGTAAGAAAGATGTAGATGAGAAATTTTTTTGATAACATTAAAACTCGCTGTCATTTGATTCAAAGTCTGCCTATCCAAATCCGTAATTTTTTACAATATAATTGCAACCTTGCCAATTCCCACTACCAAATGTGAGTTGCCTTTTCAAAGATCGCCTTTAAAAGTGCATAGAAATTGGCTGCGATCAATAATCTGCCAAAAATGGTTAAACTTTTTAATTAATATAAATGTTGAGCATGACTCAATTGACACCGTTAGTTGTGGTGAAATAATTGCCAAGTTTGCTGACACAATTGCTAAAATCGTCCAGTTCATTACTTTAGATTTGTACGCTTTTATTGCTTGTTTTACTGTTCATTGAAGATACCTAATAATAAATGATGATAATTATTAAACAAAGTTCCAATATTGGCATTGTCTTTTCTCTGACTGACTTATTAAAATCAGTAATTAAGCGAAAGTTTAAGTAAAGCTAAAGCCTGGTTTTCACTAACGCCGTAAGGATCTTATGAAACGCAATTTTAAGATTTTATGATCCTTATGATCATGTGAAAACACCAACAATCATAATCGTAAAATGATCCCTGTATTTCAATGATTTCACAAAGAATGTGTTGTGGTGCTGAAAAGTGTTTTTTATCAGAAAAACTTTCTTAGCAAAAGCTTATCTCTATTTCTTTTTCTACGATATCTGCACCCACCAGCAAAATTTCCATCACATTCTCATGTGTTTGAATCTGCAGTAAAATAATGAAATAAGTTTTAGATGAGGGTGTCATGAAGGAGAACAAACGAATTTAAATGTGGTTCTCAAATACAGGGCCTACAAGCCTCATTTTTTTGCAAAGCAAGTAGTTTTAAAGCTACAGCCTTGGCCCCCCACTTTCAGATACTTTGAGTTTGCCCTAAAATATATTATCCCTCAGACATTTTTCGCCGGATATTGAGTGCAATCACCTCCTCTTCTTTTCTCTTCTTCGGATTTCTGGCCGTCTGGTCACCCAGATGTACCTATGTATACATGAAAAAATTTCACTACAGCAACAAATTCCATTGAAATGTATAGGAAAAGCTAAATCTTGAAAATGGGTTAATTCGCTGTCTGGCGGCCCAAACAACTCGAAATTTTCAGCACAGACTAATTTCAACATGAAGATTCCAATTCTATGATCCATTTTTGCCAAATGTGAAGATAGAATTTGCCCGGATCAGAGAATGGCCTTTGTCGCTTCTTTATATCATTGCTATGTATAATGTATAATAATATTTAATGTGAATAACAAACTAAGCTTAAAAACTTGTTTTCAGTTCAGTTCACCAATTAAAAGTACAAATAATCTAAATTTAACCAATAAAGAAATAAAAATTGGGGTGGGGGTGTGAAATATCATATTTGTTATGAACCTCCCTTCCTGACATTGCATTTTAGAGAACGAAACAGGTATGTCAGGAAGAGCTCCATTATTAGCAAAGCGAGAGCATTTCTTACGAAAGTCATTGCCAATGGATACAATGACTGATGCATATGTTTATGAAGGCAAGATTGAGTACACACAAATTAATTTAAGTTGTAAATTATTTTCATGCCAGGCATGGCGCCACTGGGGGAATAGGGGGCTGAAGGCCCCCACTTTGGTCAAGATAAGAACTTTTTAATCATTTTTTCTATTGCTTTTTAACAGTGTATGAAACAAAAAAAGAATAAACTGTTAAGAAGCCGATTTTGTTTTATCTAATTACTAACTTATCAACGTATATTTCTATTATTTTTCTTTTATTTGCATTAATACATTATTTGCATTTAATCAATTAATTCACTTTATGTATCATTCCAATGTTTTCATTTTGGATGCGTAAACATGGCCTTCTCGAGACAAGAAACTGCACAATTCTGTTCAGGAAATAAATTTCTCCTAATCAAAACAATATTTTCCTCTGTCATTCACAACTATTTGCAATCTGAAACGAAAGGTTGCCGTTTCTTTCCTTCCCCAATGTCCAACGCTAGAGTTTTAGCATGACATCCCCCCTCCCTATTTTCCCAATAAACAATAATCAGTTTTATCAGCAGTATAGTATTTTGCTAAATTTTAGTCTGAGAGATGCTTTTTAGCGCTGAGGAACACCAGTAGAAGTTATTGCAGAACGAGATAGCTTTCCATTGAAATCAACTAACTGCGTTCTATACTCTGAATATGAGGACAGCCAGTGTAGCAAGTGAACGTCTAGATTTAAGAATTTGAATTTGGATAACAGGATCGGATGGTTCACGGTATCAAAAGCCTCTCTTAGGTCTAGAAAAAGAGCACCAGTTAATAGGCCATTATCCATGTCATTGTAAATTGTATCTATCCTGTGAAAGAAGGCAGACGTAGTTGGATGGAGCTTTCTGAACCCTGATTGTAGCTTGTGAAGCAATCCTTCTTTGACTAGGATTGCGTAAATATGATTGAATGCAATCCTCTCTATAGTGTACCGAAATGTGACGTCATAAAAATCTATTTTATGATTTCTTAAATTTGGCCGCATAATCTGAAAGAACGACATAAAATACCTCTCAATATGCAAAATTAGCTAGATATGTTCCAAATTGGGCGAGATATGACCAATGAAAGATTTCAAGTAACTAACGGATTTCTGTTACTCTGGCCTGTTTCATCATAAAGTAATGAACCACGACCTAATTACAGCGGTTTGATGGGACAAGAGCCTGTGCTAATGTGGCCATATCTCAGCCAATTCGTAATGCCTTTAACTGATTTTGCATATTTAGAGGTACTTCATGATGCTATTTTAGGTTCTAGGATCAAAAATTCAGAAATTCTAAAAATTAATTTGTATGACTTTATCACTTCGGTACTCTATGATTCTTACTCAGGCTACAGAAGATTGATATACTAGATAGCGTGCGGTACAATGAAATGCTATAATAACGATCAATGTAAGTAAATTGTACCAGGAAAAAATTTGGATTGAAACGAGCTATGCGTTTTTTTATTTAGAAAAATTTTTCCTGGTACTATTGACATAGGATTGGAATGGCTATTGCTGACGGCGGTCGAAATTTGAAACGAGGCTATGTCAGTATGGTTTCAAAACAGAGCAAAACAGTTAACGGTTGATGGATGTAACAAATATGAAGGAAAAATCAAACTTGTGTGAAAGATTTAGCCGATGAACAATCTCTCTATAAGATGCTTCAAAGATTTTTTATAAAACTGCAAAGAAGGTTTGCAAAATGATCTTTTCAGAATTTATTGAAGGAGCCATATTGGTTCAAAATCAGTTAATATAATTCGACGGGTTTAAAACATTATCTACAAGCAATTGTGTAATGTTGAGCTCTTTGAACTACGTCAGAGGAATAATCAGAACAGAAAGTCTTCAAGCCAGGATATGTGTATTTAGTAGGCCATTTGACCAGGAAAATGAATAGCTAATAAACTCAATTCTCTTCAAAATTTTCCTTAACGACCTTCACAGCAGAAAAATTATCCCATACAGTATCTATTTCGGTGAACAATAAATTATGAATAAATTGATTGTAGAAAAGGATTCCATCAGATATCTGGCAGTTTTAACAGACAAAAATTTGACCTGGAAAAATCATATAAAACAGAACCCTTTAGATGAACAGGTTGTAAAAATTTAGATATTGCATCCACATATTATGATTTCTATAGCCTCTTGTTATCAAGTCAATCAAGTCGAAATGCTAAATGTGATTTTAATAGACAATGTGCTTTTTCCTTCAGGAAGTTATTAGTTGCAAGCACTATTGTGGCTGTTAGAAGCTTTACATCACAAATAGATGACTATGGTGCTGCTCTTAAGCAGTTTTACTTTGCAGTTCATCCTGATTTTTTTGAGCAGCATCCTGCTGAAAAGGTAATTCCGTTTACTTGGTGACACAGCCAACCTATATTCAATTCAATGTTTAATATTATTTATTTTATGGAAATGTCATATATTGACTTGATTAAATTATTCCCATGTTTGTATGAACATATTCACAAAATATTATACTTTGGTATACATTGCGATGGAAAAGATTATAAAAATTACTATCTATGCAGGTCTGCCAATAGTTCCAAATGTCTTATAGGCAAAGCCTTTCATGATTTGTTGCATAGAAATAGCATTTCTTGCTAAAAGAGGCACTAAGGCAAAAAATTCAAGAATAAGTGGATGTCAGTTTATGTAGAGGTTGTATGCTTTGTGCAAATCAATTTTTACATGATTTGGAAATGTGATTTTGGTGAAAACCATGGGGCAAGAAAAACTGTGGTTGTGAGTGTTTTGTAACACTGGAACAATGTTTGCTAGTTTATTCCAGTGATAAACACCAAAGACTTTTCTTTCACTTCCATCTCCACTACAACTGCCATCATGCACTCCATATCTCTTTGCAAGCGAAAGCAATGAAACAACAGCCACTGATAAAATCAGCCAGTGTAACAAGCACTGACTGAGAACTGCTGAATGACATCAAACCCTTTGTTTCGATGCAGAAGACCAGAAAAGAGTAGGATGCCAAAAATGTTCGTCCCAATTTTCAAAGTCACAAAACTCTTTTCCCACAGCTAATGAGAGAATCAAAAGATATTTTCATATGCTATCAACTCCCCAACCTTTGGCTCATAAAGTATCATTAAAATCTTTGGTTGCAAAAATTTGTATCAGTTCCTCTCTAATAAAGTTTGTTAGGCTACATTATTTAATAGGTGTATGTATGCACAATAAGTTTTGCAAAAAGGTTTCAGAAGGAACAAAAAAATGAGAAATCAAGACTTGATGCTATCATTGTCTTTTCAAAGGGAGATAGTTAAAATCTAAGGAGTTGTTATATATATGCATAAAATCATGTAAGTTCCTTGACTGTCACTTGCCTGGGGGAAAGAATTTTTCAAGATTTTGCTTGTTTTGCAGAGGTTAAGCTTTGTCATTTTTTCTGTAAAGTTTTGACAAAGATGATAATGGAATTAAAATAATGTTTTTTGGGGATTTTTTAATGAAGAAAGGGGATAAATTTTTGACGTTCAATTGGATTTTCCATTATAATTGGACAAATATGATGTCCAATTACAATGGAAATAATTAGACAATCCATAAATCTTTATTTTAAATAATAATTCACCAGATATAAGGGATTTATATTTCTTATAAACATCCACAGAAGTGTTGGTGAATAGGCTGTTTTGTTTATAGGAAGTCAATCAGAATTCTTTGAAAGTTCTAAATCATTTTCTGAGAGAGGTCAATTTAAAGCAAGATGTGAAGCCAGTTACAGTGAAATTTTTCTTGAGAGAAAAGAAGTTAGCAGAAAGCAGTCAAGATAGCATTCATGGTAAGTTAATAGCTTTAATATTGGTTTCAATTTTCAGTGTGAGGTAACAGTTCAGCTCATTTAGAAGCATGGCCGGATTTTAGAGGCAAGGATTGGAGGGAGATGTTATTGGATTTGGTGTCACACTTTTTTTGGGTGCCCCCAAAAATGATGACAACACCCATTTTTACAATAGATTTCTTTAACCATAAGATTAGGAGATAACCATACAAAAAGGAGGTAAATGAAGTAGAATTCCATAGAGCGTATTTTGATCATTACCGACTACCAAAAAAATATTTTTCTGAGTCATATTTTTTGTATTTGTATTTGTGCTTGTTGCTACCTAGCATCAAAAGGTAGTTTTTAGGACACTGAGAAGCTATGCTTATCGAGCAGTATCCTGGTCCTTCCTCTCGATGTGACCACACCTCGTGATTCCTACGCCTGGAATTACAGAGAGCTGACGACTCTCCTCACTCTGGATTGAAGTTTGGTCATGCCAGAGACTCGAACCACAGACCCTTGGGTCTGTAGTCTGTGTCTCTAACAACTGAGCCATCCTCGCATTCTCGCAATCAATGCACAATTTACCCAATAACACAAAAATATTGTATGGGGGCTGCTGCACACCCTAAACTCTTCCAACATTTTACACGTTTTTGAGCCTTGGAGATTTATATTTTTATCAGCATCATTATATATTATCAATAACAAGAGACCCAAAATACTGGATGTTTTATGCAATTCTGTTACTTTTTTATATTAAACCACATTCGTTTTGTTTATCTTGAGTAAGCCTGCAATGAAAAATTCCTTCTTTTCTTCTTTTGCAGGTCAGTTTACTCAAGTTCATATACGCTTAAGATCCAGACATTTTCCAACTTTAGTTCATGATATCCTCTCTAAATGTCATTTACCAATTCATAAAGATTTGGAAAGTCTTGTCAAGAAACAGGAGGAACGGCGAACAAAGCAAAAACCTAATAAAATAAGATGGAGTAGTACGTTGATGGATTGGATGGACGAAGAGATGGTGTTTTCGGATCCAGTAAAGCCTGTCGAGACTCTTCGCTCTTGGCTCGTCAAAAATACTGGTACAGCCAGAATACGGCTGAATGAAATGAGTCCCATTGTAGATGAAAACCGTCGCATCAGCAAACGAATGATACGACGTCATAAATTAAAAGGTTTCGTAGATGGAGAAATGGGATACAGCCAAACAACGTTGAATGGGGCTTTGAAACAGATGGAGTATCTTTTTAAAAGAAGGACCATCAATTCGAAGGGTTTGTTTGGAAGAACTCTTAAACTAGGCGTTTTTAATGGTTTGGATCACCTTGGACGATTTATTATTGATATAACTGATGTACCAAGCGCGTGGTTGCAGGTAGGTAGCTCTTATTTATTTGGATTTTTTACTACCTAGCTTCCGAAGGTAGGACTTATGACACTAAGATGTTATGACTATCGAGCAGTGCCCTGGTTCTTCCTCTCGATGTGACCACACCTCGTGATAACTACTCCTGAATCCATAGACCCTTGGATCTGTAGTCTGCGGCCCTGGCCACTGAGCCAACCTTGCGCCCTGTGTTCTTAAAGGCCAACAACTACTCTCTACATCAAACACTAAGATTGGTATTAAACAAATTCTGTTAATTTGTGATAGTGACTATGTTGCTCTCTTGATTGTTACGAGAACTTTCTGCAAATATTCTTATTAACTGCTGCCCTAAGGGAACTGGCAAATTATAATTTTGTTTATTTGCCCTTCAATGGTTTTTTTTAAGAACCAGTTGAAATAAGTAAAGAACTGTTTGTTTTCAAAAAAATTATAGACCAGAAACTGCAGTCATTGCTTGGTGAAAGTTTTTCAACTTTACACTCAATAATTATCCCAAAAATGATACACGGTGATAAATTTCCTTAGAAAAGTTTAGGCTGCAAAAACTTAAAATTGTGTTAGCAATATGTACACTCCAAGTTTGAAAGCATTGTCTCTTATCCCCAAGTCACTATTTGCTATTTAGCTGATAAAATTGGCAAAGTTTAGCAAAGTTATAGGTTTATTAACGCAACAAGAACCTCATGTATTTCATTTGACTTCTTATTATGTTTATACCGATAGTAATTGAAGAAATATTTTTATCAAGAAAAAAGCCGAGAGGGAACATTTTGATTATAATACCTTTGTTTACATAGTAAGCGACATTAGATTGCATGTACTTGTTGTTTGTTAGGGGTTTCGAATCCATCTCGTCCCGGAGATTTTCAGCCGATCTTTAATGAACTGGAGCTGAATGACACGATAACAAATTAAGATGATGTTTTACAAGGAAATAAGTACCGTTTTTCTCATATTTTAAGGGCCTCAGTTCCATAAACGATTTTGATGGTCTCGTTCCTGTGCTTGACCTCACTGAGATGCAGATTTCAGAGCAGTTGCAAGGCCTCCAGATATCACGCAGCCGGACCCACGATCCAGTGCCTATCAAACTTTATTACAAGCAAGCCTCGAAGTTGCTGTGTAGCCTTCGTGAAAGTCGAGATTTTGATACCATGGTAACGCCACTAATGAACAGATACCGAGCAAGAGTTACGAGGTTGGTTGTATTCTTACAAAAGTTAGTTCTAGGAAATGAATTAGAAAAGAAACTTTCCCTGGTAAGAATCTTCTTGTGTACAAAGTGCAGATTAAATTCGCGTTTTCTTTTTTTTCTCAGATCAAGACATTCAAACTGTCATTTATTTTTCTGCTGTCTTCCCTCCTTTTATTTTTCTTTGTGTTGCTGTAAAGAAATTTAGCTTTGATGCAATAGTTTCCAGCCCTTAATTTTTTCAGAAAGTTTTAATTCTAATATAGAAATCTTGTTGGTTGTCAAAAGTACAAGGTCGTAGCAGAAAAAAATTCTAACGGTATATGGAATAATCAAGTTTCGACCCTTTTCTGTAATAAAATATCAGTAATTCCAGTGATTAAGTTTAGGTTTTTTAAGATTGTATATGTTTATAACAAGTCCTTTATTGATGAGAGCACCTTTGTTGCTGAAAAGGCAACCCTGTATAAATAATTATATTATTATTATTATTATTTTATTATTATTATGGCAGTAGTACCAAACTAAGGAAGTTTTATGATTCTCGAGAAAAACTGGCAATTTGTTTTATAAGTATGCCATTTTCTGCTACAATATTTGGTATTTTTTTTCAGTGCAACGGAGGACCTAAGCATAGACCCAGATGGCGTCATTGTTGTTCCTTGCCTAACCACTTCTGATGCTATATCGTCGTTTTTGAGATTAAACCACCGTCAGATACTAGAAGCACGAAAAACACATGCCAGGTATTATCATGTCCCTTTTACACAGATCATGCAATATTTCTGGAAGCTAGCTCCTTAATCTTGCCATCCCTTCCAATAAACATAGTTGGTTGTGATATCTTAAGGGTTTCCTAGTTTTGCTCTAAACGGTACTGGATGCATCAACACCGCCTTGGAAAAGAAGAATGGGAAAGTGAAAATTTGTTCTGGCGTGTTTTGAACTTTAGTCACGCTGATAGCTTAAATCAACATTTCATTTAGTTATCTTTCTCCGATTGACAGTCTGTCCTATTTACAACACTTCATTGCTGAGCAATACCTTTCTCAACCTTTTTTGTTTTCTGTGCAGTTTTATTCCATTTTGTGTTTGAAATAACTTCAATGCATCGAGAAATGAGAGAAACCACATTTTGTTTCATTTAAATCACGGTCTGAATACCCTCAGTTACGTTTCCGTGTTCCCTCACCTTATAGAATGCTCAAGATTAATTGAATTTTCTGCTTTGGAACGTTTTCATGGACTTTCATACCCAATTATTTTCTAAACCATATAATTTTATAAGATTGCCATACTTAGAAGTATCTCCTTTTGTCTTTTAGGTCGTTGCAGGCCGAGCTTAATACAGTTCAATCGTGCAAAGAAGTTTTGAATCTTTCGTCAATGCGAAAAGACCGCATCATATCATCAGAGCAAATGATAAAATCCTGTGAGAGACTGAAGCGAGAAGGCGATCTAGGACTTGATAGTTTGAAGCTCATTATAAGTAACTATTATGGAATTTCCGGGGACGGTGAAATTCGAATACCCTGGCAGTGGAAAAGATAGCTCATCGCAAATTTTAATCTTAATGTTCCGTAATTCGTTTTCTCTTTCGTCCTCTGGACATTGATTGTAGAAAATGTTGCAATTTGAATTCATAATTTCTTTCCTTCGTATATTTTCAGACTATTTCTTAGTTCAATCGGAATTTTATCACATATATTTTTAAAAAGAAGCAAATCGGTTTTCTAATGATGCACTTAGAAGTGTGGCTTTTAAGCCGAACAACAACAGGTTGAATTATTTAACTTATTTTCTTTGTGTCTTGCTCTGATAATTCGAAGCACTATTGATAAGATTGCTGTTATTTAAGCACCTTATTATCTTAGCACGTCTACAAACAGTAACCCTTGAACTGTTATTCATTGAGAAGGGCTGGTGCTCCTCAAGGATCTGTTCTCCAATCAGGACTTTTCTTGTATATAGCGTATCTTCTAAAGTAGAGCGCTTTGTTCTTGATATCTCAATAACAGATTAATAGCGAAACAACTGGGGCTCTAGACCACGACTTGTCTATTGCCCAAGACTGGGCTTATAAATAAAAGATATGCATTTATCTAGGATCTTGTGTGCATGCAAAGGAGAATGTTCTCTTTACAAAAGTAGAACAGCAATTATTAAGACGAAGCAAATATTGGATTTTTACGTTTCTAAATATGTACCCCAAGATTTGTTATGATCAAATATATAAGCTGTATGCTAGGCTACAATTCTAATATGGTGATGTGATTTACCCGTGGACGAAGCGAAATGAAATAGTCAGGGGAAGGGTTGCAGATCCCCAGATTTGCTGACAAAAATGGCGTTCCTAGGATTTGATTGCTGGCAATTCTATAACGTGGCCAAACTTCTTCCAGTGTAATTGTTAGCCATTTGAGGCTATACAGACAATTTTGTAGGCAGGAATAGAATACATGATATGGATAAGTTTGTTTCTCGCTATTCATTTATCTTGCTAACAATGGATCACAAAGTTAGAATTTAGATATGTTTGTCGAAAGAACGCAGCGAACGGGGTGGGATCTGGAAAACTCCTGGGTACTTGCGAGACTGTATTTTTTCGCTTTTCGTTTTCAGTAAAATTCAAAATTACATTTGCTATCTATATTGTGCATCAAATTAATAGATCTTATTCTGAGCTTGAGTTACAAGTGGGAGCAAACAGAGAGCAAGAAATACAAAAACACGATTCAGGCCCTTAGCAAAGATCAACGAGGGAGACGTCTTCTTATCAAAATGAGCAGTTGTTCTTGTAGACAGTGTCTCGGTATTTGAATCCAACTGCTAACTGCAAAGATATTATTTATTCCCCTATTCTGTAAATTATTAGGGGTGTAAGGCCCCATCGGGCCATTGGGCCCATAGCCGCTATCAGCCTCGCTCCCAAAGCGAGGGTTCTCAAGTTATGTTCCAAAATGGCGCTGGGACGAGTATTTGCATTTGCAGCGTTTTTAAGGTTTTGTTTCATTCTTTATGGTATTTGGCACGATTCAAAATTCAGAGTTAAGTATACAGATATTGATTACATTGTCTTCAGTGATGCTGCACAACACATGGTAAATGGAAGCTCACCTTACAGCCGAGCGACCTATCGTTATACGCCGCTCCTTGCCATCCTCATGACACCAAATTCATTTCTCCATCCCTCCTATGGAAAAATTTTCTTTTCGATTTGTGACCTTATTGTTGCATGGTTAATCTTACTTATAAAGAAAGAAGAACATCTGCTGGACTGCTCAGGTGAAGGGAAACAAACGGGAGCTAATGAATTGTACTTCGCCGCATTTTTCTGGCTGTTCAATCCTTTTTCATTGACAATATCAACAAGAGGAAACGCCGAGTCTTTTCAGGCAATTTTGGTACTAACAACGGTGCTGTTTGCTATCAAAAGGAAGACAATTATAGCTGGAATATTTTTTGGCCTGGCCATCCATTTCAAAATCTACCCAATTATCTATATTATCCCGCTCGTTTTACACATTCTTGGGGCTTCTGGCTTCAATTATCCCAAGTCATGGAGCTTTTCTGAATTCCAAAATTGTGTCAAATTGGTTTTAAAGACTTTGTTACCCTTCATTTTATCTGCTGGTTTTATGCTGTGCTTTGTAACTTCTGTTTTCTATGCATGGTAAGTTTTTAATGGAACTATCTCCACAAGCCAGACTGGAAACTTTGTCACGCACCCACAATATATTGCCTGTGCACTAAAATTTTCCATTTGCGCACATTTGCATATTGGCTGTGCAAAGTCCCCATTTAATAACATTTTACACAATAGAGTTCTCAAGTGTGACGTTACAAAAAAACTGCTTTTAGAATTTTCGAATTTTGACTACAAAATACTCCAATATATGCAAAATCAGTTAAATTTGACAAAAATCAGGTGAGCTATTGTTATGAACTGAGACCAAATGACAGAGGTTTGATGGGGCCAGAGCTTGTGCTCATCTGGTCATATCATAGCCAATTCGTAATACCTTGACTGATTTTGCAGATTTAGAGGTATTTCATGATGCGCTTTCAGGTTATGGGAACAAATTTCAAAGATTGTGAAAATAGATTTTTGTGATGTCATCCCTTGACAGCTCTATTACCTTTAAAAATTTTCTAAATGTGTGTGATTTCAGGCACGCAGTCAGGCATGTGAACTTGCCTGTGCAAGAGACAAAGTTTCCAGTCTGGTCCACAAGTTGATCATTTATCAAAACAGAGGAGGGTAATGTTAATGATTTGGTAAAGCACATTTACCAACCAGGTTATAAAAAAGTTCCTTAATAACGGAAGTTAAAATATGGTGGAATTGATGGTAATTTTAGTAGGACCTAGCATGAAGCTGTTACTTGCTTGTTTTTGTTTGAAAATCAAATTTAAATTTATGCCTCAGCAAGCTATTGTTTTGTCTTTTCAGTTGACAAATAATTGTGTCCTGCTGTAATGCATTCCTGTTAAGATTGAAAAATCTTTATTATAGGAATAGAGCTTTCCCAGTAAATGAAATTTGGTTTCAAAATTGACTTCTGTTGTACAAAATATTCTGTTTTCAAAATCTGTGACTTGTATACCAGTTAAATCCAAATCAGGTTGTTTGAATTTTCAAATTGTTTTGATGATATTTACAAAATTGGAAAATACAACTACACTTAAACATATAAAATGAATTATTTATTTTCTTTTAGGTACAATATGGAATTCATTGAGCACACATATCTATATCATTTGAAAAGAACTGATATTAAGCACAATTTCTCTCCATACTTTTATGTTCTCTACTTGACTTCAAAAACATCATGGTCCCAGACTATTGGAGTCCTTGCCTTTCTACCTCAAGCAATTTCAGTTATAGCTGTTGGAATAAAATATCATTCGAAACCATCAGTTGCCTGTTTTTTCCAAACATTTGCATTTGTTACTTTCAATAAGGTCTGCACATCACAGGTATGTAGTTTTAGAGATTCCAGAGGCCCTACTTGTCTTTTCGCTTTATTGTATATGATATATTATACATATTTCTGTAAGATGTTAGATACTAGAATTTAGCTATGAATAGAATCTCATATGGACTAATGTTTAATTGCATGTGGTGTTAGTGCTTGCTTTGTATTAATATCCTTGGCAGTCCTTTTCGTGAGCAAAATTACGCGTGTGTGGCAAATCGCACATGTAAACAAATTTGCGCGTGCGATCGCACTTGTAAGAAAATTTGAAGTACAAACCTGATAAAATTGGTAAAAGGAGCAAGAAGGAAAAAGCCACTCGAATACGTGCAAGAGCAAAACTCAAAATTAATCAATACATAACAGATGTTGTTGCCCTTAGCAGCCATCTTTTAAAAGTCGTCGTCACTCTCCAAAGTTACAAGAGCAAGTAAAAATTGTTTCCAACAGCTACTTGCTTTCAGGGCCTAATTACGTTTTGACAGGAAATCAGTTATTACACTTAACATGCTAATGGCGACTTAGCTGCATCGATGCGTTGATAACTGCATCCAGTTCCAGTTCCTGTTCCAGCTCTTCCCTCGCGTATAATTAATCGAAATTGTCACTTCAGTTGTTCTCCAGAAACGATGAACAACTAAAGGCTTCAGAATTGGTGTCTGAAATGCTCAAACTAAAAGCTGGTGGAACAGAACTGAGAGTACCAGCCATCACTTGCAGTGTTCAATTTGGGAATCGCCGTCGTTCGATTCGGTTTGAGACGAGACTATCCGAAATACACTGTGACGTCAAAATTGCATCACAGTGTCACCAAACCAAAAATTTTTGTCGGTTAATTCAATTAAATTATCGAAATGCAAGAGCTTATATCTCACAAACTGTAAAAAAATATCGAAAAACAAATAACGAATTCGTGATCAGCAGGCTCAACTTCTTTATAAAAATTGCCAATAAAATGCAAGTGCAAAATTTGGCTGGAGAGGCCCTTTAACAGAAAACTGCAAAAACACCTGTTTGCGCGTGTGGTCAAAAGCACGCGCAATTTAACTTGCGCGTGTGCAGGCGTGTGCGGGTGCGATCGCACGCGCTAAACGAAAAGGAGTGCCTTGGATTGGTGCACTTCTTTGACAAAGGTTTAACCATTTGCCTTGATACTTGAAAGCCCTTCTAAAAACTACTGGCATAAATGTCAGTATTTACAGACTTAATTTTATTTGCTTACATTACCTCTTTTGGTGTAACAATGTCTCACCTCTCTTGTACGAAAATAAGTTTCCATTAGCAGCTTGCTGTTTATTTCACACTTATTAATTTGATACATATACAAATATTTATTTGTAGATGCATTTAAGTAACTGACTAAGCTGTTCTTTAATCTTGCTCCTATAACAGTCTTCACTATCTTTCTAGCAGACCATTTAGTTTCACATAGGCAATTCCTTCTGCCCTGTCCAACTGAATTAGTTGCATATGTGCTTTTGATTGTCCTTGCAAAAACATGTCTATTCTGAAAAGGAAAGGAATAGCCTTTATAGAAAAGCTAGGTCTATAAATTGCAGTATTCCTGAACAAAAGGTCAGGTTTCTTATGTAAATGTTTGACAAGCATAGGCAGATGATAAACTAATGTCCCCACTTAGAAGACTTTCTTTAACAAATATTGTTTGATGGGCAATCACCCCCAAAAGCTTATCCACAAAGGAAGTTTGTTGCCCATGTGTAAATTTCTCAGTTAATAGGCCTGGTTGCCAGCTTACATATGTGTAATCATGGGTGTTTTTATTTTCCAGTATTTCATCTGGTACCTCAGTCTTCTGCCAATAGCAGCAGGATATATGAAGATCAATATGAATTATGACATGCCTGTGATGTTATTTCTTTGGATGTGTGCCCAGGTACACGCAACTTTCTTTTACACTTTGTAATGTTTTGCATTATATTTTTACCTTATATCAAAGAAATAGGATAACAAATTGTTGGTTGACACTAAAAATTCAGGAAAATCCAATGTCAGGCCATCCTCGAAAATGCGTGCCATGCCATACTCACACCTTGGCACCTGACTTGTTTCCCCAAGGCTATGAGTTTCCACAGGGAACGTTCTTGGGTCCTGGTTGAACAATGACATTTTCATTGCATATTGTATTTAGTTTCCCACTCAAACACGAAATTTTTGCCAGTTTACATGTTATTGTTTTCATTTCATCTTCGATTTGAGGTCAGAGCCCTATATTGAGGGGAGTTTGTCTTTGTTTTATTGTCTCTGCACAGCAGCATTTTCATTTGGTATTGGATTAAATCGTTTACACAAGCAAAAAAATGTATCAGATTGGTTTCATCTCACATCAGAGCATTTTCATTTAAAATGCGAAAACATATGAAGCTTATCAGATGGATAATTTTCATGTAAAAAGAAAAGTATGGAACCAATTGATATGAAACAAAAACATTGTGTAAACAGGACCCTATTAACCGCTCTGTTTTCTCCATTTTCAAAAAGAAAATTGTATACCCTTTGTGCAAAATGAAAAATTTAAAAATGGGTGTAAATTTCCATTTTTGTACGTTCAGTAAATGTTCATAAATACTTTAGAATCCTGATCTAACAAGCTCTGAAGGGAACCAGAAAATTTTTTTTTCATCATTGTTCAGTATAAAGTAATGATGTTTGCTTCAATTCCTGGAGTCTTCCACATTGAATGCTTCAACAAAAATTTTCAGTGTGACCAATTTGTTTACACTTATTACACAAAAAAAGTTTAACTATTAACAATTCAGACATTTTCTATTGTACTGTGCCAGTTATTTTTTAAAAAATCATACACTGATATTTAGCTTCTTATGTTTTAGGGCATTTGGTTGCTTCTAGCTTACTTGTTGGAGTTCCAGGGACTTGATACTTTTTTCCTTGTTTGGCTAGCCTCAGTATGGTTCTTCTGTGTAAACATATACATAATGGTCAAGTTAATGTCCAGTATATCATTTAAAGAGGCCTCAAAAGTTGTTACAGATGCAAAAAAGAAAGAATGAACATTAACCTAGTAGGTTATGCCTGGAAAATGTATTTCTGTGCTTTCCTGCAATAGACACAGGTGAGCTAGTAAATTAATTAACTTTGTTATGTCTTTCTGCAATGTTTTTTCTGTAGCTACTGTGGTAAAACAGTACATTTTCTTTTGAGGTTTTCTCTTCAAACTGACCTTATAGCTTGTTCATTGTTTGATCTGTACTCTGTTTTGCACTCAAAATTGTTCTTTATAATGGAATGTTTTTATGGTTTAGTTAGGCGTGGTCTGGTTCGAGTGGCAAAATGGTGATCACCAACCAGGCCCTAAGGCATGTAAAGTAAAGTTTCATAGGAAGAAAGCTTCTCGAATTGAGAAAAGTGTCAAATTTTTTTAATCAAGTTTTGCAATAGATGCAAAACACGATCAACAAGAGAATCATCAGCAAGATTTTCTTGGATATTTCACATAAATAAAATTTCACAGTTTTAGTATTTCAGGAAGTTTCCCATATCCAACATTCATGATTTTAGGCCAAAAACACAAAAAAGCGCAAAAGGTTCTTGCATCGAAAGTCTCTTCCCGTGAGTTTCTTTCCGCGAAAGTTTCTTTCCACGAAAATTGATTTCCTTAAAGTAGCAAGCAATAGACAAAGGCCTTCCCCAGCTTCCCTTCAAGTTCTTTTTCTGAAAACCCACTGAAAGGTTCATGGTGAAAAGCTAAATTAAAGTTTTTCTTTTTGTCAATTGATAAATGAACAACGTGTTTAGAGTTATACGTTTTTTACAAGCTAAAGAACAGTCTCATTTCAAGTTCACTCGATGATGTTTGAGTGTTAATAAGTTTGTAGGTTACTCGATTTCAAGTTGATGCCAAGATATTAACCTAGACAAATGAAAAGGTGACACATGCAAGATCATCAATATTTTTCTTTCAGTATTTATTTTACACGAGATACCTTTCAGCAAAAAAGTACTGTTTACAATATTTGTTTAACAATAATAAGAGAGAAAAATAAAAATAAATGAATAAAATAAAATAATGCAAATTGCTGCTCTACCAAGGGGTCGTGTTTGGGTCCTGTGGATGGTTCGAAAGATACTCTCTAAAACCTGTTTTAAAACGAGCGATGGATTCTTTTTCTCGAATGTTGTTAGGGATATCATTCCAGTTTTTGACACCAGAGAAATAGAAACCTCGCTTTGCATACTCTCACCTAACTTTGGGAATTTGCAGGTCTCCACGGTTTCTTGTTCTATACTCTGAAATCATGGATCTTTCAGTGAATTTATGGCGAAGATTTTCGGGACAGAGGTCATGCAAGATTCTATATGTCATGACTCCTTGGTCAAAGGAGATCAAGGACTTTCCAGTGAGCCATTTGCCAGTCCATCCGTTCTTATGCTTGGCATTCGCTATTAGCTTCTTTGCCCTTGTCTGTAAACGTTGCAGCTAGGATAGTTTAGTGTTGGAGAGAGCGCTCCAAACAATGTTGCCATAGCGAAGATGGCTTTCAAAGACAGCTTTGTAAACTTGATCAAGTTTCCTTTGCGGAAGGATGTTGTTCAACTTTCTTATCTTCCCCTCAAGTTTATCGTCCCCTCATCAGAGTTCTTGAACCAGGGGTCTATAACATAGACATGTCATTGTACAGTGCGGTTTTTGAAACGCAAACTTGTTCAAGCAAAGCCTGCTTTGTTTCTTTAGAAACTCCATTAGTTGGTCATGTACAATCTTTTCTAAAATTCTAGACACAACTGATAACACTGAGATAGGTCGGTAATTGTTTACATCAGACCAGCACTAGCAGATTGAAATTTTTCTTGGCTCATTTTCAGAATATTTCATTTATTAGGTTTGCTTGATAATAATGCTAGAGGTGTTATGATTATTATTTTGAACTATAATTAGAGTTTCTTGGAGTTACAAATAGAACTATTGTTTTGCTGCTATTGTGCAATGTTTAACTATATAGAATCCATGACTTGAATAGAATACAGTATCTATCAATAACTGATTTCGACTGGACGTTTTTTGGGCAATGCTTTGTGGCTCAAAAAGTTTATCTTTCACGCCTTGAACGGGCCTTTTGGTTTGCTAGCCACCTTGCAATTATGATGGCAAACCGTCTCTGGGTTTCTAAAGTACTTTTAGTATGTGCAGCTGCACAGAGATGCAGAATACAAAAGTTTTTATCACAAATTTTTGAACGTTCGAAGAGAAATAACACCTTCATTAGCCAACCGGCATTATCGCGTCTTGATTTTAAAGCCATCATCCATTAATGAAAGATTTCATATTGCATCCAGCGTTTGCGTCTAGCTAAAGGAGATACCATATATTTAGATGCAGTATTTTATCTTGTGAATATTTTGTTTCATTCGGAACACCCTAATTTGTTTATATATCGCCTTATAGCATTGTTATTATCAGTCAATATGACCTAACTGATATTTCAATTTGTATGGAAAACCGAATCATAATGCTCATGAATTAGTCAATGTAAATTTAATGGGTTATACTATATTGAATGTTGTAAATATGTCTTGTTTTTGTTTCAGGAAATTATGCTTAAAGCCTCTACGCAAGCCACCTGCAGGACTGTGTTGACAGTGCTACAGCAAATTTATTAAGTATTACATCAAATTGCAAGGACTAATGTGAACACTTCATAAAAGTATTAAGTGTAAAAACTGCAATTAACTAATTTATTATTTCATGTTGATGTATTATTAAATTATATTTTTAGGGCTTTTTGTTCAATATTTACGGCCTGTCACATTTGAATTAATTTCAATTCCGAGTATTAATCAGTCTCAAACGAATACATCAAAAATTAAGATGCTTAGTGCATATTGTTAAAATATAACCTGAAGTTGTTCTCTCCTTTTTATTCCTTTGCTTCAATGACAGAGGATATAGTATCTCCTTCATGAGTTCTTCGTCTTCTTTGCGGCTTTCACTTTTGATATTCACTTTAACTGGTTCTTTCTCTTTCACCTGTTGCCACTTCTCTGATCTCATTGATGTCTTTCATGTCATATGTACCAAAAAAAGTTGTTGAAAATGCTTCAAAGAATTTCGATTTGTTGATGACTGAATTTCTTGGTTTAGCGGAAAGTATTATTACTGGCTGCGTGACTGGCAAAATTTTAAACAAAGTTGATGTTTTGATTAAAGTTTAGAGGAGAAGAAAGCATATTTTTGAGAATAAAGGAGAAAATGAAGGACAAAGCAAACCAGATAGCTTACAAGTTATAGGTGCTGAGCAAATTCTAGAGAGATTTCAAGAGTAAAGTCTTTGTTACTATTATGTTCTCGTTTTCAAAATTGTAACGCTCTTTATAAGCTTTTTGTGTCTACAGGTAGTTGCTGCAATCTTAAATTTTCAAAAACAAATCTCTCCATTGTAGCTTTATCACTACACAAAATTTGAGTTTATAACTGCACAATTACAAATTATCACTGCATAAATTGGTCATCACTGTACGTCAAAATAAACTCTGGCCTAGTCAATTAGCCAGGAACCTAGGGGCGTCAGAAGCACTTCAACAACCGAGAGGCATAGGCCTAGGTTGGAAAGGGTTTTGTCTTCAAAAATTCCGACCAGAAATAGTGGTGGGGGGGAGGGGGTGGGGGTTTGTCTACTCCTGACCAAAGATGTGAGAGGTGCTTCGTGAAAACGAGGTTAGGCTAAGCAGATCTGTTGTTCGCCTTCGCGATTCGCGAACCGTCTTTAAGGCAAGGTTGCCTGTATTTGTACGGGTCAAGGAGCTTCAAGTTATTGCAAAATCCATGACAACAGAAGAGCAATACGACAATGTCGTCTGCCCTACGGAAGACGAGCTCATCAACCATAAAATTTGTGAGGGTAAACTATGCCCTGTCATCGAATGTGGAAAATCCATAAAGAATCCGAGTGCCATGAGAATGCACTTGGCCCAAACCCATGGCATTGGAGCTGAAAATGTCCTTCAGACTTTCAACAAAGCATTTATCGTCGCAAATCAAACTACGAAATCACTGTATGCATGTCCCGTATTTACATGTAGCCGAACGTATGGATCAGGAAGATATTTCAAAGCGCTGAGTACTCTGCGTGAGGTAAATTTTCTTTGTTTATGTAAACAGTAGTAATTATAGCCTTGTTCCATTTACAAGAGAGTGTTCGGAAGTGGGAGTGACCTCCATTGCTTTTATCATGGTAAGTCAAATATAAACATGTCCAAACTCCCAACCTACCAAGATTTTGATACTGTCACTGGTGATAACCCACAATTAAAGTATTTTCAATTCTGTACAAATATACTTTTACTTTTTATGAATATTGGAAAAAACATTAGCTATTGTGTTGCAATATATATCTAAGTGCAGGGATCATAGGTTGCATAATTTTAGATAACTTTTCTATTTCTTAGATTATTTTTAGATTATTACTTCATATACATATTGAACAGATATTTATATTGCAGCAAAAAATAATAGAAGCAGTTATTTAAATAGCAGAAAACGCTTTATTCTTTCTTGAACATTCAACATCATACTCTCTTCTCATTTTTAAAACCTTAAACTTTTTAGACCTTTGGAAATTTTTGGATTAAAAATACTAAGATTAGTGAACAAATTGACCAAGAAATTGAATCCTACTTGCTTTCACAATTTTTTTCTCTGAACGTGTGTTTGTCAACTCGTATACTTGAGAGAATACTTAAAAATTTGGTTCAAGATCAGTTAAATGTGCACACACCAAATCCTGGAACAGCCCTTCTATTTTAAAAATCTCCTTCAGATTTCAGTTTTTGTTGTAATCTCAAATCTCATGTATTTTCGTCAAAATACCAAGTTTAAACGTCATTAGAATGTTTCTACAATTTTTCAAATGAACTTGCTATGCCACAACTGTAAAATAATTAGTTTTGCTCTTTTAGAAATTATTGTATTATTTTGTTGTATTGTTGCTCTATAGTTGTTGTTAGATGGAATTTGTATTTATTCAGAATTTCACAAATGGAACTTGAGCTGTAATCAACACTCTACCAGACAATCTGATTCTTGGCCCACAAAATTAGTCTTCAATAGGGTTTGAAGTATATTTGCTATCAGGAGGCAAAATACAAAATGATATTCAGAAGAAATAAGAATTTCTCCATCTGAATTTACATTTAAAAAGAATCTGAAAAATATATTCAAAGTCCCTTGGAATTATTTGCTAGAAAAAATGACAGGAAATGTTCAATGTTCATGCTCTGTGTGTTTGATAAAATATGATCTTGTATAAGGGTGCTCTCTTTTGAATACTAAGAGAGTTTCCTTTTAGAAATTCTAGTATGTGCAAATTAACATTTGTTATTTTTTTTAATTCACTTATCATTTTTTTACTGTTTTATTCATAGTTAGATCTGCATGTATGTTTGATTTTGAATAAGCAATTAGTTCAGTAATTTAGAACAAAAATATACAAGCAGAGTGATAAGAAGTACTTTATGAGTATATATTATGTGCCCCTGGCTACCTTTTGTCAGTCCAAGTTTTTATTTGAAAAACTGCAAGATAATGGATGGAGTACTTCACCAGCTGTCATAAAATAATGAATTTCCTGTGTCATTTATCAAGAGGTCCGCAAATTAATTGTCTGCTTGTTATTCATCAAACCACCACTTATCTAGAATAAATTATTAATTCAAGTATCTAATTTCGGCAAAAACAAGTTACATAAGTTGGTTCTACATTGTAAAGAATCAAATCTTATCTTATCTACTTTGAAGTTTTATTTTCCAAAGTTTGAATTTTTCTTCATATTACTGAGTTTAAAGAAGATTGCTTGTTCAATATGCTTTCATGCTACCGTGAAAATTAACTGTTAAAGTTAAAACCAAGAGATCTAGATAGTTTTTTTTCCATATTTTTCAGAACAATGATTTCTTTTAGATTTTTGAATCTTTATAGAAATAAGCCTCAACATGTCATTGAATTTATCAACTCAGTTTTGTATGAAAGGTTGTAAATTGGCTTTTAGTTTATTTCATTCTTTACAGGTTCCACTTGAGTCATCCCTCCTAATCCTTAGAATCAAACACAAAAACATTGTGTAGCTGTGATCTAAAAGACAAATACTTTATATTTTGCAGCATTACTTATCTATGCATGCTGAGAAAAAGCATATCTGTCAGAAATGTGGTGCTAGATTTGGAAACCCAAGAAGACTACAGCTGCATTCTAAGAACTGCAAAACAATTTTCTATTGCACATGTGGCTGTCCATTCAAAAAACGTGAAGCACTTTTAGAGCATACAATGAGGAGCCAACATGAGCTGCCCGAAGATATCAAACAAGAAATATTGAAAAAGAATAGGTCGAATGCAAGAAAGGATAAAGTCATTGAAAGGTGAATAGAAAATCCTTTTATTGCAAATGGTAAAAACAAAGTAACTTCTCAAGCCCAGAATTTTATTAGAGGGGATATATACTTGTATGCTTTTCTATTATCTTTAATAAATAAATAGTGTTACAAAAAATATTGATACCTTCTGTTTTTGAAGCAATTGGTTATGCTTTGTTTTCAATTTTAAACGAAAGTAAATCAATTATATAATATTTTCATGTTCAAAGATGGGTTCATTGTTATCTTGCATTGGGAACGCTTATGAAAAATTAAATATTTCATGTCAGATGATATTTCTTGTTTCAAACTCAGATTGAGTGAATTTGCGATAACATCTAATTTTAATAAGGTGCCAGTGAGTGGGTATGCATGTTTTATACACAACCGATGTCATTTGCAATGTAGGGTACTTTATTGATCTATGTTCTGACATTTTACACTCCGAAGAGTGTTAAACGAAAAGCTTGAGTTTACTCAAATGTTTGCTTTTTTTAAAGCCATTTTAAATCTATTAATTCTTTTAGGTCTCATAAAAAAATAAACATACAATCAAATTCAAAGGAGTATACTGGGCCTGCAACTTTGTACCTAATAAGAGTCTTTGCCCTATCTTATTTGTTAGTTATAAAAAGATACTCTGTACATGAATGGTGAAAAATGAGTTTTGTCTTTTGCAAATTTAGCTCTAAAATTTCTTCTCTTCATAAAGTTTACAAAAAATTCACAATTTTAGCTACAAAAGATACAAGGTTTCACAATGGGTATTTTAGCTATTTTAGATTGATTTTTGGGAAGAAAGATCCGCATCAGCTCTTTTGAGTTGCCAGACTTTTTAACCTGCTTTGAAATGGTTTTAACTGAAAAAAGGTCAGCACTTTATAATGAAATATTCAATTGATGAAGTCGTTTTTTTCTAGATCTGCATACCATTCCAAAGTTGGATGTTTAGAACAGCCTTCCTTTAATGCAAAGGATCTCCAAAGCCCTGATGACCAAATCTTGAATACCAAACAACTAATCGTAGTCCCACAGCATTTTTCCAACAATGATGTCATCAAACCAAATGCATTCCTTATTGTGTCATGTCAAGATGTTGGTAATTCTTCTACAAATAGTGGTGCTAGTATACCGAGTCAGAGTGTTCAAATGCCCTTCAAAATTGTACAAAGCAAAAGTTTTCCAGCTGTTAATGTGACCACTTTCAGTGCAGCACCCAACCGCCTTGATGTTGCATTCAGAAGTACAGACAGTTATAGATCAAACAATACTGGGGACTTTGCTTTTAGCAGAGATGGTTCAGTGCGTAATGGCAATGACAACTTTGGTCAAAGGCTGCAAACCGAGATTATGTCACAGGGTTCTGTACCTCTGTCTGCCGGATTCGATGAAGCAACAAATCGCAGAAATGCTAAAGAAGATTATGCTCCAAGTGTTGTTCCCATCAAACCAAGCCTTGCAGTTTCAAAGAATGATATCACGGAAAGAAATAAGCGTGTGGACGAAGCTATGAAGCAATATATTCCAATTAAAAGGAAGAGCCCGTTAGACCCTGTCGTGTCTGATTGGCACTGCAGTGTTCCAAGAAGAAAGTACAAGAAGAGGAAGCGAACTGTTCAAGGGAAGACTAGCAGTGGATCAGATGCGATGGGCACGAGTAATAACGATGAGTCATCGGTTTCATCGATGCAAGACTGCTTGCAAAAGGCATCAAATTTCGTTAAGAACATGCTACCAAAAATGAAATCGCCGAAAAGAAGAGAGTCTCCTGATCATGGCGAGCCTCTGCTGAAACTGCCACCTAAGACTGGAAACAAAAGCCCAGGTCATTACGAAACTTCATCACATGTAACTCCTGAACGATCAGACCATGTCAATGTTGCAAACTGCCTAATGATCGCAAAACAAAAGACGTATGAAAATGGTTTTATGAGGAGTAGAGTCGACAGTAATGTTGTGGAAGACAACCCTGGTGGTGCGGAACAAAGCTCCTCAAGAGCTATTCCATATAGGGAGGAACTGAACGAGGAAATGGCCCAATCTCCGAATGTTACTGTTTCGCAAGCCAACGGGCGACAAGGCCTTTTTACAAGTGACACCCAAACCAATGAAAATGAATTCAACCTCGACAACCTTTCTCCTGACATGCTCTTTGATATCGAGACACAAACTGAAGACTTCAGCAATTTTTTTTCCGATGCTTTCACACAAACGATTCAAAAATCTGCCCAACTCGCTGTCGCTTCTAGTCAAAGCGTTTCTGGTGAAAACGAGCAAGAAGATCTTGAAAACACAGCAGCGTGCTGGGTGAATAATAACCAAACACAAACAGATGACATTAGCCAGCTCATAGTCGATGCCTTCACTCAAACGAGGATAGATCTGGAGGAGAATGACTCGTTTGCAATCAAATCTGTCCAGAATAGCATGTCTGATAACCATACACAAACTATCCTGTCCTCAGACAATTTCTTTAAGAACTTCAACTTCGGTACCGATGATGAGACTCTTGATTCTGCGCTGATGCCTGATTTAATTGATATTTGTACACAGACAGCACCTGACCCGAGCTTCGATGAACTACTTGCGCTTTGCTCTGCGGAGGTACAGACAGACAATGCTTCTACGTCAATGTAGTTTGAATACTTGCGGGTGCCACCCTTTAATAATGCCAGGAATTATTTGGATTAAGCTCTAAAAAATGCATTAAATCATACTAACAATATGTCTGACACATTAAAAAAATATATTTATTATAAATTGTCTATGAAAATTAAATTCGGCAACTTTTATTCATTTGATATAATGCTTCGAATGGAATTATATTCTATATTTTTAACTCTTTCAAATAACTAATTAATACAGTTTTATCCTGTGTGTGCTAAGATTGGTTTAAACGACAATACTACGGAAGGTTTCTCTTTTTCATATGGAGAGAGTTTCCCTGGCATTTGCCTGGTGAAGCCGGAACCTTGTCAGGTCTGGGAAGTCATCATTGAGATTTCAAATGCAGATTTTTTCCTACCTTCCCGGGATAACTATTAAGCCATTTTGAATGATAATTGTGGAACTCGGTTGAGCTCAGGCGAGATCTTGGCTAGCCGAAAAAATTGTTTTCTCGAGTGAACACTTTTGTTTTTTTGTGTGAAGTATAGTTGTTTGGGGCCAGATTTCGGCCTAACAGGATTCCAGCTTCACCCGTGAAGTGCTGGGGAAATTTTCTCTATATGAACAGGCTCTTTCTTAGTCACTTAGATCTCCGGTGTGGTTGGCCTATCTCTCGCTCTCTCCATTTCCTTTCAAAATAGTAAATACTGCTTTTTATTCGTTGAATTCCTGTAATCTGTTGTGAGTACTTGATTCAGTCATTGAGGGGTCAGTTATATTCAGTTCAATTTTTATAACAGCCTTTATTTCCCAATTGAAACGTGGGTAGAGGCGGAATTTTCGCTGTAACACCCTCGCGTATCCCCAATCATCTTTAAAAACATGCAATGGCTAGTGTGAGACCTTCATGTTAGCCAATCAACATCTTTTCCCTGTGATTTGTCAATTTTTAAATTAATGATAAGTTGAAACTAAAACACCCTCCCCATTTTTAAGTACAATAACTCTCTCCCGTACTAAGCGGCTCTCCGTCACTGAATGAAGATGCTTTTGTCGTATTTTTAAGTTTGCTGAAAACATAGCTTTCTACTTTTGCTTTATTTCATCCTTTATTTCGTGCAGTAATTATCCCGTTGTTCACGCTTTGTAACCGACAAAGAATTGAAATTTAGAAATATGTAAGATAATTTTTTGTCATTCTTCTTTCCGTTATGAAATACTAGCATCCTGAATATTGTTCTATGCTGTGCAGTCTTCTTAGAGGCAGCGATTTCTAAAAGGCCAAGTTAATGTGGCACATTGTACGAATGCTTGTATAAGCGACTACCATATTTTCTGGAATTAACACATCTCTTAAAGTGTTTGTGAGCGTGACGTATGCTAAAGAGAGGTGTTAATGGAGGGAGTCATCAGTTTTTGTTAAAGCAAAAAAATCGATACTTTAACTGTTTGCGCATACGGCTTTGCTTAATCCAAGAAAATGAATGTTTCTTTGTAAAGTTAATACATCAGGGTAAGATATCGATGTCACGGTACCACAGGGACCATATCTTGGCTCCATTCTCTTCCATTCTGCATTCAATGACACTAAGACCGCGTTTTCACAAGACCGTTTCCATTTGAAACCGTACTAAAATGAGCACGGTTTGCTCTTCCGTTCACACGGAACCCGTCACAACCGTTCCAAATGGAGCTGCTAGCTAGCCCTACCAAAACGTGATCGCTTAGAAAAAGGTTCAATTTGGAACCGTTCCATCAAACAAGAAATGAGACCAGCACTCTGCCTCCCAAAAATTGACCGAGAGAAGTAACTGAATAAATAAACCCAACATCTGAGCTACTTTGAAATGTTTTCAATATTTTTCTTTTCATAATTAAGCAAATACAGAGGCAACGAAGACGAATTAAAAATAAAACCAAAATTAACATCTACACTTAAACTTTAATTTCGACAATAAACGTATTTTACAGCCAATCAGAATACACGTGCTGATATATTGAAGGGTGACGGTTATAATAAGGACCAAAACGCGATGGGAATGAATCGTTTTCGTGGTATTGGCATTTCAATGCCATTTTTTCTTTAAGCTACCACCTTGAAGCCTTTGAAGTAAGATTGCTTAAATTTCTGTCTATTCATTTATAATCAGCCAACCATTTCAATTATGCTCTTCAGGTTCTACCTTTTTGATATACTAATCAATGTGATTCTTCAAAAAGTTAAAAAACAGCCAATCGACACTTTACAAGAGCTCTTTATGAAGAATTTAAGGACAATTTGCATTTTGTTTACTGAAGTTCTTTGGAGATATCGAAATATTTGAAAGTGTCTCTGTACAAATGGTTATGTTATTTGACGTTTCTAAAGTGCATAATTCTCTGTTACGGTGAATGACCCTCTAAATCAGTCGAAAAAATGATCAAATGTTGTTTTCTAGCAAAATAAGACAGAAGTTCTTATGAATCTAACCAACGTTATTTTGTGTGATACCTTTCTAATAGTAACAAGGTATTCGCCTTTCCATGGTTAATTTATGGTCACTTGGAATGTGAGCCTTGCAAAGAATGTGGCAAGTTATAACAACAGGAACAGGAGATGGAACAGCCAGCGTAACACCCCCTTCCTGCAAAGATTTAAGTGCTACAGATCTTAAATTTTCATAGCTACAAAAAGTTTTTAGAAGTACAGCATGGTTTTTAAATGTTTTGACATCGATTCTAACTTTTGGGGAATAAAATTTCGACAGAATGATTCAAGCGGCCCATTTTCTTTCAACATACATCCAGCAACGATAATTCACAAAAACAATTTATAAAACTATTTATAAGGATGCAGGAATTCGCTTACCTAGAGAATAACAAAAATAAGCAAAAAAGTTTCTATAACACAGAAGTTCGAAAACAAGGGAATTTAAATACTTGCAATTTATTTAGTTACATTTATATATGTATATTTATTAGCAATGAAATTTGTCTCTAAATTCTAAAATCTTTACAACTCCCGCTACTACCAAGGGAGGCGTAAATGACATATTGGAAGAAATGTCATGTTACTGCTTTGATAGACACTCGACCAAATGTGTGCTAAAGGCGAACAAATTAGAGTGACTAGCAACTGAGCGAATGGGTGCAGCGTGGTCAGCAACCTATCCTGACACCCTAAATTCGGTTTCTCAGTCTGGTTTCAGTGTGCTGGAAGCTCGTACCTAGATGGCAAAACCATCGTCTACACATTGTCGTTGGCTAATTAAGCTTGCGTTATAAAAATTTACGTCACTTATTACGCAAGTCTAAAGATCGCAGGAAAGTCTATCCTTTGAAAGCAGCAAGTCTGAATGCCTCGTAATGACTGCGAGGCTATCAACTTGTAACAAGAGCATCATAATACCTTCTGACCCAGGCAATTGCCTTCTGCAGAAAAGTGATTGTTTATTTCCTGCCTCTTACTAGAGTTCCGTCAGCGGCAATAGAGCCAATGGGGACGTACTAGATGCAATGTAATTACGGCCTGCTTGAACCAGCTGACATTGTCCTGCTCCGTACTATAGTTCTTTTTTGCTGAAGTTCATCCAGAAATGATCCTGGAGAAGCAACTGGCATATCGTCATCCGCTGAATGACTATCACGTCGGGAATACGACAAGGGTCCCTGCTCAAACGATTGATATTGAGAGGTTTGCTGCTGATAGGAATAATGGGCTTGCTGTTGTTGTTGTGCACCACTATATTGCGTTTGATTCTTATGAAGTTGTTGATGTTGTGGAAGAGGCTGATGGCCTTGGTACTGTTGGTACTGCTGTTGTCGTTGTTGCTGTTGTTGTTGTAGCTGCTGATGCATCTGTGCAAGCTGTGATGCAGGATAGTTTTGCTGATGCATGGCAGCTTGGCCCCCACTTGCTGAGCGATGATGCTGCTGCGGAGCATGGTAATGCTGATTTTGTTGTTGCTGCTGCATGTGTAATTGGTACTGATTGGTTTCTTGAAGCTGCAACGGAGGAGGAGGTGGAGGGAAATCCTCTTGATTCCTTGCTTGAGGCTGGGAATTCGTAATGCTTGGTACGGCATAATCATTGCTTTGACTGCTATAAGCATAATGGACACCTTCATTACCAGACATTGCCATATGTCTCGATGCATACTCACTACCCGCTGTAGTTGAAACGGGATAAGCTGGTGCAGACTTGCCAACCATGCCTTGCAAGCCGGCTGTACTCGGCGCAATATCGAAACTGCTTTCTGGGCTCATGGACGGTTTTACATAGGGGGCACTTTGTTGTCGTGATATCATGCCACCACTCATCAAATTTGGAGGCGATGAAATCTTTCTGTTTGGAGGGGCTACGGCCTTTACTGGAGAGCCTGTGGGGCTGAGACGGGACCTCAGCTGAGATGGCGTTTGTCCTGCTCCATACAACTGGAAGACGGTTGGTTTGGCACCTGTTGGCGCATTTTTAGCATAAACGGTGTTTGATCGGCGACTGGGCAGCGTCATCTTATAATCAACCATAGGCGATTCCCCTTCCGTGATACTATTTGACCTTCTGTACGGGGCGCCAGAGGAGCGTGTCCCGCGCATACTGGATGAAAAATCTGTGTTCCGCCGGAAATTTTGGCATTGCTGCTGGAAATTCTGAGACATCTGGACAGATCCATGATTAAGGTTTGCCATTTGGACATTAATATCGTCATCAAAATCATAAACAGGGTGTCCATCTGTTTCCTCATACTGTCCATCACTGTTGTATCCATTGTTTTTGTCGTATCCATGTTGTGGACGGCCTTGGGAGTTCAGCGAGATGTATGATCCAACTCCAGAGGAATCTGACGTTTCGAGGCTGGACCAGGACGTCCGCGTGGCGGGATTTGACGTGCTAACATTGGCCATGCCGCCGGCTCCTGGAAAAAGAGTTGAATCGATCAGTGGTTGAGGTAAAACAGAACAAATATGCAACGAGTTTGTCTTATAACTATTACACAATTCCTTATATACTTACAAATTTACGACAATCAAAGAATATGAAATTCGATGTTGCCAGGGACCTTGAAGCTTATTCTATTTGCTTAGAAAATTCCTTAAAACTCCGTTTGGATAGCTCGAAATGTAGATACTAACTATGCTTCATTTTCCTTCGTCGTTAATTATTTTATAGCATCTCAACAAGGCCTATCTTCAAGGGATGATGTTTAAATGTGAAGTGCATAACCGATCTTTCCTTAAAACAAGCTGCATTTACATGCTATAAAGAACCCCCTCCCTGTTCATCCCTTTAAGATCCCCCTTCCTGTTCATCTCATTAAGAACCCTCTCCCTGTATATCTCATGTGAGGACCCCTTTCTGATCATCAGACAAAGAGAACAAAATCATCCATGCTTCCAACTCCACCTAACAAAATTCACAAAATCTATACATTAAAAATTTTTTCACCCCTCCCCCCCCTAGCTGTCTCGTTGTTAGAAGGTCGCACTTCCCCTAAGATGCAGAGTTGCCTAAAGTAGTCCATAAATGCACAGCCCGTGTCAACAAATGTTGCAAGCTGGTGTACATAGTCTCAGCAAATCAAGCAGAGATAGAAACATTTTGAATCAATTCAACTTCCAACGGTAGAAGTACCGCATTTAACAATAGCATTGCTTTACAACAGAAAAGTTCACGCACCAGAAAGGACGGCCTTTGCGTCATGCTGTGTGTAATACGCAACCTGCTCCCTCATTTCATCCCCGTAAGCTGCCGGGTTTTGCGTCGCCGGATTTTGGTCTGGCGCAATATGATCACCTGAAGCTGTGCTAAGAGACGACATGGACGAATAGTTTGAAACGGTTCCAGAGGACGAATGCAGTGATTCATGCGAGTCACCCTCAAAGGTACCATCTGCACTCTTCGATGGTGACTTAACAGGGTGTGGAATCCCAACAGGTTTAGGAGCCGGCCCTCCGGAGCCTTTTTTTCTAAGCGTGCTGTAACCGGACGAGGAAGAACCAGAAACGGTATTGCTTCGTTGGATGTTTTGGTTTCCTTTTGGGATACTGGTGAACGCACGCTGTCTGGCGCTTTCGAGGGTCGGGCTTGGAGGAGGACTCTGCAAAAAAGAAAGCGCCACTACTGTTAGAAAAACTATTTTCCCCAGACGATGGCAAATCCCTTTTGAATGAAGCATTAACGGGATCTGAGAAAAATCCGTAGAGCTTTGAGTAGACTGCTATCACATTTAAACTAATACCCCATATCTAATTCTCATTAAAGAACTCTGGTAAAACCATCATTGCAACCTTTGACTATCGCGGAATGTAACGTTCTAGCCAAATCAAAACATGTATATAATATAAAAACAAAAAAATAGTGAATGAATGATGTACAAAACCAAAAGAAAAGAGGTGCAATCAACTTTCATGCAGTATTGTCGATGTTACAAATGGCAAGGAAAAATATCACGTGAACAAGATTCAGAACTTTTGGGTTTCACAAACAAAAATGAAGCAGCCAAGTTCTCTTCAGTTGAGAAACAGTTATATTTTTTATGCTTGGTGTAAAATTTTAGCAATTTTGAAACTGAACTGTAAATTAATAATTACCGAAACTTCAGTTTTAGGCAATGAAATCCTCTCAGGTGCTTTGTAGTTGTTTATGGCATCTTCAGCTGCCAAGGGTAACTTTGATGGACTGGTGCATTGCTTAGTGGTATCTTCCAAAATCGTCTGCAGATTTTCAATCTCTCCAATCAGCGTTAATTCTAGCTCCACAACCGGTCGATAACAATTAAAAAAGAATATTGCACGTGACCTCTCTTCAATCATCAGCTTTCTTAAGTACTGCCGTTCTTGATCTTCAAGTGCAGCAATCTGGATGTTTGCCAACTACAAAAAATGAGAACTCATACAACGACTGGAACATCAGGGCCACAGAAAGATCTATAAGTGAGTTATCTTACGTGCTAATTTAAAGATAGTGGCAATTCTCAGGGCGTATAATTGATATAGCAATATAGAGCTGCTTTGTGTGTTTCTGTTGGGATTAATTCACACAAAATTGTAACTGATCGCTTGAGTTTCGACAACAGAAACTTTGATTTATATCGATTAAAAACCTGAATGGTTGAAGGATTTGCCTTCAGCAGACGCTGACTGTTACCTACAGACACATGTCATGAGCTGCTAAGATACCAACACCAGAGTAGCCTTAACGCAACATTGTTCACTATTATAGAAACTTAAAAAGTTTGATACATCAAAGCGATGTAATGTTTTCTTTGAAATGCAAAACAGCAACAAAAGAGAAATGACTTGAAAATTTTACAATCTTTTGCCGATTTACGAAAATCATATTATCCCAGTCATATTAAGGTTGTGAGGGTTGCAAACATAAAGAAATAAAAAAGCATGATATGCACAAAGCCCCTACAATTCCTCGGTGCAAAAAGGTGCAAGCCTTCACATTTAAAACAGAAATAGCTAGCTAATCGTCGTCAGACGCTTCTATCATTATGACTTAAAAAAACCACAACCACGAACAAATCTCATTTTCTGCACTTTGAATCTAACGCATTCTCACTTGAGACGAAGACCTAATATAGACCAACACTAATAGCAGGAGGCAAACCTCGACCTGAGACCCGGATTTCGTGATAAACCAACCACGCAATTACTACCCACAGACATGATTGCTGTTTAAACTCGCAAAGGCAAGACCAACGCCGTAGAAACCAAACTGTATTCTTGCATGATTGCTTTTAAGAGAGTGGGTCTGCATTGCCTATGCAGAGCACCAGGCATATGGTAAATCACCAGATGTTACATTGTGAGCAATTTTCAATTCCGAAGTCAAACTGATTTTTCGAATTTATAATTTAAATGCAGTGCTCAGTAGCAATATCTGGTAAGTGCATTCTCAGTGCAGCCTTGACTCAAGTCCAAGAACATTTGTGACTGGCTGTTTGTAAATTGTTGTCATTGTTATAAAATATGATTAAATTGGGGGAGGTAATACCGAAGACAAAAGATTTTGTCTGCAAATTTCCTGAAATGTAAAACCGAAAGGACTGGTAATGCCAAACCCCCGTCCGAAAAAATAATACAGCGCCATGCCGTAGGGGATGGCGCTCTTTGCCTTGAGGCGAGGTTATAATTAAAAGATAACATATGATGAGACTGCGGTCGATCGCATGTTGTGCACGAAATGAGATTTGATCTGTGGTTGAACCGGGCTTAAAGTATCAACTAAACGGTTACTTGAATCCTAATTCCAGGCCTTTTATTGAACAGCTTGAAAGAAAGAGCCGAGAACGACAGCCCGTTAGGAGCAACGGAGCATTGAGGCAGCAACGAGTGTCAAGTTGCACAACGCCTCGTCCATTGTCTGAGTCTGATTCATTCGATTCTTTTAAGTAAAAAGGTGATCGAGGCTTGCCAAACTTTAGCTTCGCTTGATCAGAAACAAACTTCGTTTACACGACTAGCATATGATTGTGCTGTAATACTGAGCACTAATTTCCATATTTGGTATGTTAATTTAATTGACATATTTAATGGACAGCTAAATAAAAGCTAAGGATTACGGGGCCGTAGAAGTAGTCTTGGAAAGGCAAGCGTTGAATGTTTATACAAGTGTTGATAATGCTTTTGGATGAATTTTCGGATGCAAAATGCAAATGTGCATACTGAAAATGTTGACTTTATTTTTTTGAACACTTTGTGATGAACTCAAATCGGGTCTTACACAGGAGGGCTTATAAACAACACATCGATTAAAACCACTCAGTATGTCTTCTGCTCGATTCATATTAGTTTTCGTACGTAAAAAGGTAGCTGTGAAAATTTGACTGCACATGTTTCCTACACAAGTGCTTTACCGAAGAACACATAAAACAGACGCAGAAGATCTACTGTGGTATTCTCCTATAGAGCACTTTCCTGACATCGCGGGCGTTGATGTTGGTCTGCCGAAGGCAATAGAGATTTACGGTTACCACTTAATCGTGAAAAACGGCCTCCACAGGAAGGCAGAGAATTGCATATATGACGTCAACGCCGAATCGTATGGCAAAAGAACCAGCAACCTGTAACCATGACCTAGTGAAATCGTATAAAGCAGGAGAACAATTGTATTTAAAGGCAATCTGTCACGACATTGATTGGTTATAAGAACAAAGGGATTTTTATTGTTTCCAGTCCCCCTTTAATTTATCGCATTGTAAAAAATATGGCGGAGCGCTGGAATCGTGTTTAGGCTATTGTTCCAGCTATTGTTCTCGTTAACCAATTAACAACGAGACAGATTGCCTTTAAGGCAGAAGACAATTACCCTATAGTGTGTCTAGGATGCACTTAGTTTCTAGAAGCGCCTTTTGGGATCATTTTTCTCCAGAAGTGAATATTTTCCTAAAAATTAGCGCCATAGCATCTTAATGGGATAACCTTTTTCAAGCGTTGCATTTCTTACCAAGACTGGCAGTTGAAAATGCTTTTGAAATGATCATATCTTAGAGAAGTAATCTCTTACCTTCCACGCATCTGTGTACTGACCATGGTATTCTGTGCGACCTGAGGAGAGATCATCTAAACAGTATGTCACACTAATAGAGTTTAAAAGCATTGCTAGTTTGCATGATATCAAAGAGGAGGGATGTCTTGTAGTTATTCAAAAATAAAAAACTTATGCATCACATTAAAAACATTTATTTATACCCGAATCTAAACAAAAACTACAAGAAATCAAAGAGATATCAACAGGAGACTCAGTCCAATTTTTTGGTTTCAACTTTTTATATATAAAACTTAGATATCGCAGTGGCAAAATACCATAATTGTCTGATATCTCTAAAATTGCAATCTGTAAATTGAAAACTAGGAACAATATAGAAATGTTGTGCGTTTCAGACATTTTGCTTTACAATAATAAAAATTCAAGATCCGTGACAGTAAACAATCCGAAATGACAAACAATTTGGCTTCGTAGCGTTTTCATAAAAACTGTTTGCATCGATCAATTACGTCACGAAATCTATGATAGATTTATACTCCTATAACAATAAAAACTTTAAATAGCTTTTCATTATTTGTTTATATTCACAAGTATTGACGTTGAAGAATGTACAGAGAGCTATGACTGGCATATTTGAAAAAGAGCTACTTTAGTTATACCGGAAAATTTTTTCATCGACATGTCCACAAGGCAAACATAAAATATCTTGTATACGCGGGTCACAAAAAATTATCTAGTTGTTTACAAGTTATTATCCTGAGACCCTTTCTAGTTACACACCTAATTAGCTGTTTATGATTGGACTATTTACAGATTGCAAATTTCAAACGCTTGACCTCCTGGTTTGGTTATCGAATACCCGAGTCAAAATAATGAATGAACTTAAAAAGACATCAGCCCTGCAGGACTTCAATTTAGAAAGTTGGATATTTCTAATCCCATCAAATAGGTTCAATGACTGCTCTAAGCCTGAAAACTGAGTTTCTTAAATTAAGCATCAGCAAAAGGAAAAACATCTTACACTCCGATCAAAGTATCCTAATTAAACGGCTGCACAGATTTAAAACGTAGACTTTTGACCTTGAAATCCTATTAACGAATAAATGCTTGGAATATTGAAATTTTTAATCTAAGCATAGAGAATTAAGAGAGAAAGCTTAATCCAAAAACAGATTCGTAATCTCATCGAACATCTGTCAAACAAAGGCTACAGATTTAGGATGCTAGCAATATCAAATGATGTTGGGAACACCTCCCGAGATATTTGATAGGAGCTGCACAGTTTTAGAAATGCCATTAAATAAAGATTTGGTTAATTTTGAGCAAGAACTAGTAGGGTTTTAAACTTCGTCATGCATGAAACCCAATTAGTGACACCTATTCAAAACAAAGGACCAGACTTATAAGATTATGACAAAATTGTTGTCACAATTAAACTGGGATAAGTGATCATTGGTGGCAAAGAGGATAATAGTGTAGACAACCTTAAGTACATAAAAGTCTTTTATAACGATTTAAGCGAGTTAAAGGTGGTTAATGATTGTTTTACATAATTAAGGTGCGTTGCAAGTACTAACTTGGTTTAATAAAAAAACATAGCCATAATCACCTTTTTTGATAACTTTCTTCCTTAGTTTCATTACTTCTCCGACACTCTTCTTTGCATCACTCTTGGCTCTCTTGAAGTCTGCAAAATGGCGGAAATAGCACGGATAAACAAACAGTCAATCACAGTGGCAAAACGCATGTTAACAAAGAGACAAAAATAGCTGGAGATCTAGGCAGGCGGTGAGCCTCAAGCCAACAGCGTCGACATGTAAAGGCTATTCGCGGAGCATCTCTACAAATCTATGCACCATTTGAACATACTTTACCAGGTTTTAAGGTGTGATGTATTTGTTACGTTCATCAATTACTAATAAATACTAGGAAGAGGTGACACAGATAATGGATGATTTTGTGAGACAAAAGTTTATGCAGAATCCTAATTGGCTGTGAAAAGCTTACATATTGGCTTGTATTTTTTTCTCTAGCAATTTTTTAACAATTCGGACGCAACAACTTGTGAACAAATCCAGTCCCGGAAAATTGAAGTTTCAGATAAAACGCTTTTATACAGAATGGTAGAAGCTCTATAGGCTCAATAAAATATCAAGAATCTCTGACGATTCTAGATATCCAGTCTCACTGACAAACTAAAACGGGGTCGGTTTTGGACCCAGCTGTTGGTAGAAAGTGCCAACTGCAAGTATTTTGTGGCTTCTAAAAAAAGAGCTGGAAATGAGGCAGTATATGTAACGTGTTTGAATACCTTTCGTGTGATCCTTCTCCAGCTGATTTGATGTCTTTTTCCACTCTTCAAGCTTCTCTTGCATTGGTCCAATAAAACTATCAGTCAAGATTCTAAAGACAAAAAATTCTTCGTCATTTGAATTCCTGTATAGCATACAATGGAGAGAAAGCGGAAAAAGTTTCTAAATACACTCCGTTTTTTGTCTTTTTTCGTGGGTTATGCTTGGAAAAGGTCTGAGGGCCTGTTGTAAAGCCCTAACAAAGGAAAGGAGAGAGAAGTTAACAATAGAGGGAAGTGAGTCAAGAATATTGACTGCAGCTGTGAAATAAGAATCTAGAATCTAGATAGATAGAAAAGAATAAAGTGCTCCAAAGTTAACAAGTACCAATTTCTACATATGCTTTTTTGACAAAAATAAAGACTATTGGATTAGAAAAAATATGCACTAATTTTAGCAACAAACTAGCTACGGTTATGAATTTGATTCTCTACACATTTTAAATGTTTACCACTGCATTCTTTCATAGAGATTTATCACTATTCATCTAATTGCTGCAAAAACATGTTTATTATTGCAGCTGGATAGCTTAAACATATAAGAAACTGGGAACTAGCTACAGATGTTACAGAGAAATTGATCGGTATTCATTCACTTTCTTTCTTGCTTTCAAAATCGTTTTATGTTAGAAGCTTATGCTATATATCATGTCATATTTATCAGAATGCTACTTGTCTCTAAAAAAGTAGCGTTATACAATGTTTTGTTCTGTTGAAAAATCAGATGGTATGGTTCTGGTAAATGTTTGCATCCCATTCAGAGAATCCACCGATGAGATGGTTGAAGTTGCTAAAATTGTGATACCACGAGGTCTTCAAATACAAGGAACGAAAAATAATAGAAATAGGTAAAAACAACAGAATCTGAACACCAGCCAATAAGATGTAGGCAGTTAACAGAAAAGCTACGACTATGTTTATACAATATTAATAAAGATGCGAGGCCAGGTGCAAAGCTCGTCCAAGTACTGTGCGGTTAAAGTGGTTGAGCTTGAAATCAGCTGTTGGTATGGGATAATAAGAACTATTGTAATCAGTCTCTTGGACGCTTTAATAAAATTTTCGATTCCAACAAACAGCAGTTTGGCAACAGCGCTGTCGATCTGTAAATGCCTCGCTTCACTTCAACCTCGATATCATTCCTAATATCCTGCAGCAACATAACGACGTGTCAGCCTTTCTACAAAGTGAACGCGATTGGCTACCGAGATTACAATCTAGAAAAATTAACACAAATTTGCTCCGAATTCTGCTGGATTTGGTGTATTTGGTTTTTGAAATGACAAATGGCATGCTGGTTCAAACATTATTCACCTTACTTCACCCGTCTATTAAGATCTTCGTTTAGGGTGTCAATGATACAGTTAACGATCTGCAGTATATTCTTAAATCTTCTACACAGTCCACTAATAAAGCATATTTTGGGATTAAGCTTTTTCTATTAGTCAAGAAGCATCATCGCGCGGAGCTTTGGTAGGCAAATTTCAAAGGAAGTCTACTAGGTTTATCGTCTCTTGAAAGGGTCTATATATAAAAATTTCTGACTACAGTACTTCTAAATGCACGAGTATTTCATCTTTGTCCAGCTTTGCTTAAGTGGCAGAACTAGCTAATTCAATGACTGCTACATCCTTTTCACTTTATCATACGCTCATGAACATAAATATATTATCTCTTAACTCTATACCTGCCATGGAAAGAGGGAGGTACCAATTTGAAGTAAGTAATGAAAACAGTCAACTTGCAAGATATAGCAAGATAAGATTTAAAGGAACTACTACATTCAGATACAGTACAAATTTCTTGACAAATTCTGAAGATTAAATGGAAGACTATAAGCATGGTAAAACTGACTATAGCCCAATCAGCTAGACAGATCATACGACAGTATAAAGTGCTCTGATCCCTTTGAAAGATTTAAAACATTAGCTTAAACTATGTAATTCCTCCCATAGATTAATCTAGAGTCCGATAGATACAAAAGCCACACGACCAATAATTAATATAACGTGCTTCTTTGATCTTCCAAATCCCAAACAAAAGATCGGCAGGTGCTTGCTTGTGTCGAACACCAAAGAAGGAGCTTTCTTTGGAAGAGACCTAAGCCGCGATAATATTGTTGATGTCTGCTAGAATGACTTATTCATGAGTAAGAACACATTAGCCCGAAAGATATCCGTACTGGAGTTTAGACGGCCGGCAAAATCATGACAAGATGCATGAAAAAGCTATGCTAACATCAAACAAAACCAAACAAAACCTATCTTTCGTCGGTGGATCTTAATAATCAAGAAGTTGTGACAACCATGCGCCTTATCAGTGTTACCCTTAATTGCACCGAGCATTTGCTTGAATCGCAAGGTTGCGATAAAAAAGACAATAAGGTTGGAGACTCGTAGAAAACAACATTTTAGACAAAGCCTATGTATGCAGGGGGTTACTTTCGCCAGTTGCACATTATATACTAACGTCATGTTTCTGAGATGACTAGAACCTGTCTGGAAATGTCTGATAAAGCGGAACACACATATCACTGGCTTCATCGTTAGATTGATGACCTGTAAAATGGGCGTTCTGTTTTACCTTGTACTACATAAACAGAATTTTCCTAGTAGTTTCAAATCAAATGTGGCTACCAAAAAGGAAGCAACGTTAATTAGCTCTCGAAAAATAGTGCCTTGGAAAGCCTCAGGCCTACAAATTTGATTCAATAAACATTGAGCCTGCAAAATGATACTTTTCAAATTAGTTCACAAGACTTATAAAGTTACGCAATGAAACGAGGCCATAGTTAGCTTCATCAAGCATAACCGGGGGTTGCCCTTGGATTTCATAATACATTGGCTGTATGGAAAAGTATCAACTTACCCAATATAAGCCTTCAGTTTGTGCTCTATGCTTTTGTGGCGCATAACTAGCTTGGTAAATGATACACCAATATCGCGTGTTGAGCCTGTAACAAAAAAGGAATATTCTTAACACTTCACAAAATGAAGCAAGGCAAACGGAATGTTTTTCTGCTTTCAGAAATTCCTACTTTTCAGGTTCTACAATTTGCAAGGACCAACGTAGATGGTAGCTTTTAGCGGCTCTTATTCCCTGCTCACAGCGAATGCACAAATGTTAAACAGGAGTGGTATCTATCCATTCTAAAAGTAAAAAGATCGAGCGATGTGACCATTTAACAAAGTCAACTCCCAGTTTAACCTTGCATAGCTTTCAAAACGAAATATTAAAACGATTCATGTTTTGTATTACAATTTGAATGTGAAGAGGTGACACGAGTTGTTAAAATAGACTGTCTGGAAAATCAGTAAGGGTGTTGGGAAGATGCCTACGTTAGGCCTAGTCAACAGTGGAGTCCTTGTCGCGAGAAAACCTATTTACTAAGCCCTCAATTGAAGACAATTTAAAGAATTAAGATTTGCTTTAAATACGTTGATAGAAAGTAAAGAATCATTACGAAGTTATTGATTTGCCATAGCTACAGAGCATGGCTAATCTTTCATGAAAAGCAAACGTTTCTATTGGTTGGGCTTCATGACCTGAAACAGACTTAGCCACGATCAATCTAGAAAAATCGGAAAGAATTTCAACATGATGACGTTCGAGGGCAATTTGAGCCAAGTTTTGATAAGGTCTTTGTTAAAAGATAGCGGTTTCTTGAAAAGTAATTCATTTTCGATGTTATCATTTAATAACTAAGGCATATAATAAACTGATTGTGAATGGCCACAAAATTAAAAATACTTTCCTCGTGTGCACGTCAAACGGTGGTAGACAAACAATTACAAGGAAATAGAATTTTAGTTTGCATTTATTTATTGTTTTTGAAGTGAGTTGGAAGGCAAGATAACCCGTGCCACAAGTACGTAAAGAGGTGACAATGGCTTCAGAGAAACCAGGGGGTGGATGGGTTTCAACGATCCGATAAATATTGAATAAATTTAAGGTAAAGGTCCTTATGATTATTGGAAAAGTATTTGTTTGCAGAAACAAACTGCAAGCGAACAATTGTTGATGTATCATTAGGATTAGCTTCATTGTCCTGTAACTTTTTAAAGTATTTATAATCTGCATGGGATTCTCAAGGTAGTAGGCCTTATCAAACTATACATGGTGTATTCTAAGGGCGACTGGCCGCTCTCATATCTTGAAAAATGAAGCTTTAGTGAAACAATACGTTAGCAAGTTGCTACAGAAGTGAAACAAGGGAAGGAAGGTGCAAGGCCATACTGTTTTAAAAGCTACTGAATGATTGTAAACTGGCTTGGCCTGGTGAGGCGTAAGTGGTGAGGATGGTAAGGCGTCTGGATTGGTATATGCGACGCTGAAATGACGCAATAAAACAGACAGAAGGTGGAAGCATTGCATTTTTAAACAAAATAAAGTCAGACTAATAGTTAAACAAAATTTAGGAAATGCACGGTACCAACAAAACAAATTGACTGCATTTTGCGATAGGCATTCACTTGCGGGTTATTGAGTGAACCACCCGTTCTGAATGATGACTAAATTGAGCAAGCAAGCAAAATTTAAATTTGCAACTTGCGGACTGGGCAACCATATTTAGAAAGTCATACTAGGCAACCTCATTTAGAAAAAACAGCCTCGGTCTGGAAACATGGCCTTACGATACCTAACAAAATAATAAGTACTTTAGTTCTCGATTAGTAAAGTAAAGAGGATATTTTGAGGCATGGAGAGTTTATTAAATATGTAGGAAGTAGATTAACTTCTCTAGTGATAATCAAATCGGACAGTGTAAGGCGTCTGAAAATAATAAGACTGTTTTTACAAGCACAGTAAAACAGAGTTTATGAGTAAGTGTTTGGATAAAGTACCATGGAGATGACTGGAACAGAAGATTTCGGCAGCTGTTCCTGTGTTTACTGTGTTTAGATCTCGACAGGACCACAACGAGAACGTTCATGGGAAAGGAATACAGGCACAGTTTCTGCATGACATTGTAGCTTTTACGGTGGTTTTTACAAGAAAACTCCAGTCTGGGAAACTTGCGAACCTTCGTTCTCCCATGAAATGTAAATACAAAGATATTTAGCCACAACATCTCTGACACTTGAAACCATGCAATAGCCTTTTGGACAAAGTTCACATCCCACATTAGGCTGCTAGGATTTAACGCTGAGTACTTCTAAATGCATGTATGAGATGGGCTTTAGTGTGGGGAGCCATAAATAAGTCCTTCCAAAAAGTTTAAGGGCTTTTTCAATCAATTAATAAAGACAGACTGTGCTGCATTTTTCAAGACTGCTGCCGTGAGTCAGCCCGAGTCCACCACGGTGGTCCAAAGCACGACAGAACAATTTGACTAAAGTGACTTAGTACCATACAACAGGGGAAAGATACAGTATATTTTTTAGGCAGGGCCACTATTTTATGCTGTGTTTCATTTTCATACTTTCACCTATTTGTTTTTCTAAATCATAATTTTAACACGACCTAAACTATCAACATTTCTAAATCTTAATTTTAACACGACCTAAACTATCAACATAAAAATGGGCCTATTTGGTGTTTACGTACATTTAACATCCACTGAGATAAATGAGATTTACACCAGTAAAGTGAAAGGATTTGTACGAAAATTACCACATCGAAGAAAAAGTGACGTCACATAAGGCTGATAAGATGCTGTGGGGGAGTGTTTCTAACTATTTGATGACGTAGTGCTCAACGAGGGCAACCACAAGCACGAGGAAGGAAGGATTATAGAAACAATTCTTTTCCAACTTAATCTTCCATTCTATTCTATTCATTGCCATTCATTTCCATTCAGATACACTTTTATGTTGACAGAATTAACCTGGTAACGAAAACCTTTAAGGCAAGGGATGAAATGATTCAAATACCAAAAAGCTTGGCTCAGATCCAATGATTTTCATCGGCCATTTACAGCGTAAGTTACGTCTGTAAAATAAAGAAGCTTCTCTGACAACATTGAAATGCCTTACCAAATGCCCTGAAAAGACGGTCAAACAACAGCGCTGTTTTCATTTTCGATCATTGAAAGGTAAATAAAATGAGCTGTTATGATAACATTTGTTGGCAAAAAAACAACACAAGTTTCCAGATAATATCTTTAGAGGGGCATGGGGCGAGTAGAAGCACAGAATAGTGTACTATATATCTATTCTATGGTAGAAGTAAAGACGTCTCTTTTTGAACAAACAACGAACATCCTAGGAGGGTATTTAATTGTCAAAAACAATATCAAAATCGGAAAAAACTAAAGGAGTTTTCATGACTGCTCTGTTAGGCCAGGTGGAGGTAACCCAACAAAGTTGACAGCCTAAAACGGATAGCTGAATTGTTTGCATAGACATACAGTAAGGTTTAAGACCAAGGCCTGTCGAGTAAGATAATATAGACGAGAACGAAGTTAAGAATCAAACGTTTGTAACACCAACAACACCAATACAATAAAAATCTGTTAGGCCAGAATATGGCCCACACATGAAGTAGCAACCCCCGTGACAAAGACACACCTCTGATTACTACATCGGGATACGTGTAACAGACATTGATTAGCTTCAATTGAACAGCCGTTACTTTTGCTTTAAACGCCTTGATAATAGCCTTTAACGAGAAAATGATTATTACAATACAATTGGCAGGTGTACTATTTGCTCTATTGCTTTACACCGCATTCGTTTCCGAATTATTTCCACGCCTTATGTTTGATATTCACACGTTGGTGATATAAAATCACGAGTACGTCACAAAGAAGACAGACTAAAACAACAAACGAACTAAAACGCATGCCAAAGCCTTTTGGCAAAGACTGTGCCTCTTTGTCGTGAAACTACAAATTGATCTATTGAGCTGCGCAGCGGCCGCCTATGTCCCGCTGCGATCGCATCCTTAGAATAGAAGCTGAACAAACGGGCATCAGTTCAACCTGCATGCAGCCCTTGAGAATATTTGAGTAAGGCATGACGTAACTTCTAACAATAATAAAAAACTCTGTTTGTATGTTGTTTCAAGAGTTGGGAGTACTTTTCAGAATAACTATTCACGGAAGGAAACGGCGGGAAAGTGGATTTTATCAGTTTTCAATGAAGAAAACCCCAGACTGCACCAAAGTAAACTCTATGAAGCCTTTCTTTAAAAAACAAAACTTGAAAAACATCAGTGCATCTTCTACAGTTGTTCTTGAATGACAGCAACCAAAAAGGTGCTACCCTGCAAGTTGACCACAAATTTCAATCATGATCATATCAACAGATGGCTATAGATTTTCATAATAGCTGGAGAGATTTAATAGCAAAAAGTTCTCAATGAATAAAACTAATTCATTTCTTAAAGGAAATTCTAGGTAATCTTTATTTCTCAGCCACAACAACAGCTTCGAAACGAGGAAGACTAGTGCAATGCATTCTGGGTGGAGCAGATACTAGACGACGCTGTAGATCTCGCACCAGGGCCCGAGAATATACAAGTGCATAGTTTCTTCTCAGGGGGGGTATGAAGCTAGGTAGCGCATGCGCATTCCATCGTAGCCATCAGAAAGCCGTTCATTGCAGTATCGTTGTTGCTCAGCTGGCGTGCGGACCTCTCCTGGCCTAGGCATCAAAAACATGAATTGTTCAAACACCAAAAACAGGGTTCTCTACTAGGATGGTTGTCAACAATATTTGGTAGTAGCAACGAGGAATATTCTTCAGAGCACTGGTTAACTTGTCTCTGCTTAGCGACAAACGAAATCATGCAGAGAAGATACTTGTTATCTCAAGAAATACCGATCATTTGAAAAACCTAACATCCAAAAAGGCGTCAGAACAATGGTTTAAGGATAGAGGTCCCCTGGATCCAGTCGCTATAACATCTGTATGGATGCTGCTTATCATTGCGATCAACTTCGAAGCAAAGATTATTGCAAGCGTAGGGCATTTACACCAATTCAAATTCTTGGGACCTCGCGGATAGACGAGAACGCTAAACTAATGAGTTTGACAAACAGAGAACTTAAAAAACAATATATCATTTACCTCTGAACTGATTATATATAGCTTTTAGATCTCATTGCCAAACTGTATATAATGTATACATGTACAGCAGAGCACAGAAGCCCAAATTTGACAGAAGATACAAAAATTGCTCAATGGGCAAGAAATATCAAATTCATTTGTTATTCTTGAAGATTTAACCCCTTGTACCTTGATTGATTTAGGCCTTACATTCTGTTTTATAGGAGCCAGGAAATTGAGGTTAAGGCTGGCTTTTCTTATTTTGAAAACTTTGTTCTTACTTTTAACTGGCTTTGAGGCTCATGTTTATAAAATTGTTTTTTTAGAAAGAGTTACAGTGAAAGAAATAAACAACTAAACTAACCAAGAAGCCAAAATCAATTTTATTATGATTATAATTCCTATCTATTGAACTTTTTCTCCCTCGTGTTTGTCTATGTTTTTTTGCATATGACTAAGGTTTTTTCAAACATAAAAAGATCAGATTTAAAATTCTTTTCACTCTGTCGCAAAACCTGTTAAGATCACTTAAATAGTTAAAGGACCTGGATTGAGAAAGAGATTTTAAAGGAAGTTCCCCAAGTGAAAGTCTTTATTGACCAATGTTACTTTGTTAAATCCCCTTCCCCGATGTATTAAAAACCATTATACATGGGACATTTTACTAACCTTTAGTCTAATCCCTTCATGCAAGATAAGCACACCAAAATTTGTGTAATATGGTAGAAAATCATTGACAATTCCATAAAACGATTCAGAAAGATAGAGGTTTACAGACAATTGTTGTTTTCCTTGTTATTTTTTATGGTTTGGTTTATTGAAAATATGCTGAATTGGGTCTTAATGGCACCAAAAGGTATATGATTATCAGAAGTACCTAGTACTTCTTTCCTGAAATTGATGTTTTCTGAATAAAGGTGATATTTTTCTTTTGCAATATTGAGATTCTTGATGTGATCCAGCCTTTTCAATTAATGAAAAATATCTTTTCATAATATTTCACATTTTCAACTAAATGTGATCATATGAAATTTTTGCAATTTCTTCATATCAAGTATGTCAAAATAAGTCCACAAAAAAATTTTCACAGTCCTAGCAAAAGCAATTCCATACTGTGAAAAAACGATGGTTTAATATAAGTAAACTTTGAATCTATTGATTCTAATCTTTATAGGAAGATAACTGTGATACATACACATTAACACTGGAAGACATTCCATCAATCAAAAATCAACAGTAGGAATACATGTATCTACACTTGTGACATTAACATAAATTGAAAACTTTCATATTTTATTAGTTGCATTTTGTTCTGTTTATAATAAAGTGCTTTGCATATTATTTGAAAAGAAGTATATATATGCTTCATGATAAAAGTTTTATTTGCATAATAGTTAGCAAAACAATTCTCCAACATCTCAGACATAGGCAAACTTGACACTTGCTGCAATATATCTTTGAATATCCATTAGCACAATGACATCAACATCCATGTTTCTTCTCTGCTGTCTGAGGCCAGTGAGCAATTACATCAAACAGTGTATCACTGCAAGGCATAGGTATAATAGGAGTTCGACCAGCTTTTTCTAATTATATAAGTTGTTTTCTCTAAGTATTTTTTGTTAAGTCTGCCTGGTCTGGAGGGTCTTGCTTGCTGGACATGCTTTATCTGCTGTGATGAGTGCTTCTGAAATGGGTTTTCAACGTAGCAAAGGAAATTCTCTCCTTTTTTAGAGTGCCTGTGTTTTTCACATGTCTTGATTCATTTTGCACCATTAGGATATATATTCATTTGTGCCCCAGGCCTTCAAAGAAAAATATTTGTGTGGTGAAAATTCGCAAACAGCTAGAAACTAGCTATGGTCATTGCAGGCAAAAACCATCCTTGTGCAAAATGCAGAATTCTTAAAAGTTCCAGCTGAACTCATACCTCCCCCCCTCCTTTAACTGCAAAATTGCTTTAACTGGGACAGAAAATATTTTTGGATGACCCCTAAACTTGCATTTAACTTTATGTGTGCAAGTTTACAAACTGGTAGGAGAGTTTTAGCCTAAATTCTAGATTTACTTAACACTAGCACTCAGTATTATGTCTCCATAGAAAATAAAACACGTTTTAGGCAAATAAGTGTAATACCAATATTGAAAGACAACTTTAACTTAACATTCCTACATGCAACATATGTAAACATTCGGAATTTTAAATGGCGGGTTCGTTAAACCCCGCCAAAATTTACAATTTTTAAAAGGTCATTTCACCCATTAGCTGTGGGGACCAATTGGGACTAATAGAAATTTTAACATCATCAGACTTGTATTGACCTAATCTACACATAAAATGAATCTGTCCCCACAAAAGAAAGGAAATACACTGCCCAAGAAAACATGCATTTGGCCTAATTCGTAAGATGGGCCTAAATCATATGGGGATTACAACTCAATTTTGGGCATTTTAAGTGGTTTCAAAGCCGTAAATATGAAATTAGGTAATACTGAGAGATAAAACTAGAGGTTTCTACAAACTCTGAAAACTTTGATGAAAAACTTGGATGAGCACTTACCGTTTGAAATTGTACCGCAAATTTCGCAAATGTCGGCCATGAGCTTCTTCAGGAAAAACATCGAAATGCGCATGCGCCGCCTAGCTTCGCACCTCCTCTGGTTTCTTCTCATCCCTGATGTTTCCAGCGACGGGATTGAAACTTTTCTATAGTAATACACATAAAGAAAACAAAACACAAAACAATGCCAAAGCAACTCCGATTTGGATACAGAGATTCTCATTGGCGCCATGATTTATGCGTTTTCGCCAGTGTCTGAACTTCAAAGCTGCAAGCGTTTGTTCTTGGACTAGAATAGAACCCTAAACAATCAAAGTAACTGTTTTCACCATAAATAGACCCACAAAAAACAAAGAGCCATTTATAATTCGGAATTCAGTAGTGTACGCGGCAAAGTAGCGAATATGGATACAGTAAGATTGTAAGAAAAGTTGAAAATACCCTGCTTGAGCTGTGAAAGACGAGTGCAAGACGATCCGTTAAAAAGAATTAGAAACCTTGTTGCTCCAAGAATCGACAATTGGCTTATTATATATTGCAGAAGGCAACACATTTACTGGCTCAATAAATCCATGTTAATGACTGGGTCGATAGATTGTCATCAAAATCTGTCACATCCATAGAATGATGGCTTCAAGCAGATACATAAATGGGGCACAAATAAGGTCCCTACTAACTGTGATCGAAAACATGAAGCTACAATTCAAAGCCCTAGTGGGACCTGGGTCCCAACCTTCTTGCTAATGTAAATGTGCCAAAGGCTTATTTGGTAATGTAAATGTCTAACATATATGATTATCATTTCCAAAATTTATGCTTAATTATGAAGGAAATCAAGCATGGCCTGATTTAGTCATTGCATAATCATATGACAAAATTTTGCAGTTTAAAATATGATTATGAGAATTTTCAGTCAATAAACAAAAAGCAAACAAAGAAACGAACACAGTTATGAAACATCAGACATCATAAGAAGTGAGTCACACTTGTTTTGGGGAGAGACTTGTTACAGCTGGACCATACCAAATGCAGCAGGGACTAATCTTTATCAGCCCATACATTTGGTATGAGGGTATCTGATTTAAGCCTTTGCATAATTCATAGAAAACTGTAACACCTGCTGGCTTGTATACTTAAGTATAACATTCTTGAGTATGTGAAATTCAGCAAGAAGATAAATCTTTTTTGTTTTCAAAATTGACACACTAGATGTCCATTATTCAAATCAAACATTTCATCAATTATTTAGAATGTAGCAATGACATTTCCAGCAATAATACTCATCAAAACCAGACACATTATTTGGGCTTATACTTCATTTCATATGTAAGAAGCTGCAATGTTATTAATCAAAGCAATTCAGTTTTACTTATTTGGGCAATTGATGCGTTTAAAGTGTTCCTTGTAACTTATTAGGGCAACCTTGTAGGTGCAACATAACACAAGGATACACAGATATGGGAATTGGGGACCACAAGGAGAATGTGATCTCCTATCTTTCAAAATGAGGTAAATTCCTGCCTATTCACAGCTCAGGGAGGTGTACCTTTTCTGACCATGCATGAAAGAGCAAAAATGAATAAAAAGAGCAAAAGGTGAAAGAATAAGTAAAGAGATAGAATGAATGGATATTAAGGGATAGAATGAATAGAATTACTGATTATGCAAGTATTAAAAATGCTATCTGGAGAATTCAAGAAAACATATAGAAAAGTAAGGATCTCAAAATTATAACCTGTTCAGTTCAATAGAAAGGATTTTCTTTACTGAAAATGCAGGCAAAGTTTTGATAAATATTTGGCTTTCAAAAAGTTTTGCATAACATGATATGTCACATTAATTACATCTTCATTCATTTTTTGAAAAAAATAAACATGCTTCAAGGAGGATGATGTTTCAGTGACATCAATGAACTTGCATAAATTGTGACCATCTCACTTTTGCTCTCACATTCACAGCAAATGAAATCTTAGATTTCAGTTTTTTGGGCAAAGCATTAATTAGGCTTCTGTCATCTATTCAGTTCTTTATCTAAATCTATTCTGAACATATAGATTCATAGAGAGATTTGAGAATTTTTATAATCCCATGTTAAAAAAGCAAATATGCTTATGAACTGTATATATTTCCATATTTCATTCGCTCAACAAGCATTTTCCCCCAAAAGTTGGGGAGGGTGTTAAAGTGATGGAGGTATCAAAGACAAAAGGGAATTAATTATAAAAATCAAGTATACAAGAAAATATCTAAGAGATAAATGAGTTTTGCATGATAGAACATTGAGCAAATCATTTAAATGATCAAATGTTTAGACTATGAGAGAGTTCCAATAAGCATGATATTTGTATCTTTAGGATTTCTTTGGAAGGAGAACAAATATGTTTTTACCTTATAACCAGAAATTAACAAACATACTTCGTAAAAAATAACTAGTCAAAAATCATAAGTCTCTATTCAATAGTGCACATAAACTTAAAATTTGACTGCTGCAGAATCTATTTAAGGTTTGGAATTGATTGGAGGAAATACAGTATACATATAGGCAACAATCAGAAAACAAAAAGGCTTATAGACTTAGATGTGCATTTCTTCAGAAAATCTTTTGTGTGAGCCATAAACGCAACAGAAATAAAAATTTTAACAAAAATAAAATATGCTTATGTTGATCACTTTTGTATACTCTGTATACTTCAAAACAAGGTCAGACGAGGGTTGCATCAAAAGTTTAAAGACAGAAAACCATTATAAAGTGAAGTTGTTTAAAAACAGCTTAATTGTTGAAATGTCCTGGAAGCACTGCTCATGTTAGCCTGAAAACAAGCCTAACAATCTATGCTGACATGAAATTATGAGCTGCCAAACAATGCTTCCCCATTTTTTCTGTGTTTATCAAACATGAAAATATCAAGTGGCTTCCTATTGCCCCTCAAATAATTTTCTATTGTTTGACAAAGAGAACAACACAAAAGATGAACAAGCAATCACATGCCAAATTTCACAACCAATACTTGTTGGCTGTTTTTTTCGCTTGCCCAGACACCTAACACAAGACATTCAATATATCTGCTGTGTCTTTAAACAATATAAAAAATCAAGTGTAATCTACAACCCTTAAGTACCCAATATCTTGAGGATATACTGTAAGCAAAGTTCATTTTGTGACTTCATGTTTGACTCCATTGCTTTCAAGTACCTTAATTTTGTGGTAGCACCACAAAGAAATACTTCAGGATTTGAGAATTAATTATCAAGTGTAGGTTTAAAAAACATGAAATTGGTTTACCTTTTGAAGCTGTAGTTGCATCTGCCAACTTTTGAAAAGAATCTAGGAATGTATCTGCAGCATATGCAGAAGACCTTAAAGAGCAAACCAGGTTATGTTAAATATCAGATAGATGAAAGCAAAAATAGAAATTAATATTTTTTTAGAGTTTAGAAATATAAGTTTAGAAATTTTGAAAAAAATTCTCAAGAATTGGTTGGTTATAATCTGGCAGATTAGTCACACCAGCACTGAATGTTTGAAATGACAAAATGCCAAAATGATATAATTTAAAAAATAATTAATAGTAGAATTTGTGACACAACTATTCATTTGCACCACACCAAAGCTTCTTTTTATATATTTAAAGTGTTTCCCATCTGTTTATAAGTTACAAAGGAAAAAGAACACATTTTGCAAAATATTGGGGGGGGGGGGGATGCACCCCACTTCTGAAGGCACTGACATATCCGTTAAAGTAGGCTTAAGGGAGCGAATGTCAATTATTATTGATATTCAATTGCATGTGGAACTTTTGAAAAGAGATTAGTCATAAGAAGCCTCTTAAAGTAATTGATTAATGTCTGTTTACAGTCTACAGTCACTTTTATGTTGGTTCAACATAAGGGGTTTAAAAACCCTCTTATAGCGACTGTAGTGCGGATTGTAATACCAATTAATTTCGACGAAACACAGACATGTTTTGAATGTTTTAACAACTTCGATTTTACAGAACTTATCGACAGAATGTAATGTGAAATCTCATTCGGAATGCTACACGCTATGCTCATAAAGGACAATAGACCGGTACAGATTATGAATCTATTTAGATGATCAACTTTCATGGCAAATCGCTATTTTGAAACTAATATCCTTTTGGATTCCAACTAGCAAACGCTTATAGAAAATATTGTTCATTATAAAATTATAACAAACAATAAAGTCCTCAGATTGTGGTGAAGCTAACAGTAAACAACTGCTGTTGGTAGCGACAGAGTTATGGATTGAGACCTAGCAATCTTCTACAAAAAATTGAAAGATAGGCCCAGGTGTTTTAATTGTCAAGCACAAGGTTTAGGATTTATAGAAGTATATGGCGACAACCATTATCTTTATGTTCGTTACTCATAAATTCTTTGAAGAAGCTTGGAATTTGAATTAACGTACGATGATCGCGATATCCAGCCGATTAAATCATCAGCGATAGAAGAAAACGAGCTTCATATTGTGCAGATATTATGAACTACAGTGTTGGGAAGTTCAATACTAGGCTTTAACCAAATCTACTAAATTCATTGTTTGTTTCGCGTGAAAATGTGGGCGAGGATTTATGGTTTTGGAAAATTGCCCAGAATTATATCCCGTTTCTAAAAGCAATAACAATAGTCCTGTTAAAGAAAAGATCCCGGTAATTTTGAACTAGAAACTAAAATATGTCATGAAAAACGATTAGGAATGATCGTTTTATGTAATGGAAGGCATCAGGTGTGAACAATAAATTCATTTACAATTGACTCACTTTACGGCATTGTAGAACTTTGAAGCTTTGACCAAGAAATCTTCCCATAGTGGCATCATCGTCTACGAAATGGGGCGAGAAATTCAGCCCAGAAATTACAGTAGTACTGTACACTGTAAATAATAAAATGATTCGGTTTTTCAAAGTTTATTATTACTGGCAAAGATATAGGCCACAACACAAACCTTCATATCTCCAATAATCGCATTGAATAAACAACCAGACTCTCCATCACTTGAGTCGCCCATTTCGCAAGCAAAATAACTCCAATATTATTCAACTCAAATATGATATCTAATATTTATTTCCTCTGAATTCAACAACAAAAAGGCAAGGCGATGTATAAACCCTAATGCATTCCTTGCAAATGAAAATGAGCTAACTCCCAAAGTCTTCCACTTGTCAACTCCACTCGCAGTGTTCAAGACCTCAAGACAGGAAATCACAATTAACTTTTCCAGGGGGTTGCTCACCTCTGCTCGCATCCCTCGTGAAATGAAGCAAAACCATTCTTTTATTTCGTAAGCCAAGGGGATTGGTTTAGAGGCACCTGCAGCTATTTCGATGGGTGGGGAGGTTAAAGAGAAGGGGGAGAGAAAACGAAACAGTATTTCAAGTAGATCAATCAAAAAATTAGGAAACTATTAAATCGTGATAAAACTTAAAACAACGAAATTTTGTAAAATCCAAGAAAATGATTGCCCTGATGGCCTAGGAATTAAGACACAAGGAATGAAAATATACTTCCCACGTCTAAATACAGTTTCAGAACGGAAGCGAATCTCTTGACGTGAAAAAAATGTCACGAACGTTCACAACATCATTCACGACATCAGAATTAAGAAACTATTAAGGAACAGAAACTGGAATACTCAACATAGACCTTTGTTTCTGATAAAAAAATGAGCGTAGTCTCAAGATAAGAAAAAATGAAATGCGTAATTTCAGATTAATAACTCTTCCAAAATCTATCTTCTCCACAGAGGTTTCATGCAATCAGTAAATGAATCAAGTTCCATTAGGATTTTTCTATTAATTACAACTAGGCATGGATTTAAGCAGCAATGATGGGGGTGTTTCCTATTTCTTAAAGATTTTCCAGGGTAGATGGGGGTGTTTCCTATTCCTTAAAGATTTTCCAGGGTAGATGGGGGTGTTTCCTATTCCTTAAAGATTTTCCAGGGTGGATGGGGGTGTTTCCTATTCCTTAAAGATTTTCCAGGGTGGATGGGGGTGTTTCCTATTCCTTAAAGATTTTCCAGGATAATACCCTCTACTTTCTGGGTTACAAGAAATCAGTTCTCTCTCTAAGTCCCTTATTATCCATAACCAATGACCAAACATTAAACTTGTTGAAAATATTTGATTTTCAAGTTACACGTTTTAAGTTCAAGTTTTAAGTCAACAAAATATGTTTCCATTCATTACATTCATCAATGTATCTTGCCTTTGAATCTAGACCCAAGGAAGACATAGATATTAGAACAGTTACTGAATCTGTCTTGCGATGTTTACTAAAAAGTTTGCGATGTCTCTGGTTCGTTTTGTCACTATTTATCTGTGCTGTTACAGATAAAGCTAAATTCTACAGATGTATTCATGTATAGAAAAGTTGTCTTCAAGCATCTCATATGGCATGGGTTCATAGGAATTTCTCCTTCTTTTTCGTTGACCCTCGCGAGACCCTTATTTCCGTTGCTAACTTTCCCCTCCGAAGTTGGAACTTTGTCGAAGTTGAGACAGTTGGTAGGTGCTATCCTAGACTTTTGATTGATAACGTGCTGTCTTTTAAACATTTGATGGATTCGTGCATATGGTCTTTTGTCTTTCCTTTAAAGTGGCCCATCAGGATTCCTCACCTAATGTCGATTAGAGGTTGTGTCCGTAAGCCTTATTACCCTTGAGATACTGATCTTCATTGGAAAAAGACAGTCTTAGCTTTAGATTCTCTTACTGTATGTTGAATACAAGCTGTTTCTTGATGGTCTTGCTAAACACAAAATTTCATCAGGCGACGGTGGTTTCAGTATATGCTCTCAGAAGTGCTGTGAATTCAAGTGGTTAAGGTTCATCTCAGTGTTTCCCAGTGCCAGCCAGGATGCTTGCAGAGAGGGAAATGTGAATTTCCTACTTTCCCAGAAAAAAGGACCTGGCATAGTCTGCAAAAATCTGCGGTGAATTGAAACTTGTTTTTGGCTAAAAAACGCTGTATTGGTAAAAGTGAACTGGAAGCTCTCATAGGAAATTAATCAAGCATTCCAAAAGTCATTTTTCGAAAACGTGGAATGAATTTGCTAGTATCAGTTGACTGAGACTCGACCACCATTCTAAAGAAGACAAAATCGAGTTTCTAATGTTGACTATATCCTGTCCCGTCCGTATAGTGGATGTCGTTGAGCTCCATGAGACCGAAGCACACTGCTGGTTTGACATGTCTGCATTTAGTTTGCTTTTGCTTGGATCTTTAAAAGTAGTTGATTAGATTCCCAAGACATACGAAAGAATTCGGTTTAAAACTGTATCCGATTTTAGAGTTCGTGTGGAAAAAGTCCGTGGAAACAACCGCCCCCCCTCCCCCCCCCCCAAAAAAAAGTACCAGTATGTTTTTGCATGACCTTTTAACTTGACATTCCTAACCACAGATGGATTCCATTTTAACCAAGTATCATTGGTAGTTAGGGAAGTTTTGGATATGAAATACATCGTGCATGACACATCCATTTCCAACAGACATAGAAAAGCAGCTTTGAGCACGTAACTTTGAGGCAGGTAAAAATGGCTGACAATTAATAAGAATCGATTTGAAGTATGACATTTCCCTAGAAAAAGTTCCTTAAGATCCGAGATATACAACGATAAAATGATGATTTATTCCACTCCAGAAAGATGCTGATGACAAAGAAGAGGTAAAGGAAGAGAAAGAGAAGAGTGGAAAGCAAGCAAAACTGCCATAGACGAACTCTCAAACAACTTTATCTGGATGATGAGACTTTAAAAGGGAAGAAAAAGAAATAGCTTTGCAGAATTTAAATGCATTGCAGGAAAGAAAGTTATCAATTTTTGATTGAAATGTGCTAAAAAATTTGGCAGATAAAGAGAATCAAGGAAGTAAGTTCTAGGTCGAAAAAAGTTTTTTGGTTTAAAACTTCCATAAGGTTACATCTTGCTTTAAATCATAAAAAAGTACTCTTTTTATCTGGGAGTAAATGGGCCTACATGAAAGCTTTTTTCAAAATGCATTTTAGGGTGTCGGTAATTATTAAACTAGGTGCAGCTGTTTTTTCAGAGTAAGGCAGCAAATTTGCCCTAGGTTTTTCCATTAAAATAAAAAGCTAATTTGAGCTTTTTTTCTTGCAAAGTCCTACTGTCAAGAATGGGTGGAAGATATTCTTAACTAACTAAATGAAGAGAGAAACTTTTTGGAAATTAGGCTCATGCATCAGTAGATTGTGTTAGAAAGCGAAAAGAAAAGTCTCCAAATTATCATAAAAAGCATAATGTAAGGTAATAATAAAGGTTGGTGCATCTAAGATATAGGTAATAATAAAGGTTGGTGCAACAACTAATGCCGGCAATTTTACTTATCTAGGTAGCTTGATAACAGCATATGGAAGGTGTGTAACTGAAATAAAGAAAATATAAGGATGGCCAAGGAGGTTTTCAACAAGGTGAGTGCTGTATTTAAGAACAGCCAGCTAAAAGTGAAAACAAAGATCAGAGTATTAAAATGTCACTAACGTCCTGGAGGGACAAGACAATTATAAGAGGAAGCACCAACACGATCAAAGATCTCAGCGAAGAGCGTCATATCATACTGCCTAGGTTTTCTTGCACCAATCAATCACTCAAAAGTTAGTCACCAGACATTGTAGTCATATCCTTGCTTGCAAGTCAGTCCATGTGACTATCGACATCCTGCAAGATTCCTTTCATTGCACAAGTAGATTCAGCTTTACTGCCCCCTGTCTTTAGCATAAATACCTCCAGTACGAACAATGCACAACTGATTTTCTGCCTTGCAAAACCACCTGCCAGTTCATTTTCTCTTGTACTCAAATGAAATTAATGTTTGAAGTGGATAACCTTTTCTTATAATATGAAAGCCACTGATTGAACCAAAGGCCACATGTTTATTTAATAGCTTGCAAGTTTAGGATGCCGAAGAGTTCAGGACGTCGTCCAAGATACATACAGTCTGAGCAGACTTGCGTATTTTGACGGAAGAGGGATGCCTTCAAAGTTCTAGCTTTCTATCTACATATCCTGCATTTGCATTTATCAATTACCGAAATAAAGTAATAATGCAAGAAAAGGCTGACAAATCTCCAAGTAATTTTGTAAGATCTTGCTTAAAAATGATAGGCTGAGTTTTATTCTTATCTCTACAATTCATCAAGGAATTGCTAAGAGATAGTAGGTCGTATAAATGTTGCTGTGAAATTTTGAAATCGAGTCAGATATATACGATAAATGGTCGCTTCGATGCTTCACTACCTACGTTCAATAATGTTATTGCATTCCAAAGAAGATTGCCAAATAGTGGATGTTAACTTCTTTGGAAAAATGGGTACTTACTTTTTTGTCTATGTCGTTGCTTATCACCTAAATATAGGGAATCAAGGAATATAGGGAAATGTGGAAGTCAAGGCTCTCCTCCAAACCTCTGGATGGTCTAATGATAGGGCAGTTTAACAGAGGATCCACTGAATTCTGTTTTGCATAAAAGCTGATGATGATTATTATTATTAATTCTGTTGCACAGCTTTATCCAATTGATCCCAATTAAAATTCGCTTAGTTTGGTAATATAAAGGGTTCTTTTGCATGCTTAAAGTGGGATAAGCCACTCTCTATACGCTCCAAGATATTACAGATATATCTTTCCAGCCTACGACCCCGGTTTACTATGCATTACCATCTCGTTATGTTTTCGTCAATGGGTTTAAAGATTGGTGTATTAATCAACTCTCCTAGCTTCAACAGTTGATGAGAAATATAGAAACTTATAGAACTAATGGGGAGCTTAACTGAAATAAATGTTTTAGTTTGTTTAACGCTCATGGGTGCCAATTATGATCAAATGCGTGGTTAGAAATGTTTAATTATCAAATCAAAGCAAATGGATTATCGTTCTGATTCTGACTTGTGAGCACATAAAAAGTTTCTATTTGTGCAGAATGAAAAGCGACTGGTATAAAAGCTCAAAGATACACATTCTAAGACTTTTCTCGTTGCACGTGGATTTTCCAGGAACACAATGAGATTCTTGATGCAGTGAGCAAATTTTCAACCAACATCTTATCCTTCAGATAATGCTTCAATGTTTCCTTATAAAAATATTTGTGAATCTTTCATTTTTAAAATATTGTCAAAACCGGTCATTTTTGTAAGGAGGTACAGCAAATGTTATTAAACTTTTAACTACACTCATTTTGTTTAATAGGAAAAAGAGCCCTAAGGTGATCAGAAATTGAAAAACCCTAACACCGATTATCCTAACCTTAAGAAGCTGTTCGAAAATCCTCCTTTCAAAGATGGGGAAGAAACGATTTTTTTAAAGTAAGACACCCATTTCCTGTTTTTTTGTCCTAGATAAATTGAAAGAAGAGCTCCTCGTGACTTGTTCTCTCTTGTTCGTTGTATTTCTAAAAAGCATCTCTTCAATCTTTTAGAAACTTGCAGCACTGAAATCAACAAAAAGTTAGGAAACTTTATTCTTATCCCGAGATTAGTTCTTATACAGAATTAGCGTTTAACTACCAAAAACGGGCTTTCGTAACACGTGATTATCCCCATGGCTAATAGAGCGTTATTTCGTTTATATTTCTCATATTGGCTGAAATTTATGCTGAACAGAGAATTGATCCCGTAAATATGTATGCATTATTTTGTCTAATTAGAACCATTTCTTTCATATATGTTGAAATGATATAATAAATATTTCAACTAACAACCCCCCTTTCGACTTTAATCGTTCTGTACACATGCTTTATGCGTCAGCCCATGTTAGACATTGCTCCATGACATAATCGTGTTCAAACTAATCCATGTGTTTGTTTCCATGGATGTGAAGAAACAACGAAAACCATGAATAAAGAGAGCGAAACGTCATTTCGTGATTGTATTCATAGATATATAGATATATATATATACAACTATCTCACCATGCAAGGAAATGAATCGTATCTGATCGACACTGAGTCCATAAGCCCCGTACCTTTGACAGGTTGTTAAGAGATAAGACTTTATAACAATCATTCACAACAATATATTTTTAAATGGAGTTTTTCACGCTTTTGCAATTTTGCTGTCTCACTAAAAAATCAATGTTTGAAGAACAAGGTTCTTTAAAAGAAACTTGCTTGAATGTGCAGAACTTAAAGGCATACGAAACTTAAACAAATAAATAAATTTGCTTCTTGTTTAGACGGTCGTATGTATGTATTCCATATATTAGAGGTGAACAGTTACCACACAAAAGCAGCTTTTGTAGAAAGTTTTGACACTTTGAGTCTCGTGTGAATAAATACGAAGAAATATCTCGCCTGCGCGTGTGTTTGAAACACAGGTTTCCCGTGTGCGCTGACTGTTTTGCGAAAATTAATGATTTTTACATGAGGTACAAAGAGACATGGCCTAAACATATAATTAAACAGCCGCTCACAACTTTCCTATATCAAACCCATTTACATTACTAAGATTCGTTAAGAAAAGGCACAATCTTGCAGCCATGTCATCTGATACATGGAATCAGCTGCAAGCTCACAAGAGGAAACAAGAAAGTTTGAAAGAGCGTTTGCTTAAAAGAAGGAAAGAGCGCCAAGGTTTATTGGAAGGGGAAGTTGCCAGTGTTTTGGGATCAGAAGCAACCTCTTCATTAAAGAGCGACGAAGGTTAACATAACTTCTGCATATACTTTCAGATTATTTCTCTTTTACAGCTAATCAGTGTTTCGATTAGATTAGCGCAGATGTCCTATAGATCGTTTCTATATTGCTTAATAATGATACAAAATGCTATTCCAATTTTCAAATCAGCACCAAACTGCAGAGTATGGCAATTAAACTTTGTAATAAAATATCTTTGTTTTAGCACCAAATTTTAACCCAAGTTTTTTGACTTTTTTAGATGTATGAAAAATACATATCTTTGTAAGACCTTCTTAGAAAAATTTGTTAATTTTTAAAATTCTGTATACCACCAAGTCATGCTTAGAATTTTAAAGCTGTTTAGAATTCAGACATTATTTCAAATTCACATACTTTCAAAGTAATCCAAATGGCAAAAATACTCCACACAACACAACAAAAACACTATATACTGGCTAATTTTCAAGTCGGTCTTCTATATTTTCTAATATGCAAAAGTTGTTTCTTGATAGGACAGCAGGATTTGGTGAACATGCTCAGAAAGTATGTGACTACGTTAAAAGAAAACAACTACTGATCTGTATGCTTACATTTTCTCTAAGTATCATTCCAAAATCCTGTTCTCATATAAATCCACTCAAACCTATTTATGTTGTAGTGGCTGCCATTGCCCCCTAGTATGGGAAATATGCCCTCAAAGCTGGTTCAGTGCACATTGTAACGGATGTTTGTCAAAGGCTTTTGAAGTTGGCTAATCAATTTCATGCCTAAAATGATTTTCTGCATTTCAGATCCTTCAAAGACAAGCACTGAAAAAGATGTTAAGCAAAGGGTTCCAAGTGAAGAAAAAGTAAAGGTTACTGAGATTGATGCCAGTCTAGAAAGGAATGTAGTTGATCTGCTATGCAACACGTTGCTGAATTTACCAGTAAGCATTGACGACATAAAGGATGCATTGAATAAGGTTTGTTGCAAATTAAGACTATCATTGCATGGTAGCTTTTTCCAGATAGCTTTTGTGAATCAAATATCAAATAAGAACAAGTCTTTTCCCATTATTGTAAGCAGTTTGAAAAAGCTGTAAGTTTTTTTAAATATGTTTATTCTTAACTCTTATTTGAGAAGAAGTAGATGTTAGTATAGTATTCATTTATTATAATGGTAAATCATCCATTAACCTCCCAAGGCATCACTAGCATTTTTACTACCTGAGTAAAGGACATGACATCATCATAAATAAGGATTTGTTAATACATCATCAAGAAAACATGATCTGGAATTTTCTGTATTTTAAAGAAGCATGCGGTTTAAATAAGTGAACAATTTTTACATGTCCTGATATTTCAGTCTTCTCGCAAGTTATGTAGCAGACTTGCATTAAAAACCTCTCTAATATTTCTATTATTTCTCTGCAATATACAAAATTTCATCCAAATCAAATAGGCACCCTTGTCCCTGGATCTGTGTGATTTAACATGGAATGACCCAGAAGGCTTGAAATTAGGGGGTATTTATATCACCTGGCTAATTATTCCAAACAGAGGGTACATAAAAAGGGTCTTAAAATGAGTAGCCAAGTTAAATGGATAATTTACTACGCACTCAATGGGCTATCATGTATGTATCATAGATAGGACCCTATTAGTGGAACACCATTTATTTATCTAAGATCTTTCCAAAAATGTGATAAATAGTAGAAAGTGATAGAAAACAGTTGAACAATAGAGGGCATATTTGATGAAGGAATAAAGCAGAAAATGAGAAGTATTTGGTTAATTTTCAGTTGTCTTTTGATTAACTTGTGTTTTTAACTCTGACATTTGCATAAGTGAGTATTGTCTACTTTGTAGAATCAGAAACACTCATCATCAGATGTAGAGATAAAGACAATCTTGGAAAAGCTTGAGGCACAGGCACTTATAAGGTAATTTTTCTTGCCAATAAATAACAATGAAATATTGAGCATATTTATTGAAATCATGAGCTTCATCTTTTGACCAAATGTTTTTGGTTCAACAACACTTTCTTATTATCTTATTAAGCACTTTTTTGAAGGAGAGTATTATAGGGAAATGAAAATATAGGACAAAGAATGCAATAAATGCAACATGTTCTTTATAGATTGGTGAAATTGAATAATAAGGTAATGTTTAGTGGTAACTATGCAGTGTCAGGTACATTTACTCCTAATAAAATACAGACTTTCTAAAACACTCTTGCTATGCCTTCAGACGAATTCATTATCCTTCTAGTCATTTCATCAAAGAAATAAAAAATTTCTTTTAAGATAATTTTTCAGATTTTTATACATACATTCATACCAGCAACTCAGAAATAATATCTGGTATACTTTATAAGTTTTGAAAGCAAGCTGTAACAATTGAGTTGAGATTCAGTAGGTTGCCTGATGTTCAACGGCTTTTGGTGCCATGTGATAATTTTTTCTTCTCCTTTATCCTCTCTCTCTCCTTCTTCTTCTTCTTCTTCTTCTTCTTCTTCTTCTTCTTCTTTTCCCTCTTTGTGTTATTTTTCTTTATATCCTTATCTTCTTCTTCCTCTTCATTTTCTTTCTCTTCTTTTTTCTTCTCTTACAAGCAGTTTTCTTAATATAACTCACAGGTAATGCCCCTTGAGCTATTATAAAGCCAATTTACGTAGCTTTATATATGAATTTTTAAATAAGAGCAGGGAATCCTTAATATATATATGTTGTTCTTGTTAGCATAGGTAACCATATTATCTCTCAAATAGGTTCTGTCACATGAAGGGTGACTTTGACATGCTTAGCTATCAGCAGGTTTTACCACTTAAGCAAGTCATTTATTTAGGGGTTCTATTGAAATTTTCAAGTTTCATACTGTTTTTATACGACTATAGCTTTTAAGTTTTTTTTACATTCCAATAAAAATTTACAATACAAATTTACTTAAGTTACATTGCCTACAAAATACTTAACAACATTACAAGGATGATGCCACTGGGTGCAAAATACTACGACTACTCCGTGGCATCACGAAAAATAAGACAATTTACTTATGAATTACCAAAGGAAAAAACAAAGAACACTACACTCTCTCTCAAATTATTTTAGATATCAGGCAAAAATATTAGCGAATGGCAGCAGACATGATGTTTAAGTAATCACAATTTTGCGTTTTTAGTTCCTTTCTAGTTCCTATTTAATATATAATTTCACAAGGCTGCTGAATTTGATTTCTTTAGAAAACTCTTATTTGTTTTCTTTAATTTTAGATTCTTATAGACCATAATCGTTAAAATTCATTTGAGTTTTAACATTTTTTAGTTTTAATATAAATGTCATTTGGATTTTCCCTATTTCTCAGAAGGAACTCCTTCTAATTTTAAACATTTGATGTTTCTATATATACTCATAACCTGTATGTCATATTTTTTACACAACTGGTATGCTTTTCCTTTAACAGTGTCAAGAAAACCGTATCTGCTTTTCTGGTCATAGATTGCGAATATTCAAAGGTATGTTTTCACTCAGCACATTCTGTAAATACTGACAAAGCGTCTTCAGTTATTAACGCAAAAGACCTCATTTAGTCTAAACATGCCACAGTTAAAAGCTTCTATCCAAACTAAACAAATGAATTTGTACCAATGATGATTTCTATCAGCATTTAACAAAATATTTATGATTTTTCATCTATGAATTCATTAGCAACTACTGCGAACTTCATTTCAACATGTATTTTATCAATGCTAGAGCAGAAAATATTATGAATTATAGTGGTTGAAAAGTTTATTTAGGAGCAAGTATCGTTTCAATACTAGAGCAAATATCCCGATGAAAACTAGTCTGAAAATATTATGAATACAATAATAATGATTGAAAAGTTTATTTAGGAGCAAAAATCGTTTCAACACTAGAGCAAATATCCCGTTAAAACCAATCTGAAAATAATTGAATATAACCTTTGCGGCTGGAAATATAAGCGGGGCAATAACACATTTTGCAAAGTTTTTTAGTAACTAGTTTTTAAAGGATATTTTGAACAAGGCCAAAGGAGACAATTGTGTCATTTTAGAGAAGCACATTTTAATTTTTTTTATCGCTAGTTGTTCCACTAGCTGTCATGTTTGTAACTCCATCAGTTTGTGCGTTTGTTTTTTTAAAGGACGCCAAATGAAACCACCCCCAGATATTCTGTGAGATTATCCTTCATCATAGCTCCTCATCCGCTACTATTCTCTTGACCTTCGTATAAAGGCCCCAGTGTTTTCAAGTTTCCAGCAACTTATTCTGTTCTATCGTGTCATTATTGTCTTTAAGCTCTAAACAGAATTTGAAATAAAGTGTTTGTTCTTCTGGTTTTGCTATCGTTTTACTAAATAACAGTGTCAATATAAACAGACAGTGAAAATCTCGAGACTTGGTTTTATGTTTTTAAATAAATCAACAAAAATATAATGGTTGTCATTGTTGTAGAATTGCCGTTTTCTTTTTTTGAATTGACTCTGTTTTTGTTCAATCCTTATTTTGCCGGTCATTTGCTGTTTTTGATATTCCTTCTCGCCCACAAATATTATTTTAGTTATCTACAATGCTTGTTATTATTGAGCAAATTCAAATCCTAACGATGCAATGGATCAATTTCCTTCCCCTATTTGTTTTCAAAACTCTGGTAACGTAACGGAATATTGTTTGCCTGTTTTTACATTGTGCCTGACTTATCCTTTAGCCCTTTTGAAATTGATTCTCTAAATTGTTTTTCTCAACTTTGAGTTCTGATCGAATCCATTGTATATATTGTTTAAAGATTTCTATGTCGCCCAGTTGATGGTCAGTGCTGGTAAACTGTACGCTAAGATTTAATCTGCGATCAATAATGAATTAGAAATTAGGCCAATGCTTGTTTTACAGATAATTTTTGCTCTAGAATTATAGAACAAAACAGCTTTGGTAGACTTTTCGCAGATATCTTTCATTACAAACTTATCTGAAAGGCGTGCCCTGCGAAGAATTTTCAAACAACATATTGCAAGATTTTCAAAGTTCTCATTATATGAAATAATCAAAACTTGATTTGCATTTTGAGCATCATGTTTTGTATTGCAGTTGGAAGCAGTATTTGAAGAAAAGAAGGGGGAAGGTATGTGGCTTTTTTCAAAGCTTCCAAATGGTGGCGATTCCTGCTACTGCGGAATGGGAGGGTAATGGGTATAGCTCGTGGCACCATAGCGAGGGCCCTTTTTGTATAATTTCAATGCTCTTTACCAGGTTTATTTTCCTTACGCAAATCCCACAAAAATAAGATCTACCCTTCTTCGTGCATTTAATTGCCCTCAATACCATCTTGGTGCCGCCACTGCTTCCTCAAGATTTGCCGTTAGCGATTACAAAAGACTGCGACCATAAGAACACGAAAATTTATTCTTTAAAAAGATCCAATATCACTTAGTGACTATATAGGTAGAATCTTCACGTTGTATATAAGTGTTTTGGTTTTTGGAAAAATCTCAGTTATCAAGTTCTTGACCATTCTGTGGGGGAACTGCTAGCTGTAAACAGCATACCCCAATGCAATAATTTTGACATCAATATGATTTTATCGTTTCTCGAATTCTTGTAGATGGAAAAACAAAGGAGAACTTCCCAGATGCAAAGAAAACGAGAAAAGAGAGGCAAGTTGCCCCACAGTCTGTCGATTTTCCAAGCATTTTGAAATTCCTTTTAATTCGACTTTTTTTCCTATACTTTGGTCATTGGCATCCACAATAAAAGTCACAAACCCAACATTAAGTGAATCCCGGATTAACAGATCAGTATACTGCCTCGCTGCTTGCTTTTGATGGAAAATATCCTCTGATCAAGATTAGTCAGATTAAGCTTGCAAGCTGGTATCTGGGAGATGATCCTTGCAAGTGCCAGGTCATTGGCTCTTACAACTAGCAAAGGAGATTTTGGTGATATCAGCAGGATACCTTTAGGGTTCAATCCACGGATCAAGATATTTATAATCTTTTCAATGAAGATCTTATGAAAGATTTATAACTACGTTTAATGTTCACGGATGTTTCCATTCAAAAGCCATTTTGATTCTTCATTAGGACTCCTCTAATGAGGAATAAATAGGATTCAGGGGAGTTTCCGTAATCCTAAGATTGCTTGAACTCAGATTTGATTTATCACAGCTGTCAAATTATTAAATGGGTGCCATGGAAATGCCTCATATTCACGTTTTGTTCCAGAAGCTCTTTCTTATGCAGAATTGGATTGCCAAATATAATGAGTAAATGGAAGCATTGTATCATTTTTTGTAGATTAATGCTTTATCTCTAAGCTTAAAGCTTAAAATATTTTGATATTTCTAACAAGCTGGTTTTTTACAGAGATGAAAGTAGTACCAAATCGCCTACAGCTATGTCATCTAAGCGAGCGACGTCTGAAAGAAGGCCAGATAAATCGACGAGCAACAAAAATGCAATCGAGGTTGGCACCGCTTTCTTTGTGTGTCAAATGCACAGAATTAAGTGAGCTAAAGAGTAGAGTGCAATTGCCATCGAGCTAAAGAAATGAATTAAATGTATTTCCAGTGAACTTTAGTAGCTCAAAAAGGAAAACAGTTTTCATGTCCTCAATCCGTTTGCACTCTCGAATCCTGTTCAGCTTCTTTCTATCCGCAATTTCCTGCTTAATTGACAAAGTGTTTAACTCAGTCAAATTTACCTGTGATCTCATAAACTCATTTCCATACTTTAATATGCACAGTGGTCTGTTATTTTGTGAATAGTTCGTTTGAATTGTTCGTTAAATTATCTACACTTGTTTGTTAGCTGTCATTGAACCTTTAGCTTTTAAGGTGCTAGCTGTGTTCCAAATTTAAAACACCTAAAGGGTCTTACTTGCATCTAAGATAGTGCAACCGAATGTGTTTGATCGTTGTGACCAAAGAGAAACTTTTGCATGACATTTTCCAAAATCTAAAATGATTCTGAAGGGACACTGGAGAACAATTTTTGTTGCATTGATCCTCAACTAGTTTTTGAATACTTTGTCTATGCTGGTTTTTCTCCACACTATCTGTCCGTTTTTAACCTAAACTGCAATTTTTTTAGAAAGGAAACATTTCAGTTTGTGAAAGCAGAACCATCACTGTGTTATCTAGCTAAAGCTGATTCCATTATTTACCCACAAAATAGGCTAGACGTCTAACTTGAACAAAACTATTTAGCCAAGAGCATATCACCCCACGAAAATCTCGTACGGTCTTGGCAAAAATCCGTTTGTTTTCGAGAGAAATCTCTGAAAATTCCTTAAAAATCTCATCGATATTAAATAGTCTCGTACGTATTTTAGAAAGAGTGATGCACCCCTCGCTATTTGGTATAAACAAAAAGAAACTGAGAAACAGATAAGCAATCGTATCTTTCCTGCCAACACCCTTTGTATTAGCCACGAAAAAGTAGCAATCTGTCAAGTACTTTTTGGTTTTTGTCATACAATAGGAACGCAAAAAAATAGTTTCTTTCCTTTTCCATCACTCCAACTTAGGCCTTAGAAGGGGGCTTGAAAGACAATGCTATGTTGGGTCTTTGACCAACAAGAGTTTAACAGCCACAAACATTACAGGATTTTCCGAATCATTTACGTGTTTGTGTCCACTCGAAGAGGCCATTATCATATAGGGAATATGGGGCATCAAATGAAGATGATACCGACTAATTTATTTTGAGGGATACCGACTTATTCACTGAGACTAAGAAATGCAACTAAGAAATGATATTTTTTTTAAGAATATTTTATAAAAATGTATGGGATATCTATTTGGTTTGACTACTATGAAGAATATTTTAGCCAATCAATAGTAATCTGTTGTTCTGAAGATATCGCTCAAACAAACTCCAATCTGGCATTTTAAGAAAACGAGAATCTCAATTTTCCTTAAGGCTTCAGCTTGCAGGGCTTAGGCGATTTAGGATTTCAAATCAACGATGAATAGATATTCAGAAACAAGCCAAAATTCTTTGCAGCAGAAAATCGTGAACAATTGTTCCCTAGTAATTTCGAAATTCCTTAGAATTTGTGGCAAGTAACCATTAAACAAGATGATAAATTTGGATGCATTAGATATTTTGCTAACTGTTTTAAGATATAGAAAGAGCCTTTTTAACTAGGTTTCATGAAAAAGTTTTTAAGCCCTAAAGGAAATTACAGCTTCTAGTGATTTCAATGTTTTGTTTTGGTTGAGATGTGTACACATTGAAAAACTATCATTTCGTTGGCGTCAAAATAAACAAAGAACTGAGGAAATTCTGCGTCATAGTTTGAAATAGCGAGCACTCGTGAATTGGGTACGTTGACCGTAGAATTTATCGCAACATGCCGAAACATGTTTGCACTAAAAGGAGAATTTTAAGCTGACGAGATCAAGCAGATTTTACAGCTCCCCCCGTTGCACAGAATAAGATTTGTATGAATATAATTAATGGCAAATTTTGCTTGCGTAGTCTGCCATGCTAAGTATTCTATTATTCTTTTTTCATCATCGATTGCTTTTTGATCAACTATTTATTGTTCTGAGCTTATCCCTCGTTGTAAAACACAACGTTCGCCAAATCATTGTTTGATAAAGCACTTTTCCTTTAATACCATTGCTTGATCCGTTCAAAAGCTAATACCATTTATCTTGTTACAGAGTCTACTTGCGATGCCGACTATGAAAGAGAAAGAGGTATTTTTGTTCTCTTTGCTAAGGTCATTTTTATTTAATTGGATTTCTCGATATGGCTGGTAGCCTTTAGGTCATCAGTCATTTGCTAGCAATTCGGAAATTTCTTCTCTTGAATTTAGAACAGAGCTGCAGAAGGGTGAATGGTTTACGCTCAGAATTCTTTTCTTTGGTCGGCAACCGCTAATATTCTATCTTCAATGTCATCATGAGGAATGCCAAGGTCAAACACCGCAGAATGTACATCGTACCCCAATTGGTATTGCGATTGCCAGAATGATGTATCTATTAATTGGCATCAATGTATGATACCTCAGAATTTCAATTGTGGTATATAGCCTCACTGGTGACCGCTTGCAGGAATGCCATGAAGGAATTCCCTTTCTGCTTAACTGTGGACTCAAAACAACCAAGGAAACTATTGTCGAATGTGTATCTTATATAATCTTATCTAAACTGTAAGTATCCCCAAAATCTGCACATTCTGGCGATTTTAATAGTATCATTCAGACATCTCTGACGTCCTGATGTAATTATAATTGGATAATGACGTTCTAATGTGGTTTGCCTGTTGAGACTTTAAGATAATACTCACTTGTTATTAAAACTGATTTCTTTTGTGAAAGAAACCCAAACCTTGATTTGCTATGCCATATTTCTTTTTGACCGAAGTTTATCATGCTATCTCCTGCCACTGGCTCCGCTTTGGCAGAAGTTTGCAGTGTTTTTTCCAACTTTATTATCAAACCGTTCGTGTTTTACAGCATAAACAGATAGAAAGATATTGTATAATTTATTTATACTTTTTTGTTAAAGAAACTTGTTGATGTACGATTTTGGTGTTCCAGGCAGCTTTCATGTTATACTTTAAAAAACAATGGTCAAAATTTTCATTTCATTAATATAACAATCTTTATAAGACAAACCTGCATAAATTTGAGAATTTACCAAGTGTATAATGTGGGATTCTTCCTATTATTAAAATCCTAATGTATGTCTCAATAGATTTATTTCTCGATTGCAGAGTGGCTTATTTCCAACAATGGTTTTACTTCGCATTGGCATGATAATCAATCGAATCGATTTTCAATATCAAGTTTTCTATCGCTTTTGATTTACACGAGGCCTAATCCTATGTTATTTTTGTGACAGAACAACAAAGTTGGCGAAGAGATCATTGAGCTGCTAAATGAACCAACTGCAAAGGTATTTCTTTTTGTTATCCAAGTTTGCGATTCAAGTTTCATTTCATGCAGGCTGATTTTGTAGCATTTTTTCTTAATCTGAGATTTATCAAAGCTCCAAAACGCTATACGTTTTTCAATCAACTTCAGTTACGGCAGCGAATGCAAAACTTAAATTTTCAATTGTCCTCATTCTGTTCTTGGTCTTCAGTCATCCAAAAACGGGTCAGTTTCTATTAAAGATTACAGCTCCAATTAAACGTCCCAATATTTCACATAACTTCATCTCAGATGCTGGTTGAAGTTGCTCTAGTTAAAAAATCTTAGGTTAAATGTTAGGTCGTTTGAACACGTCCCGTTGTAAATGAGTGCCCCATTTCGCTTAATGTTTCCCATAATCAATTTCCGTTATTTAAAGACGAACAAACTAGAGTCGACTCTGCAGTCTCGTATGACCTCTTACATCGTATTTTTCTCCCACAGGAATTATCTTTGATGGAAAAGTTTAAGTCCCAGGGTGGTACATCTGTCAAAGAGTTTTGTCCCTACGGAACGAGAGATGAATGCAGAAGAAATAATACCGAAAAAGAAAGATGCACAAAGGTTTTTAACATTTTTAATGCATACATTGCAATCTGATAATAAGAATTTTGATAATAATTTCATTTAAAGTCGGCGTTTACATGGCTGTGAGGTAGCTAATTCCAACTATTTACAGACTAAAATTGCTATAATAGCTACATAACAATAGCTATTTTAAATTATATAATAAATATCCTAATTATTCCACATTATGATACGTTTGCATATAGAAAAGTTAATAAAATTATTCAACAAATAAGTTTAAAACTACAAATATGCTACATGTTGAATGAAGATTTTTCATAACTTTCAGTCGCAATCCCGGCCTATCTGATTTTTTATACTCCTTTTAAAGACTATGGTTTAATGCTTGTTTCTTTGCAAAAAATTCACGACTGTTCCCACAGTGCCTTTTTAACGCAACGGTATGTTTTATGCAGCTACACTTCAAGAAGATATTACAAAAGCACACTGATGGTACACATTTTAGCAATTATTGTCAATTCAGAACCGTTTTCACTTCTATTTCCATGCCCACTTTGCAATACAGCGTATTTGTCACTTCAGTGAAGTAGCTGGTCCATCATCTTTTGAATTTCTTCTCCACTGCATTGAGATGAACTCGAAGTAGCCATTCAGTATATTTTGAACAATTAAATGATATTTTCGTAAGTCAACCCTTAATTCTGATTTTTTATGCAAAAGGTTTTGTCATTTGTTAGTCTATTTCTCATAAGAAAGCATTTAGCCGAAACTTTTAAAAGGTTTAGCCATCTAATGGTCGAAAAACTAGCAGTTTAAATGATTTACATTTTCAAAAGAAAACAAGTCTGCCAGGTTTTTCCTCCTCATTTGTTTTTTGTATATTTCTATTATGAATCAAAAATTTAAAGTAATAATTCTTCTTTAATAATCAAACAAACTCTAATAGAATTTTACCGTTGTGTTATTATGATTGAAAGTTCCCCCTCAGTTTTATCAGTGATTGTCTTATCAAGCTATCAGATGTTTAGAATTTCGCCATAAAACTTAGGCCGTTCTCACGCTGTACTGAATACATTGCATATCTGATTTGTTGACCCTATCTGATAAAAATACGGCTGGTCACACTGCCTATAAGTAACACGATACGCTTCCGTACCACATTTAAAGCGAAGTGATTTGCCTCGCAACAATGATACAGAGTATGGTTGTCCGAACAGAACGCCTATCTGGCATAAAATGTACTCTGATATGAAATGAATCCAGTAGAATGTGAGCAGGGTCTTAATAGCAATTAATAGCGAAAAGCAGACTTCAACTCAGTTTTTCTACCTTCACTTTCTACGTCCTATATACAACCTGATGCTGTATCGTTTTCTTTCAGAGTCTCTTGGAGATTGCTCTTTTCTAAACACTTGTTTCCATATGGATACCTGTAAGGTATGACAATCTTTTTGGCTACGTTTTAGATTTTTTGCTAATATACAATACAGTATAGGTTGCTGACCTACGTGATCCTCACTAGCTGCTAGAATAGCCCAGTTATTTTGCATTGATTTCCTTTTGATATATGTCAGAGAGCCCATTGAAGTATCGAAATTTCGTACAACCGGTGTGATGAAGAGACCTATTTAATGGTATTGTATCCCCTGTCAATGCAGTAAAGAGTCTGCCACTTATTTACGTATTGACTTTACAGATTTTAAGATAAATCAGTTTCAGCTTACTGAACAATGATCTTTAAAGGTCTTGCAGTCACGTAGGTTTTCAACCACAAGCCTTAATACTCTCTGTCTTTCTCGGGATGCTTAACAAAATCATATCTTTCTGCTCACATCCGCCATCTCACCGTAGCAGAGCCTTACAGGATCATGAAGTTATCAAAGTTCATTTTAGATCTGAGTTTTCCTGGAAATGACAGAAGCTCTTTAAGTATGTCTCTTTATTTTTTAGTATGTTCATTACGAGGTGGATTACTCCGCATGTCCTGACGCTGGCAAACAAAAGAACACACAGCATTCGAACCAAAGCATCAATCATCGCCAGGTAATTTCTTGCATATTTCTATCAAATACAATCTCTTTGGGTTATTTCTTAAGCCCCATTCACACGGGGACCACGTTCTAGGTTCTTTCATTCCAAAAATTGGAATTTACCATGACTATGTTTTCACATGGGAATGCTTGAAATCGTAAGCCGTCCAAAGTTTGAACGGCATTGGAACGACACACATGCATTTCATTCCAATTCTATGTGAACATTTTTCACGATGATAGCTCAGGAAATACAGACATGCGCATTGGTAAGCTCTTTGCTCAATTTTGAGCGCAAAAACTAAAACGTAATAACAAAAAGTAATTTTGTTCCAAACTTTGAAACGCCGTTTGAATGGTACTCAATTGTTCCCTTTTGAACGCAGCCTTAAAATAGCTGTATTAATCTACCTCAAAATTTTTAGACGGTAAGTCTTGGCTATATCCGATGTAGACCCTTGCAGTCTAGGAGATGATTATATTGGCCGTCTCATTTCCTCTAGATCATTTATTATTAATCTTCAGCCGGGATAGCAGACGTCGTAAGTTCTGCCCTAAAGCCATGGGCATTCAGCGTTCTAACACATGTCTATTACTTGGAAATTGAAAATTAATCTGATTGGTTGAAATGAACCGTTCGGTCTACAGACGACCAATCGCATAACGAGTTTCATCAGGACAATCAGTTGCCTACCAGATTTGAGTTATTGAGCCGGTGACAGAAAAATAATTTATCGAGCGACAACGGATCAGAAATTTCCTGTGCTATTCATTTTCATCCATCTTGTAAATGTTTCATCTGAATTTTTTTCATTTGAATGGCTATCGATTTCAACGTTTAGATATCTGATTTAGGCATTTAGGTTTTTCCTGTTCACATTTCAACACATCTACAGAGTACTATCTTTGTTTCTTAACGTCACAGTTAAGCCATCGAAAGACAACAATTTAATGACAATTGGTCCGATGACAATAGAACATGCATCACAACTTTCGCCTACCCATAATGCAATTTGTTGAACATTGCAGAATGGTCTTTCATTCATCATCACAGCTGCAATTTTTACATAAGATTCGCATTAAGTTGCTTTTAACGAGAAATTCCAGTTATTTGGATAAATGAACTGCCTTGTCATATTATGTTATAGGTAGTAATTTTCTTGATTATTTTGATCTTTCAGATTGCAATTGAAAGACAGAAGCACATTTTGTATCCACCTCAGGTAAATTTATTTAGCCTTAAGCTGACTCTTATTCTGAATTCAGGCTCATCTTCGATCAATGTCAATTTATGAACTTAACAGGATTTTATGAAATTCGACAGCAAAGGGCCGATATAAAATTTAATTCGAACTGTCACATTGAAATTTATTCAGACCTCAGAATGGTTTCAGTTGGTATTCCCTCTTCTATAATTTTTATTCGTTATTAAAGTTATGTTCGCAGAGTTGGTATGTATTTCCATGCTCCCTTTTCAATCGTCTTCTAGATGTTTGGTTGTAATTCTCTCCTACCTAGATTCGCTAGCTTACATCGAGAATGTTTCAAAATAGCAAATATTTGTTGTTAGTTAAAGTTTGGTAATATTTGGGTAAGACCTTTAGCATGGAATAATTACTTTGTAATTTTACGCAATATAATAGAAATAGAAAATGAGTAGAAATGTGAGTCTTCGTATCTGAAGAAAATATCATTGAAGAAGTGATGCAAAACCCTAAAGGTAGGGATGAGGAGAGGATAATACATTAATTAAGGCTGTTCTGATCACCGATCAGAAGATTTCCTACTGGTGTGTATGGCTCAAACTAAGAAAATCCGATTGAGGATTTTTCGACCTTGTTGATACAAATGCTATTCACCAAGTAGTCTATTGTTTATCTTCTGAAGCCCACATTTTTATGGCTGGTTCCTTTATTCTTTTTGTTATTGGCAAAAATTTTGTTTTTAAACTACTTTAAAATGTAATATAGTTTGATTCTGCAATCAATGATGTGCATAGCCAAATTCCACCTTCACACCACTTGACAAACCACCTGACACACCACCTTCAGGCCAACAGCAAAGAGATAAAAAGGGCTAATAAGTACCTCTTGGTTTTTCTCTTTTGCTTTTTATAGACAATAAGTCAGTGGTCTACAAAGCACAGTAAGAGACTGTTTGGAGACCCCCAAAATGAAAGATTAAATCACAGTTAGAGTTGAAGTTTGGTTGGAAAGTCCCTAGATAAAAGGAGATATACATCTACTGACCATAGAGTCATTGTAAATTTCTCCTTCCGCTGCTACTTTGGTTGCAGCTGTTTGTATAATCGGACTTTACAAAATGAAGTCTATGCTAGCTTCATAAATCCTGAGCATTTTTTTGTCTGTTGTAGTGGGTGCAATGTGATATGCGCTACTTAGATCTCGAAGTTCTTGGAAAGTTCAGTGTTGTAATGGCCGATCCGCCTTGGGACATTCATATGGAGGTAGGCCATTATTTATCAACTACTGTAGTGCTCTTTTTATAACTTTTTAAGTTCTTCGAATGCAAAAATAATTAGATGCTAACAAAATGTATCAATATTGTTAAGCGACGCTGCGGTTCTGTCAATGGGTGTTTTAAATCCCATTACTAGCACATTGGCCAATTTCCCTCCAATTGTTGGCACACTTTCTTATTCACTTAAAGCTTTTTCGTCTGACACTCCTCAGAGCATAAAACATCTGAATAAGGGTCCGAAAGAACACGATGAAAAATATATACCCAGCTGTGGATCGAAATAGGCCAATCAGAGAAACGCAAGCACAATAACGGTATAGTTGACCAATTAGTGCCGCGTGCTAAAAGAAAAATTACCATTACCACAACTAGGTATATATTTTTCATCGTGTTCTTTCGGACCCTTATTCAGATGTTTTATGCTCTGAGGAGTGTCAGACGAAAAAGCCTTTCGCCAATATGTTGTAAAATGTTTGCGTTTTTCAAAGCCATTTTCAAGTTCTGTACCGCCAAAAAATTTTTCACTTTCTTGCTCATTGTGTCACCCGTATCATTTTCTTTACCAAACAAAAAATCACCAAGGCCCAGAGTACAAGCAGGGATTTTCATTTTGTTTGTCCTAAACTTCAATATCAAATTTCGATGCTTAACGTCTAAAATGCCACATTTCTAGCAAAATATTTTTATTTATGCTTTTTCAAGTTTTTGGTATGCATTCTTTGAGTTATAAAATAATTTATGGAGTATGTTAAATCGCTGTATTGTTGACAAATGAGGAAAAAAATTTTATATACCGAAACTTTGTTCTTTTTGGGAAATAGTTGCCGTATGGTACCATGCAGGATAATGAAATGAGAAACCTGAGGGTTGGCAATCTGCAAGATGAAGGCTTCATCTTCCTCTGGGTCACTGGAAGGTAGGACGTTTTTATCATTTGTGGATGTCTGTAGTATTTTATGAAATTTTATGAAAGTTCGGAGGTTTTTTATGAAATTTTAACAAAACTCCCTTGAAGTATCATTAAAGTTTAGAATAAGGCTTTCTTTAGACCTAGAATAAGGCTTTCTTCACAGCATCGTTTCTTTAAAAGCAACAATATTTTGGGATTACAAAATTTTACGTAACCTTTCGTCTGACACTCGTCAGTGGATAAAACTCAGTTTGATTTAAGAATGTTTGCTTTTTTAAAGCCATTTTTTAATGAATGTTCAGTAAATAAGTTTTATTTAAGTCTGAGATGTTTTAGACTGAGGTGGATTTGTTGTGTAGCAGGCCTATCTGTGACATGCCTTTGTTGTCTTGTTGTTCCTTTGTGCAAGAGGTCGTTTGTGTTTGCGTTTCGTAACTTTCTCTGCAATTTATAAGTTTTTGATATGTAGCCTTTCTTTATTGACAGGGCCATGGAACTTGGCAGAGAATGTCTCCTTGTTTGGGGGTAAGTTTCTACTTCGCCTGGTCAAAATTCGGTGACCTCGATGCTACGAAAAAGCTCGTAGAACTTCTATCGGACTTCCCTGATGCTCCTCCAATGTTTATATCTGCAGTTGCCCGATGATCGCATTAAGCGTAAAACTTGAAGCTGCAACCTAGAGTCCTCCTGTTCTATGTACAAAAATACATCCAGAAAGTATAATCTTTAATCCCTCGCTATTTTTCTTGAAATTAAATGGCTTGTTTATTTGATAAAAAAATTTCTGTAAATGGAAAGCTATTTATTCGTATTTACTAATGTAAATTGTGATATCTTCTTTTAGATTAAGTTATACCCTGACAATCTGAATTTTTTGTCCAAAAGGTACGGGCTATGATTTTCTGCAGTGCTTGCAATTTTACTATGCGACTTCCACCATATCTAAATTTTGGATTTTCTTCGATTTCTACCTAGATATGAACGAGTGGATGAAATTATTTGGGTGAAAACTAATCAACTGCAAAGGCTCATTCGAACAGGAAGGACTGGACATTGGATTAATCATGGAAAAGAACATTGTCTTGTATGATATATTCACTCATTGGCCACAGCAAGAGATTCAGTTGTCCTTATTCAACAAAATATTTAAGATAACCGGAACATATCGACAAATTAAACTCACATTTCTAACTGGATTGCTGCAGCGCAATCGCACCTTAATATTATGTGGATATCAATGACTCAAAACCTCCTTAAAAGAAATTTTTAATGAATAATAATTTCTGATAATGTTAGTTTGTATCTTGGCTGATTTTAATTAATGGGCGATAATAAATGATTTTATTCGGTGGTTGTGTTTCATTTTGAACTAGAGGCTTAGAGTCTGATCGCGTTTACAGAGCAATTTTTGTTTGTAGTGTAATGTTTTTGTTAATGTATTTTGCAGGTCGGCAGAAAAGGTGATCCAAAGAATATAAATGTTGGCCTTGACTGCGATGTTCTTGTTTCCGAGGTTTGAATATTTCTCTGTTCTTGAATTGAGACTCATTCCTTGATGTAACCGAGCATTAATATTTAAACAACCAGGAATAACTGTTTGGCTTAAGAATATGTCAATCAAACGGTAAAAGCTGGTGTGTTAGAACCTACATTTATAATTGCTCATTTTAGAACACTTTTATGATAACTCGTTTTCCCCAAATTTTCAAAAAGGGTTCTCATTTAAATTATGGAGAATATTTTTAACTCCTATTTTCAGTCAAGATATATTTAATGTAGCACAATCAATGCAATCATTAATAAAAGTAAGTAAACAAGGCTTCAAGTTCCAAAAGTAATGGCATAACAGACAATTCTAAAGTACCATTATAATGCATCGATTTCATAAGAGCCTAAACCGTATATAAATAAAAAAACTCATCAACTACTGCCTAGGCCAAACTGAACAAATTTAGGTTCTTATATCCAAGTTTTTGCTGAATTCAAAACACGTCGCTGTTTGACACGAGAACGTCGCTGTTTGAAAGTGGACACGAGAAAGTGGTCTTGTTTTCGCAGTCTTATTGGTTTATAGCTAAGTGAATGGGTGTAAGCTTCCATTATTTTGCAATGATCTGCATCCTTCTTGTGAGGATCATGTTATTAGCTTTCATCTTCCTTTTAGGTAAGGGATACCAGTCATAAACCGGACGAAATCTACGGTCTCATCGAGCGTTTATCTCCTGGGACAAGGAAAATAGGTATGTCGTCACTTACCCTTCAAATCTGCGGGATGCTTTTGAAAAATTCTACCTGACATTTGAAAATTGACTGTAGAATGTTTGATGAAAATTTAGTTGAAATTCATTTCTTGCTCATTTCTTACAAACATTTTTACTTTTAGAACTTTTCGGACGTCAGCACAACGTGCAACCAAACTGGTGAGTTGTATTTTTGTTTTACTGCGGAGGAGTGTTTAAAGCTATGGCCTTCTTTACAATATAAAATAATTCTAAGTTTACTGAGAGTAATTGCGAGCGAAAGTTGATGGTCGCGGGTTCGTGTAACTCGGTCACCTGTTCTGTTATTATTTTCTCCCAAATCCTGTTATCCAATCAATTAATGGTAATTTTTTAAAGTTTCAACCGAGATAGTTAAAATTTTTTTATCTATGTTATTCTTCACTTGAGTATATTGATTGGTCATGTCGTAGTCACTTCGTCTTCAAATGTGATGCATCAAGAATCAGTTATGGCCGTTTCCAACATAATTCATTGACATTTGTTTTTTCACAGGATTACACTCGGTAACCAACTACGTGGAGTGAACTTAGTAGACCCGGATGTTGTTAAGCGCTTCAAAGAAAAGTATCCTGATGGTAATTGCTTGAAACCAGCTGCGGCTGCACCTCCACAGCAAATACAATAACTTTTGGAACTCTAGAATAGTGATTACTGGTCACTAATGAGATCCACTCCACAAATCACGTTTGGTTATTCAACATGTGCTGAACACGCCACAAAACCCCCGAATAAAGGCTTTGTTATTTGCCTGAAATACAGGGAGGCCTGGGACCTAGTGTGACGTCAGTTGTGCCCGGGCCGTACTGAGATACTGTTGAGAGAACAAAGCTTGCTAATGCGCAGAGCATGACAAATATTTAATGTTATTTTTTATTAAAGAAAATGGTGACTTGGGTAGAATTTCTTCACTAAATTTTGCAAATTGATACTTTGTTGTAAATGTACTTCTTAGTTTGTTGTCAAGTTGTCAAAAGATTAACAATCAAATATAACATACCAAACTTGAATTGTTATAAGACGCATTTTACTCAAAGAAACTGTTTATTGAACTCTGTGAATTGGAGTTGACTAAACTTTGTCTGTTCATTGGGTATTCTCGAAAACTTATCTGTTTTCATTTTTTTGCCCTGGTTTCTGTAAACACTAGCAAGAATCGCATAACGGTATTCTTTTAATATGAAAATGACAATAAAACCTCGTTTTTAGATGGTGTACTGCAGCCTGTATTCATTTGTATTCTGTACAGAAATTTGCAATTAAAATGACAAAAGAAAAACGGTGTTAATGAAGGCACTTATGATGAACATTTTTCTACAATTTCAAGCCTAAAGGGCTTCAAATCTTCATCTTTACCATAATCTCGTAGTGAGACATAGTCTCAAACTTTTTAAAGCAGCTGAAGAAAATCCTTAAATTGTTTAGCGTGAAACAATGCACGAGAGTCTAGCTTGAAAGTTTTTAAGAATATTAGTGGATTTTGCAAAGACCCTTTTATTTTGCTTGCTATATGACTTGCTAAAACAGGTTTCCGGTATGTTTTTATAAACGGATTGGCAGATTGACACACTTGAATATCATTGGAATATAAATATTGATTCATTAATTGCGTTTCCTTCCTTTTACGGTTCAAAGATTGTTGAAAAAATGTATCTGCTTAGAAAATCCAGCATTTGAACCAGGTAGAGTATTTAGGCGATCGGATTTTGATCATATGCCCTTCAATTTTGATCAAGGTCAATAACTTTGAATATATTTCTTAATAATAGCTTTGAAAAAACATTTAAGACATACTAGAGTTTTTCGTCTGACACTCTTTAGAGGCTATCGCAAGAAGGTTGCCTATTTCGATAGAGTTCATAAAACGAACTGGGGACTCGCTTCTAATGATAATGAAAATTTGAGCAAAGAATTATCAGGCTTTGAAAAAGGCAAACTTCAGTACTTCACAGATATATACAGTTTTGACATATCTAAATGAGCTCTCACTTAGAATGGGCTTGTTAAGTTTGGATTCGCAGCATAACGTGTCTTCGAATGAAATTGCTTTGGTGCAAAATGAGTCGTACATACACGCTGCAATGTTGGTTAGACAAACCTCCTTGATATTTGATATTTAAGATCGTAAATACAAGCTGTAAAGCTGTAAATACAAGAACAGTTATTGAAACGGCAGGGGTTACAAAAGAACGTGGTACTAAAATACGATTTATTCAGCTCGAAACTGGCTGTGCAAGAAGATCATATTTACAACGTAGATAACAGAACAGCTTTGAACAACAGCGCGAAACCTGGCTACCTTGAAAATAAGGCTTAAGCCTTAAGGGAATATCTAGGCGCCTCTACCTGGAGGGCTTAATGTAAAGAATGTTAGGCTCGTAGATAGTATCCATTTTGTCTGATACATTGCACTGGATATTTACACATTCTGAACGGGACAATCATGGTGCAGCTGAAGCTGGAAAAGGATTTGCCACGGAAAAGGTCATTGGTATTAAACGATGGGCTTGAGCTAGGATTGTCGTACAACATTCACAAACACAGCCCGAAAAGGTCGTAAAACACTTACTATGGGCATGAAAATTGGATTTGTAGCTATGCGGGTACAAGGAGCCTAGAAAGCCTTCGTGTGAACATGACTTGTTTTACTTCGCCTGTATGAAACTAAAAACAAATCTCTATCCTTCTCACATTTTACACTGAAGACCAGTGTCAGGGCATATGATATTGATATTGTCACAGAAGAGTGACGAGTAATACAATATACTTTAATTTACATAGAAATCCGCTAATTTTCCGATTGCTGTCGAAAAACTTTGTTAGAGATCACTACTGCAAATATCTATTGCCCTTATTGATTTTTCCGTGCAAATTGTGAGAAATATTGAAACATTATAACGGCAATAGAACAAATTGCTTAAAATAGAAGTACAGTCGTAACTTTTTTACAATAAATTTCCTTTGGCGGTTAACTTGCTAACCTTAAACTTCAGTTTCGGAAAAAGATTTACAACCTGAATCGCTTTTTGTCATTTTCTAGCAGGGTTATTCGGAAAAAGTAAGGTACATAACACCCTTGCCACAGTGAAATCAAAATCTGCAGTATAAACTAACATCTCGTTTATGATTTATCTATTATACGCTCTGCTGATTCATAAACCTCGAATCTATTTCTATTCTTTAACTAGCCTTTAATTTAGACTGGCAACGATCGCGAAAATGATAATAAAGTTCATTGTGTTTGACGCCCACTTCAAACTTGAAAGTTTGAACCATCTAACAACAGCGCAATCATAAAATCCAATTTCCCATTGCAACTTGCAAGATTAGAGCTCTACCCAAATGGTTTTTCAACAATCAAAAAACAAGAATCATGTTGGAACAAATTCATTTTATAAACCTATTATTGAAGCAATACCCAATCTGATCCTCTATCCATACGTACTCAACGTACGCATCAAAATAACGTCCTGTTGCGCATATACGGTAACAGGAGAAAACCATTTTGTCACCCATAAACAGTGATCTGTCGATACAACGCTACGGTATACGACGTAACCTCGTAACAAGCGAAACTTATCTTGTCCCCAACAAACAGTGATCTATCGTCATGTTAATCCACGTAACAAGCGGAAATCATCTTGAAACAGCGATCTATCGATACATGCGCGAGTCAACATTACGGTCGGTCACATAATCCAATCCCAATCTTCTTTTTTTACGCGGTAAGAGTACATCATCATTTGATGTCTTAGGACTTGCCCTTTCATTGATGCAGTTGAATTTTGAAATTAGATATGCCTCAACGTCCCTGCAGATACCATTTCCGTTAGCAATGTTATCGCTATGCTTTGTCACTGTTTCTTTATCTATGACGTCATTTAAAATACTATCAAGGGCTTCCAACTTTGCAGACATCTCACTGAGGAGCATCGTATCCTTGCTGCATTTATAATTTCGTTGGCGAGCAGTCTCTCTCCCATTTCCCCATCCGAACGGTTCATAAAAATCTTCAGAACAGCTGCTATCCAAACATATCTCATCTGCAGAAATTGTGCTCTCATCTGAAGGTATTGTTATCACAATTTTCTTCTCCTTATCTCTTTCCTGTTTTACTTTGTCGATTGCACTGAACATTGACAAAGCAACCTTTCCGTACTTATCGACGCATGAGGCTGAACACCCGTCTGTGACACATATACTTCTCTGTTCTCCACAAGGTTCCGATCTACCTCCTTTACTTGCAGTAGGAGAAAACTGGTGATGAGATTCATTACGCATTTCACTGATATGCGCTTTTGCAGTCAAATTCAAATCAACATTGTTATTTTTGTCTAAAATCACCTCAAAGCATTTAGACTGTGAATCATTGTTATGTAAGTTACAGGAGGAATAACCATTACTAAACAGCCTCGAACCAGATTGTTCTCTATTGGTAACTGTGGTTTTGCTTAATGATTCTAATTCTCTGTACTCACAAGTCTCCCTTTCACAATCTGAGAGCTCTGAACTGTCTTCAGACAAATATGTTAAAATATCATTTTCTCGAATGCTACCGCTGGTTCTATCCAAAACTAATTCAAATTCATCATTTCGAATCAGAGTCGCAGATTGCACTCTAGAAAGCAACGGATCCTTCACAGGAGTTTGCTGCAAGACATCTTTGGGCACCGTCTGTGGAAAACCCTCTTCGGAATTACATGAAAATTTTTCAAAGCTCTTTTCTGCATCACAATCATCTACATTTTTTGGTGAAAAGGGTATAAACAAATTGAATTCATCTTCGACTTTTTCAGTATCAGCTTTCCAGTCAATTTGATTGTTATTGCCGAAAAACTGTGTTTGTCGCAAAATTTCACGATAGGCCTCCAAGCACTTGTCACCCCTGGCGCAAAGATGTTCTTCAAACAAATCACCCAGCTAGGAATAGAACGAAAAAACAACTCGAATAAACAAATGCTATAAACATTTTGATAAACAATGTGATCACTTTCTTTAAAGTAACTATTTCTGCTGTTCAAGAATGCTCCCTTTAAAGATTCAAGTTGCAAAGAAATACTGTCAAAGAAGTCATATAAACAACATCATTGTCCTTATGGTTCAGTTACTCCAGAACAGTATGAGTTAAAGAAATGCAAGATCCTCGCTTTCTAACTCCTGTCTAGATGGTAATAGCAATGAAAGTTGTCAGAGCCGTAAAAGGCTTATTCATAAGACAAAAGTCCCCTTCTGTACCTTCTTCTATTGTACAGATGAGTCCCGTTTTGTCGTACACCGGATAACTCGGATTTTCACGAACTCTGATTGATTTTTAACTCCGATCGGATTTCCCTACTTCACTCAATTCAAAAGTCGTACCTCGGCTAGTCGTACCTTGCCAATTTGGACCATTTTCTTACCTTCCTTGAAGGTCCGACTTAATAGGATTCAGCTGTATATCATATTTCAGGGCACTAATACCCAGGGTACTCTATGTGCTTTCAGAGGAAATGCAAATATCAAGTTTTCTCAAGGGTGGCGGACTGCTTGGGTGGTTAAGTTTACCAGGGCGGTCGCTGTTCCAACTATATAGATGAAATAAAGAAATCCTTAAAGGCCCTAAAGAACATATACGGCAAAGTCTACACTGCTCCTTAGTCATTCAGTTATTATTCTGTTTCAGTTGGATTTTCAAGAACGCTCTCGGGCCATAGTAATCCATATTCAATGAAAAAGCTGCAGGAGGATGCTCATGCGCTTTGTTCAGTTAAAACGACGCAGCTCAACAATCTTCGAGTTTTAAAATGATCCGTAGTATTTACATTGCTTATTGACGTTTAAAGTTTGTTCCATTTGCATTTTGATTCGTTTTAAAAAGTAAATTTTCAAATTTACCCGTTTGCTACAAAGCTATATTAACACAAGGCCATATACATTGTGATCCAACTTTATGAGAACGAAGTTTTGTGAATTTGTGCCACTTCATAGGCCTTCCCAAACAACTTTTTGAGGGCACTTGCAAGGACGAGAATGAATTAACAAAATATGTAAAAGCCCGTTTCAAGAAGAAAAATAACCTTTAATTCAAGCAATCTAGCGCTGCAGAATGTCTGAATATCATTTCCACCTTCACAAAAATGTAACCTATCAACCAAAGGAATGGCTACTTACCCTTATCAAGATGTTATTTCCTAAAGTCTGTTGTATTTTCTCCATCATTCGATTAAATTCTTCAATGCACGCCATTTTTGCTCTCTTCTCAGTAGAAATCTCAACAATCTTATTAGACTGGTACATTAACATATTCTTAAGTGCAGCAATGTTCCGTTTGATTTCAGTCACTTCTTGCTCTGTCTATAGACAAAAAATTAAAGGAGTTAAATTAGATTAAACTATAAGTAACTGCATCATTAGCAACATCAGTATGCAAGAATCGATGGCAATGCCAGCCCTAAGATACTTAAAGAACAAAAGGGAAATTGCATATTAGGTTATTTAGATCACACAAAGTTTTTTAAAAAAGACTAATTTCTTTTCTCTACATGTGGTGCTACAGAGACACACAATAAGTACAAGCTTTGTCATTTGAGGGCCAGACAGATCACAAGTAATATTTTACAGATTTGTACACAGTGATACTATAAATGATAGAAAAAGTCAATTGACTGATATCATTGATATCTATTCAAGATAAAAGATAAAGGATAAATGAAAAGGGCTAAAAAGGGATTTGTTTAGCCCAACTTACTAGGTTTTGAAGAAAACATTCTTCGCAATGAAACAGTTTATTCAACAATTCCTTGTTCACTGGTTTTGTTGTCACATCCAGCTTCTTCAAAACAATCTACAACATGAAATACAATTATACAAGAATATAAAACCCCTGTTGCAATGCTAAAAATATTTTACCTGGAAAAAATACCATTTAATTGCCATTGAGGTTCTATCTACCCAATCTTTCGTAAAATATATTACACTTCATTGATGTTGATAAATTTGATGTAAAATGTAAAATGCTGAGAAAAGTTTTGATCTAAACTCTAAATATTTTGTATCTTTGAGATATAAGGTAACAGATGCAAAATATCTGCTTTCTTTTTTTAGATAATAATCAATTTGAGAACGGTAGGATATCAGAAGCAACAAGTGAGCAATTCTATTCCAAAGCACATTTAAAGAAATGGGATTTCAATAGACACAACAAAGAAATTTGCTCAGTGTTACCTGTAATTTTGTACTAAGCCATGAATTGAGAATGTCAGACCTCACATCTTGGACTCCAACAACAGTTGTAAAGAACTGGAGCATTTCCAGCAGAACTGGTAGCTTTGATTGGTGATATTGCAAAATTTTTCGACCAACTTTTAACATTGTCAGACACAATATCTCATACCATAGAAAATCCTTAAGCTTCCTGTTATATGTACTGCAATGAAAAAATAATTAAAAATTTTGGATTTCAAACAACACACATTGTGCATCGCAGTGTGCAATGCTGATTAATTAAGATAACAATTTATGAGGCAATTAATGCAAGGAATTGGGCATCTCTTATTAGCAAAGTCCCATTAACAGTAGCCCACAGTTATACAACTTGTTGTATGGGGGCTCATATGACGGGTGTTATAAAATTGTAATAGACATTAAGAAAACATTATTAAAAGACCTGGTATATTTTAGTAGGAATTTCTTTATGAACATTTAATTAATTATTACCAAAAGTATGAAGTTTTTGTGGTAATTGAATAAAACGCCAAAGGCAACCCAAGATGGCAAAAATCAACAAATTGAGAGGGGGCCGAGTGGGGGATCTCCTTGGTTTTCGCCAAATCTTCCTGTTTTTTAAAAAAAATTTGAAATTTCCAGGTTTTGAAAATTATAGGTTGACAGGTCTGAAGTTGGTGCTTAGAACATGACAGATTCATCATGGCACTATGAAATACTGTCAATAAAATCATTCCTTCAAAAACTTCATATACAAAATCCCTTGAGATTATTGTTATTACTTACCGTAAATCCTTGAATTGGCCCCTCTCAAAAAAGCTTTATGGCTTTGTTAAAACCTCTCGTACCTTTAGGCATCTTTTTTGCTTTTTAGCGTTTTCTGATGCTATTTCCCTAGGACACCAGATGCCTCTGTTCATAACAAATGCACCCAATGTTTTAATTGCTTTCATTTTGTTCCTAACTGCACTTATGTTTTATCTCATCCAGGAACTTGAGATTTTAGATATTCATTCTATTCCCATAAACACAGTGCCATTTTCACAATGGCACAGTGCTTCCCCCACTGCCCCTGTAGAGTTAGGGCAGGGGGGCAGCTGCCCCCATGCTTTTGGCACCCCTGTATGCATTTTTTATAAAAACACACTTTATAAGAACACTGAGGCTCGATTTGCCCAAAAATAAGAACAAGGCTAGATCATGCTCAGCTTCAGATGAGAAATTTAAAAGAAAACAATTCGCATTTTGAAATTTATGTCATGTCATGTCAACAGAACAAAACTATGCAAGTTTGTCCATAATCACTAGCAGTCATTTCTTTATTTTTAAACCTTACCCAGCAAAACGTCTTAGAAACTATATACAGTATAAACTTCTCAAATATTTGCAAAAAAACCACTCTTAAAATAAGAAAAATTTTCAGAACATTTAAAATTATCAAGAAGTTAAGAACATCAAGGCTCGGCAAAAATGATCTGGTTCTTATAAAAAAAGAGTATATGCATGCAAATTCCATTGAAATGATTAGCTCTGTCTGATTGATTTGATTTGATTTTATACTTAGGTAACTCGGTACCTTTAATGTGTTTATAAACCATAATTAAAAACAGATTAAAGGTACCGAGTTACCTAAGTATAATTTGTCATACAACACACAGGATCTTTTAAAATCCTTGGCCCAAAAAAGCCAGTGACCGAAAACATGATTATATTTTGATTACGAATTAACCTTAACACATTTACATCCTGGCCTTATCGGCACATACTTTCGGTCCAGACACACATTGGGGACAATTTTAGGCGCTAATGCAGTTTCGCACCTCTTGGACATTGATCCTTACCCAAACCCTATCCTTATGCATGGAACCACACGCTGAGAGGTGCGAAACTGCAATAGCCCCCAATTTTACTTCGTGCCTGTCTTGCCTCTTGGGCGACATTTCATTGGAAGATGAGGCAATTAGAAACCAAACTTGGAAAACCCATTTACCTGGTATTGGAGAGCTACGTTCCAGTACTTGTTTCTGGCAAAAACTTTGAAACCAATCAAGAATTAATCGGATAATTCAATCAAACGTTATCTTCGTCTAGATTTTCGCTTGTTCGGTTCGTTTGTTGATTTGCCAATTTTTAAAATACGGAGGCGCAAGAGCATCTCAGCGACAAAATTGAAACGAGGCTTTCCTGATACAAAAGAAACAAAAATGTACAAAAATACAAATGGGGAATGGGAATACTGTAGTATGTTTCCAAATAATTGTCAAACGGTAGTATGTTTCCTTTATAACAGTGCACTGAATGAGAAGGAAAACAATGGGCAGCCCCCCCAAATATAGTCTATTTTTTAATACGTCAAAGTGAGGCTTCTCGTACCGGCTCGATGGCAATGTGCCTCCAAGGAATAATTGTTCGTTCGACTTCCCAAATTTCCTTAAATTAAAGAGATTTTGGGTTCAAAAAAGAATCTTAGAATCTGTTAAATTGTTTTAAATCTTGTTTGAATTAGAGAAGCATTGACCCTTTCAGATAATTGTGGCTGTTATGAAAGTATGTAAAACAATTTTGGAAAGGAATAAAGTCATACTCTATATTTTATTAAACCTTTATCATTAGCAAAAAGGACTAAGCGACAATAAGCATGTTATATCTTTGAAAAACCGGGCTGGTTTGGGACGAACAGGCCTAGGCGTTACGCCTAAGAATAACAATTGCAACGGGCAAAATGCTTTTTAAGACAACGCTATCAACGAACTTGTTGATAGAATGAAATTTGAAACTTCTATTTTATTATTGAAGAATTCCTTTTGAACACGTGTTCTTGCATTTACCCTCATATTATTAAATGTAAACGCATATTACATTTTGTTATAGATTTAGTTTAGATGCCTCAGAGGTAGCCATTGATTCCTGTTCCTGAAACAGCAAACTGTTGTCCAACTTTTATAAAGAGAGATAAAAAAGATGGAGATAATTTGTGTTGTTACGTATAATACACAAGCAAGTAGACTTTACAAGCAGCAATAACTTATACTAATATACAGCGATTAAAATGCAAGGCTTACATATGCACATTTAAACAATTAACTACACGTTTAAATTCATAAACATCTCAAAATGTACATTTTATGGTTCTTTAAGCAAATGGCACACAAGCAAAAAAAGTTTAAAATGAAGTAGACGCCTTACCTATTGTGGATATGTTACTGGTAAGATTTCTATTAGGAATTATAATCAAAGGTATGGGTTGCAGTTAAAGGGTTCTTTTGCAGTGAAAGACATGAAACCAGGAATTTTATTCAAGCAGAATAGGCAAAATGGCGACGGCAGATTTTCGCAGTTCTGATAATGTATCAGGAGCAAATTGGTATTGCTCGATACACATCCATGAAAAACCACGAAGAGTTCCTCCTCTAAATAATTCTTTGCCTACATTTATCTATTTTTTTATCTAGGATTTGTATATCATGTCCATTTTAGGCATTAATTTTATGTGATATTGTGTATTATTGTGAAGCTTAGTTAACTGTTTGCATAGTTAATCTTGATAAATTTCATGTACAGGAATTTAAAATTAGAACTCAACTTAAAAGTGTTCAACCGTCTACTGGACTAGAATTCTCGTTGTGTTCCTAACATGTGTTGAGGAGGACAGCACTTTCACAGATTGATTGATTAATTGAAAAATGAAGAGATTATGTTTAATGAAAACGACAAACAGCCTAACCATAGCGGCCTAAAACAAGCCTAAATTTCTATGTCAGCATCCAAACCAAAATGTAACCAGTCAGTATCCTTAACGAAAATGCAAACATTCAGTGTTAGCAATCGGTAAATATCACCCCGTTAGTCAACAATGAAAATTATATGACCCAAAGAAGCAGTTAAGTAAAGATAATTCACATGATGGTGCCCAGTGTATATCCCTTTTGATAACCACAGGTGTCTGAAAAGCTCAAAAACCAAAACAAAACTTTTGACTTCCACAAAAGGGGGTTAGAATTTACAACTCTTTTGGTGGTCTTAAACACTTACAATGGGATATACATGTGTTAAGATATTCATCACTGGGTACATACATGAAAATTACTCACAGCTTCACTCTCAAACATAACGTTTAACAAATAAACTTCCGTTAACAAAACATTAAGGAATACAGTGTATTTATTTTTCTTATGTTAATGTCCTTGGCTTATCATATTGTAATCCATTAACCAAGTATTAATGGTGTCAATCTGCAAGAAAAATATAACAAAAAGTATTAGAAATGCTGCTAGCAACTTTAAAAAACACAAGGGTATCAAATAAAATATGTAAGAAGGAAGAAACATAGATATGAAATTATTTGAAAATTCTATAAATTAATATAATTGGATTATCTTCATATTGCTTCGTTCCTTACTTTT